TCTCATGGTTTTTCTCGAGGTGCGGCGGGGACCTGGGGTATGTTCTCGACTTACGGCCGGGATGGCCCTTCAAAACACGAGTTTCTTCAGTGAAGTCAGGACTCCTGTCTAGTAACGAGGGACACCTCAGCAATCTCTTCGAGGCTTGGCAGGGCAAAAGGGACGCTTCTCGAGGTGAGGCAGGGCATCCAAGGACCCTTTCCAGTAGCCACAGGGATTTTGGATTCCTATCAGTATTCAAGAGGAGTCAGGCGTCATCACCTTTTGAAGTAATGAACTCCGCGTGCCTCTCGAGGAGTCAGCGGGATGTGAAGCATTCCGTCAAAATGAGGCAGGGACCTAGGGCTTTCTCTAAGGACTCCACAGGGGATTCAGACATCCCTTCATGTTGTGAGATGAACGACGAACCTGTATTCAAGCCACTGCAAGGAAATCTGGCCTCCTTTCAAGTTAGGGCTTCTCGCTGTATATTCCCCTTGAGGCAGCAAACTCGGGGTCCCTCCCTCATACCTATTGCTGAGAGAAGCCTCTTCCTGAGGTGCTTCCGGAAAGTTGGCATACGTTTTGATCCTAAGCCAGGGAATCAGCTCTCATCTCGAGACGATTTGGGGTACACGGAGCATTCCTCGAGTTGCTGTGCTGAAGTTGGTGTTCCTCTAGACTTGGGACAGTGTTCTCGGGGCATCTCTGGAGTTGCCTGAAGGAAGTCGAGCCACCGGTCGTGTTGAATGGGGAACGGGGAATGGCTCTGGAGTCAATGCAGGGGAATCGGGCCTCATCTCGAGTTGATTTGGGGCACATGGAGCTGCTTTGCATTGATGGGGTGACCTCAGGGTCCGTCTAGACTGGTGACAGTGTTCTTGGGGACTGTCTCATGATCCATTAAGCAAGTCGAAGCTCCTGACTTGTTTGAATGGGATCACGGAATACATCTGCATGCATTGCAGGGGAATGGGGTCTCATCTCGCCTCTACGGGGAAGTCTCATGGTTTTTCTCGAGTTGCGGCGGGGACCTGGGGTATGTTCTCGACTTACGGCCGGGATGGCCCTTCAAAACACGAGATTCTTCAGTGAAGTCAGGACACCTGTCTAGTAACGAGGGACACCTCAGAAACACTACGAGGCTTGGCAGGGCAAAAGGGACGCTTCTCGAGATGAGGCAGGGCACCCAAGGACCATTTCCAGTAGCCACAGGGATTTTGGATCCCTATCAGTATTCAAGAGGAGTCAGGCATCGTCACCTTTTGAAGCAATGAACTCCGCGTGCCTCTCGAGGTGTCAGCGGGATGTGAGGCATTCCGTCAAAATGAGGCAGGGACCTAGGGCTTTCTCTAAGGTCTCCACAGGGTATTCAGTCATCCCTTCATGTTGTGAGATGAAAGACGAGCCTGTATTCAAGCCACTACAAGGAAATCCGGCCTCCTTTCAAGTTAGGGCTTCTCGCTGTATATTCCTCTTGAGGCAGCAAACTCGGGGTCCCTCCCACATACCTATTGCTGAGAGAAGCCTCCTCCTGAGGTGCTTTAGGAAAGTTGGCATAGGTCTTGAACCTAAGCCAGGGAATCAGCTCTCATCTCGAGACGATTTGGGGTACACGGAGCATTCCTCGAGTTGCTGTGCTGAAGATGGTGTTCCTCTAGTCTTGGGACAGTGTTCTCGGGGCATCTCTGGAGTTGCCTGAAGGAAGTGGAGCTACAGGTCGTGTTGAATGGGGAACTGGGAATGGCTCTGGAGTCAATGCTGGGGAATCGGGCCTCATCTCGAGGTGATTTCGGGCACATGGAGCTGCTTTGCCTTGCTGGGATGACCTCAGGGTCCGTCTAGACTGGAGACAGTGTTCTTGGGGACTGTCTCGAGATCCATTAAGCAAGTCGAAGCTCCTGACTTGTTTGAATGGGATCACGGAATAGCTCTGCATGCACTGCAGGGGAATGGGGCCTCATGTCGCCTCTAGGGGGAAGTCTCATGGTTTTTCTGGAGTTGCGGCGGGGACCTGGGGTATGTTCTCGACTTACGGCCGGGATGGCCCTTCAAAACACGAGATTCTTCAGTGAAGTCAGGACTCCTGTCTAGTAACGAGGGACACCTCAGGAATCTCTTCGAGGCTTGGCAGGGCAAAAGGGACGCTTCTCGAGGTGAGGAAGGGCACCCAAGGACCCTTTCCAGTAGCCACAGGGATTTTGGGATTCCTATCAGTATTCAAGAGGAGTCAGGCGTCATCACCTTTTGAAGTAATGAACTCCGCGTGCCTCTCGAGGAGTCAGCGGGATGTGAAGCATTCCGTCAAAATGAGGCAGGGACCTAGGGCTTTCTCTAAGGTCTCCACAGGGGATTCAGACATCCCTTCATGTTGTGAGATGAACGACGAGCCTGTATTCAAGCCACTGCAAGGAAATCCGGCCTCCTTTCAAGTTAGGGCTTCTCGCTGTATATTCCCCTTGAGGCAGCAAACTCGGGGTCCCTCCCTCATACCTATTCCTTAGAGAAGATTCCTCCTGAGGTGTTTCCGGAAAGTTGGCATACGTCTTGATCCTAAGCCAGGGAATCAGCTCTCATCTCGAGACGATTTGGGGTACACGGAGCATTCCTCGAGTTGCTGTGCTGAAGTTGGTGTTCCTCTAGACTTGGGACAGTGTTCTCGGGGCATCACTAGAGTTGCCTGAAGGAAGTCTAGCCACCGGTCGTGTTGAATGGGGAATGGGGAATGGCTCTGGAGTCAATGCTGGGGAATCGGGCCTCATCTCGAGGTGATTTGGGGCACATGAAACTGCTTTGCCTTGCTGGGATGACCTCAGGGTCCGTCTAGACTGGTGACAGTTTTCTTGGGGACTGTCTCGAGATCCATTAAGCAAGTCGAAGCTCCTGACTTGTTTGAATGGGATCACGGAATAGCTCTGCATGCACTGCAGGGGAATGGGGCCTCATGTCGCCTCTAGGGGGAAGTCTCATGGTTTTTCTCGAGTTGCGGCGGGGACATGGGGTATGTTCTCGACTTACGGCCGGGATGGCCCTTCAAAACACGAGTTTCTTCAGTGACGTCAGCACTCCTGGCTAGTAACGAGGGACACCTCAGGAATCTCTTCGAGGCTTGGCAGGGCAAAAGGGACGCTTCTCGAGGTGAGGCAGGGCACCCAAGGACCCTTTCCAGTAGCCACAGGGATTTTGGATTCCTATCAGTATTCAAGAGGAGTCAGGCATCGTCACCTTTTGAAGCAATGAACTCCGCGTGCCTCTCGAGGTGTCAGCGGGATGTGAGGAATTCCGTCAAAATGAGGCAGGGACCTAGGGCTTTCTCTAAGGTCTCCACAGGGGATTCAGACATCCCTTCATGTTGTGAGATGAAAGACGAGCCTGTATTCAAGCCCCTACAAGGAAATCCGGCCTCCTTTCAAGTTAGGGCTTCTCGCTGTATATTCCCCTTGAGGCAGCAAACTCGGGGTCCCTCCCACATACCTATTGCTGAGAGAAGCCTCCTCCTGAGGTGCTTCTGGAATGTTGGCATACGTCTTGAGCCTAAGCCAGGGAATCAGCTCTCATCTCGAGACGATTTGGGGTACACGGAGCATTCCTCGAGTTGCTGTGCCGAAGTTGGTGTTCCTCTAGACTTGGGAAAGTGTTCTCCGGGCATCTCTGGAGTTGCCTGAAGGAAGTGGAGCTACAGGTCGTGTTGAATGGGGAACGGGGAGTGGCTCTGGAGTCAATGCAGGGGAATCGGGCCGCATCTCGAGTTGATTTGGGGCACATGGAGCTGCTTTGCGTAGCTGGGGTGACCTCAGGGTCCGTCTAGACTGGTGACAGTGTTCTTGGGGACTGTCTCCAGATCCATTAAGCAAGTCGAAGCTCCTGACTTGTTTGAATGGGATCACGGAATAGCTCTGCATGCACTGCAGGGGAATGGGGCCTCATGTCGCCTCTAGGGGGAAGTTTCATGGTTTTTCTCGAGTTGCGGCGGGGACCTGGGGTATGTTCTCGACCTACGGCGGGGATGGCCCTTCAAAACACGAGTTTCTTCAGTGACGTCAGGACTCCTGTCTAGTAACGAGGGACACCTCAGGAATCTCTTCGAGGCTTGGCAGGGCAAAAGGGACGCTTCTCGACGTGAGGCAGAGCACCCAAGGACCCTTTCCAGTAGCCACAGGGATTTTGGATTCCTATCAGTATTCAAGAGGAGTCAGGCATCGTCATCTTTTGAAGCAATGAACTCCGCGTGCCTCTCGAGGTGTCAGCGCTATGTGAGGCATTCCGTCAAAATGAGGCAGGGACCTAGGGCTTTCTCTTAGATCTCCACAGGGGATTCAGACATCCCTTCATGTTGTGAGATGAAAGACGAGCCTGTATTCAAGCCACTGCAAGGAAATCCGGCCTCCTTTCAAGTTAGAGCTTCTCGCTGTATATTCCCCTCGAGGCAGCAAACTCGGGGTCCCTCCCTCATACCTATTGCTGAGAGAAGCCTCCTCCTGAGGTGCTTCCGGAAAGTTGGCATACGTCTTGATCCGAAGCCAGGGAATCAGCTCTCATCTCGAGACGATTTGGGGTACACGGAGCATTCCTCGAGTTGCTGTGCTGAAGGTGGTGTTCCTCTAGACTTGGGACAGTGTTCTCGGGGCATCTCTGGAGTTGCCTGAAGGAAGTCGAGCCACCGGTCGTGTTGAATGGGGAACGGGGAATGGCTCTGGAGTCAATGCTGGGGAATCGGGCCTCATCTCGAGGTGATTTGGGGCACATGGAGCTGCTTTGCATTGCTGAGGTGACCTCAGTGTCCGTATAGACTGGTGACAGTGTTCTTCCGGACTGCCTCGAGATCCATTAAGGAAGTCGAAGCCCCTGACTTGTTTGAATGGGATCACGGAATAGCTCTGCATGCACTGCAGGGGAATGGGGCCTCATCTCGCCTCTAGGGGGAAGTCTCATCGTTTTTCTCGAGTTACGGTGGGGACCTGGGGTATGTTCTCGACTTACGGCCGGGATGGCCCTTCAAAACACGAGTTTCTTCAGTGACGTCAGGACTCCTGTCTAGTAACGATGGACACCTCAGGAATCTCTTCGAGGCTTGGCAGGGCAAAAGGGACGCTTCTCGAGGTGACACAGGGCACCCAAGGAACCTTTCCAGTAGCCACAGGGATTTTGGGATTCCTATCAGGATTCAAGAGGAGTCAGGCGTCATCACCTTTTGAAGAAATGAACTCCGCCTACCTCTCGTGGAGTCAGCGGGATGTGAAGCATTCCGTCAAAATAAGGCAGTGACCTAGGGCTTTCTCTAAGGTCTCCACAGGGGATTCAGAAATCCCTTCATGTTGTGAGATGAATGACGAACCTGTATTCAAGCCACTACAAGGAAATCCGGCCTCCTTTCAAGTTAGGGCTTATCGCTCTATATTCCCCTTGAGGCAGCAAACTCGGGGTCCCTCTCATATACCTATTGCTGAGAGAAGCCTCCTCCTGAGGTGCTTCTGGAAAGTTGGCATAAGTCTTGAGCCTAAGCCAGGGAATCAGCTCTCATCTCGAGACGATTTGGGGTACACGGAGCATTCCTCGAGTTGCTGTGCTGAAGTTGGTGTTCCTCTAGACTTGGGACAGTGTTCTCGGGGCATCTCTGGAGTTGGCTGAAGGAAGTCGAGCCACCGGTCGTGTTGAATGGGGAACGGGGAATGGCTCTGGAGTCAATGCAGGGGAATCGGGCCTCATCTCGAGGTGATTTGCGGCACATGGAGCTGCTTTGCTTTGCTGTGGGTACCTCAGGGTCGGTCTAGACTGGTGACAGTGTTCTTGGGGACTGTCTCGAGATCCATTAAGCAAGTCGAAGCTCCTGTCTTGTTTGAATGGGATCACGGAATAGCTCTGCATGCACTGCAGGGGAATGGGGCCTCATGTCGCCTCTAGGGGGAAGTCTCATGGTTTTTCTCGAGTTGCGGCGGGGACCTGGGGTATGTTCTCGACTTACGGCGGGGATGGCCCTTCAAAACACGAGTTTCTTCAGTGACGTCAGGACTCCTGTCTAGTAACGAGGGACAACTCAGGAATCTCTTGGAGGCTTGGCAGGGCAAAAGGGACGCTTCTCGAGGTGAGGCAGGGTACCCAAGGACCCTTTCCAGTAGCGACAGGGATTTTGGGATTCCTATCAGTATTCAAGAGGAGTCAGGCATCGTCACCTTTTGAAGCAATGAACTCCGCGTGCCTCTCGAGGTGTCAGCGGGATGTGAGGCATTCCGTCAAAATGAGGCAGGGACCTAGGGCTTTCTCTAAGGTCTCCACAGGGGATTCAGACATCCCTTCATGTTGTGAGATAAAAGACGAGCCTTTATTCAAGCCACTACAAGGAAATCCGGCCTCCTTTCAAGTTAGGGCTTCTCTCTGTATATTGCCCTTGAGGCAGCAAACTCGGGGTCCCTCCCACATACCTATTGCTGAGAGAAGCCTCCCCCTGAGGTGCTTCTGGAAAGTTGGCATACGTCTTGAGCCTAAGCCAGGGAATCAGCTCTCATCTCGAGACGATTTGGGGTACACGGAGCATTCCTCGAGTTGCTGTGCTGAAGTTGGTGTTTCTCTAGTCTTGGGACAGTGTTCTCGGGGCATCTCTGGAGTTGCCTAAAGGAAGTCCAGCCACCGGTCGTGTTGAATGGGGAACGGGGAATGGCTCTGGAGTCAATGCAGGGGAATCGGGCCTCATCTCGAGTTGATTTGGGGCACATGGAGCTGCTTTTCCTTGCTGGGGTGACCTCAGGGTCCGTCTAGACTGGTGACAGTGTTCTTGGGGACTGTCTCGAGATCCATTAAGCAAGTCGAAGCTCCTGACTTGTTTGAATGGGATCACGGAATAGCTCTGCATGCACTGCAGGGGAATGGGGCCTCATGTCGCCTCTAGGGGGAAGTTTCATGGTTTTTCTCGAGTTGCGGCGGGGACCTGGGGTATGTTCTCGACCTACGGCGGGGATGGCCCTTCAAAACACGAGTTTCTTCAGTGACGTCAGGACTCCTGTCTAGTAACGAGGGACACCTCAGGAATCTCTTCGAGGCTTGGCAGGGCAAAATGGACGCTTCCTGAGGTGAGGCAGGGCACCCAAGGACCCTTTCCAGTAGCCACAGGGATTTTGGATTCCTATCAGTATTCAAGAGGAGTCAGGCATCGTCAACTTTTGAAGCAATGAACTCCGCGTGCCTCTCGAGGTGTCAGCGGGATGTGAAGCATTCCGTCAAAATAAGGCAGTGATCTAGGGCTTTCTGTAAGGTCTCCACAGGGGATTCAGAAATCCCTTCATGTTGTGAGATGAAAGACGAGCCTGTATTCAAGCCACTGCAAGGAAATCCGGCCTCCTTTCAAGTTAGGGCTTCTCGCTGTATATTCCCCTTGAGGCAGCAAACTCGGGGTCCCTCCCACATACCTATTGCTGAGAGAAGCCTCCTCCTGAGGTGCTTCTGGAATGTTGGCATACGTCTTGAGCCTAAGCCAGGGAATCAGCTCTCATCTCGAGACGATTTGGGGTACACGGAGCATTCCTCGAGTTGCTGTGCCGAAGTTGGTGTTCCTCTAGACTTGGGAAAGTGTTCTCCGGGCATCTCTGGAGTTGCCTGAAGGAAGTGGAGCTACAGGTCGTGTTGAATGGGGAACGGGGAGTGGCTCTGGAGTCAATGCAGGGGAATCGGGCCGCATCTCGAGTTGATTTGGGGCACATGGAGCTGCTTTGCGTAGCTGGGGTGACCTCAGGGTCCGTCTAGACTGGTGACAGTGTTCTTGGGGACTGTCTCGAGATCCATTAAGCAAGTCGAAGCTCCTGACTTGTTTGAATGGGATCACGGAATAGCTCTGCATGCACTGCAGGGGAATGGGGCCTCATGTCGCCTCTAGGGGGAAGTTTCATGGTTTTTCTCGAGTTGCGGCGGGGACCTGGGGTATGTTCTCGACCTACGGCGGGGATGGCCCTTCAAAACACGAGTTTCTTCAGTGACGTCAGGACTCCTGTCTAGTAACGAGGGACACCTCAGGAATCTCTTCGAGGCTTGGCAGGGCAAAAGGGACGCTTCTCGACGTGAGGCAGAGCACCCAAGGACCCTTTCCAGTAGCCACAGGGATTTTGGATTCCTATCAGTATTCAAGAGGAGTCAGGCATCGTCATCTTTTGAAGCAATGAACTCCGCGTGCCTCTCGAGGTGTCAGCGCTATGTGAGGCATTCCGTCAAAATGAGGCAGGGACCTAGGGCTTTCTCTTAGATCTCCACAGGGGATTCAGACATCCCTTCATGTTGTGAGATGAAAGACGAGCCTGTATTCAAGCCACTGCAAGGAAATCCGGCCTCCTTTCAAGTTAGAGCTTCTCGCTGTATATTCCCCTCGAGGCAGCAAACTCGGGGTCCCTCCCTCATACATATTGCTGAGAGAAGCCTCCTCCTGAGGTGCTTCCGGAAAGTTGGCATACGTTTTGAGCCTAAGCCAGGGAATCAGCTCTCATCTCGAGACGATTTGGGGTACACGGAGCATTCCTCGAGTTGCTGTGCTGAAGGTGGTGTTCCTCTAGACTTGGGACAGTGTTCTCGGGGCATCTCTGGAGTTGCCTGAAGGAAGTCGAGCCACCGGTCGTGTTGAATGGGGAACGGGGAATGGCTCTGGAGTCAATGCTGGGGAATCGGGCCTCATCTCGAGGTGATTTGGGGCACATGGAGCTGCTTTGCATTGCTGAGGTGACCTCAGTGTCCGTATAGACTGGTGACAGTGTTCTTGCGGACTGCCTCGAGATCCATTAAGGAAGTCGAAGCCCCTGACTTGTTTGAATGGGATCACGGAATAGCTCTGCATGCACTGCAGGGGAATGGGGCCTCATCTCGCCTCTAGGGGGAAGTCTCATCGTTCTTCTCGAGTTACGGTGGGGACCTGGATTATGTTCTCGACTTACGGCCGGGATGGCCCTTCAAAACACGAGTTTCTTCAGTGACGTCAGGACTCCTGTCTAGTAACGATGGACACCTCAGGAATCTCTTCGAGGCTTGGCAGGGCAAAAGGGACGCTTCTCGAGGTGACACAGGGCACCCAAGGAACCTTTCCAGTAGCCACAGGGATTTTGGGATTCCTATCAGGATTCAAGAGGAGTCAGGCGTCATCACCTTTTGAAGAAATGAACTCCGCCTACCTCTCGTGGAGTCAGCGGGATGTGAAGCATTCCGTCAAAATAAGGCAGTGACCTAGGGCTTTCTCTAAGGTCTCCACAGGGGATTCAGAAATCCCTTCATGTTGTGAGATGAATGACGAACCTGTATTCAAGCCACTACAAGGAAATCCGGCCTCCTTTCAAGTTAGGGCTTATCGCTCTATATTCCCCTTGAGGCAGCAAACTCGGGGTCCCTCTCATATACCTATTGCTGAGAGAAGCCTCCTCCTGAGGTGCTTCTGGAAAGTTGGCATAAGTCTTGAGCCTAAGCCAGGGAATCAGCTCTCATCTCGAGACGATTTGGGGTACACGGAGCATTCCTCGAGTTGCTGTGCTGAAGTTGGTGTTCCTCTAGACTTGGGACAGTGTTCTCGGGGCATCTCTGGAGTTGGCTGAAGGAAGTCGAGCCACCGGTCGTGTTGAATGGGGAACGGGGAATGGCTCTGGAGTCAATGCAGGGGAATCGGGCCTCATCTCGAGGTGATTTGCGGCACATGGAGCTGCTTTGCTTTGCTGTGGGTACCTCAGGGTCGGTCTAGACTGGTGACAGTGTTCTTGGGGACTGTCTCGAGATCCATTAAGCAAGTCGAAGCTCCTGTCTTGTTTGAATGGGATCACGGAATAGCTCTGCATGCACTGCAGGGGAATGGGGCCTCATGTCGCCTCTAGGGGGAAGTCTCATGGTTTTTCTCGAGTTGCGGCGGGGACCTGGGGTATGTTCTCGACTTACGGCGGGGATGGCCCTTCAAAACACGAGTTTCTTCAGTGACGTCAGGACTCCTGTCTAGTAACGAGGGACAACTCAGGAATCTCTTGGAGGCTTGGCAGGGCAAAAGGGACGCTTCTCGAGGTGAGGCAGGGTACCCAAGGACCCTTTCCAGTAGCCACAGGGATTTTGGGATTCCTATCAGTATTCAAGAGGAGTCAGGCATCGTCACCTTTTGAAGCAATGAACTCCGCGTGCCTCTCGAGGTGTCAGCGGGATGTGAGGCATTCCGTCAAAATGAGGCAGGGACCTAGGGCTTTCTCTAAGGTCTCCACAGGGGATTCAGACATCCCTTCATGTTGTGAGATGAAAGACGAGCCTGTATTCAAGCCCCTACAAGGAAATCCGGCCTCCTTTCAAGTTAGGGCTTCTCGCTGTATATTCCCCTTGAGGCAGCAAACTCGGGGTCCCTCCCACATACCTATTGCTGAGAGAAGCCTCCTCCTGAGGTGCTTCTGGAATGTTGGCATACGTCTTGAGCCAAATCCAGGGAATCAGCTCTCATCTCGAGACGATTTGGGGTACACGGAGCATTCCTCGAGTTGCTGTGCCGAAGTTGGTGTTCCTCTAGACTTGGGAAAGTGTTCTCCGGGCATCTCTGGAGTTGCCTGAAGGAAGTGGAGCTACAGGTCGTGTTGAATGGGGAACGGGGAGTGGCTCTGGAGTCAATGCAGGGGAATCGGGCCGCATCTCGAGTTGATTTGGGGCACATGGAGCTGCTTTGCGTAGCTGGGGTGACCTCAGGGTCCGTCTAGACTGGTGACAGTGTTCTTGGGGACTGTCTCGAGATCCATTAAGCAAGTCGAAGCTCCTGACTTGTTTGAATGGGATCACGGAATAGCTCTGCATGCACTGCAGGGGAATGGGGCCTCATGTCGCCTCTAGGGGGAAGTTTCATGGTTTTTCTCGAGTTGCGGCGGGGACCTGGGGTATGTTCTCGACCTACGGCGGGGATGGCCCTTCAAAACACGAGTTTCTTCAGTGACGTCAGGACTCCTGTCTAGTAACGAGGGACACCTCAGGAATCTCTTCGAGGCTTGGCAGGGCAAAAGGGACGCTTCTCGACGTGAGGCAGGGCACCCAAGGACCCTTTCCAGTAGCCACAGGGATTTTGGATTCCTATCAGTATTCAAGAGGAGTCAGGCATCGTCATCTTTTGAAGCAATGAACTCCGCGTGCCTCTCGAGGTGTCAGCGCTATGTGAGGCATTCCGTCAAAATGAGGCAGGGACCTAGGGCTTTCTCTTAGATCTCCACAGGGGATTCAGACATCCCTTCATGTTGTGAGATGAAAGACGAGCCTGTATTCAAGCCACTGCAAGGAAATCCGGCCTCCTTTCAAGTTAGAGCTTCTCGCTGTATATTCCCCTCGAGGCAGCAAACTCGGGGTCCCTCCCTCATACATATTGCTGAGAGAAGCCTCCTCCTGAGGTGCTTCCGGAAAGTTGGCATACGTCTTGATCCTAAGCCAGGGAATCAGCTCTCATCTCGAGACGATTTGGGGTACACGGAGCATTCCTCGAGTTGCTGTGCTGAAGGTGGTGTTCCTCTAGACTTGGGACAGTGTTCTCGGGGCATCTCTGGAGTTGCCTGAAGGAAGTCGAGCCACCGGTCGTGTTGAATGGGGAACGGGGAATGGCTCTGGAGTCAATGCAGGGGAATCGGGCCTCATCTCGAGGTGATTTGCGGCACATGGAGCTGCTTTGCTTTGCTGTGGGTACCTCAGGGTCGGTCTAGACTGGTGACAGTGTTCTTGGGGACTGTCTCGAGATCCATTAAGCAAGTCGAAGCTCCTGTCTTGTTTGAATGGGATCACGGAATAGCTCTGCATGCACTGCAGGGGAATGGGGCCTCATGTCGCCTCTAGGGGGAAGTCTCATGGTTTTTCTCGAGTTGCGGCGGGGACCTGGGGTATGTTCTCGACTTACGGCGGGGATGGCCCTTCAAAACACGAGTTTCTTCAGTGACGTCAGGACTCCTGTCTAGTAACGAGGGACAACTCAGGAATCTCTTGGAGGCTTGGCAGGGCAAAAGGGACGCTTCTCGAGGTGAGGCAGGGTACCCAAGGACCCTTTCCAGTAGCCACAGGGATTTTGGGATTCCTATCAGTATTCAAGAGGAGTCAGGCATCGTCACCTTTTGAAGCAATGAACTCCGCGTGCCTCTCGAGGTGTCAGCGGGATGTGAGGCATTCCGTCAAAATGAGGCAGGGACCTAGGGCTTTCTCTAAGGTCTCCACAGGGGATTCAGACATCCCTTCATGTTGTGAGATGAAAGACGAGCCTGTATTCAAGCCACTACAAGGAAATCCGGCCTCCTTTCAAGTTAGGGCTTCTCTCTGTATATTGCAATTGAGGCAGCAAACTCGGGGTCCCTCCCACATACCTATTGCTGAGAGAAGCCTCCCCCTGAGGTGCTTCTGGAAAGTTGGCATACGTCTTGAGCCTAAGCCAGGGAATCAGCTCTCATCTCGAGACGATTTGGGGTACACGGAGCATTCCTCGAGTTGCTGTGCTGAAGTTGGTGTTTCTCTAGTCTTGGGAGAGTGTTCTCGGGGCATCTCTGGAGTTGCCTAAAGGAAGTCCAGCCACCGGTCGTGTTGAATGGGGAACGGGGAATGGCTCTGGAGTCAATGCAGGGGAATCGGGCCTCATCTCGAGTTGATTTGGGGCACATGGAGCTGCTTTTCCTTGCTGGGGTGACCTCAGGGTCCGTCTAGACTGGTCACAGTGTTCTTGGGGACTGTCTCGAGATCCATTAAGCAAGTCGAAGCTCCTGACTTGTTTGAATGGGATCACGGAATAGCTCTGCATGCACTGCATAGGAATGGGGCCTCATCTCGCCTCTACGGGGAAGTCTCATGATTTTTCTCGAGTTGCGGCGGGGACCTGGGGTATGTTCTCGACATACGGCCGGGATGGCCCTTCAAAACACGAGTTTCTTCAGTGACGTCAGGACTCCTGTCTAGTAACGAGGGACACCTCAGGAATCTCTTCGAGGCTTGGCAGGGCAAAAGGGACGCTTCTCGAAGTGAGGAAGGGCACCCAAGGACCATTTACAGTAGCCACAGGGATTTTGGATTCCTATCAGTATTCAAGAGGAGTCAGGCATCGTCACCTTTTGAAGCAATGAACTCCGCGTGCCTCTCGAGGTGTCATCGGGATGTGAGGCATTCCGTCAAAATGAGGCAGGGACCTAGGGCTTTCTCCAAGGTCTCCACAGGGGATTCAGACATCCCTTCATGTTGTGAGATGAAAGACGAGCCTGTATTCAAGCCACTGCAAGGAAATCCGGCCTCCTTTCAAGTTAGGGCTTCTCGCTGTATATTCCCCTTGAGGCAGCAAACTCGGGGTCCCTCCCACATACCTATTGCTGAGAGAAGCCTCCTCCTGAGGTGCTTCTGGAATGTTGGCATACGTCTTGAGCCTAAGCCAGGGAATCAGCTCTCATCTCGGGACGATTTGGGGTACACGGAGCATTCCTCGAGTTGCTGTGCTGAAGTTGGTGTTCCTCTAGTCTTGGGACAATTTTCTCGGGGCATCTCTGGAGTTGGCTGAAGAATGTCGAGCCACCGGTCGTGTTGAATGGGGAACGGGGAATGGCTCTGGAGTCAATGCAGGGGAATCGGGCTTCATCTCGAGTTGATTTGGGGCACATGGAGCTGCTTTGCGTTGATGGGTGACCTCAGGGTCCGTCTAGACTGGTGACAGTGTTCTTGGGGACTGTCTCGTGATCCATTAAGCAAGTCGAAGCTCCTGACTTGTTTGAATGGGATCACGGAATAGCTCTGCATGCACTGCAGGGGAATGGGGTCTCATCTCGCCTCTAGGGGGAAGTCTCATGGTTTTTCTCGAGTTGCGGCAGGGACCTAGGGTATGTTCTCGACTTACGGAGGGGATGGCCCTTCAAAACACGAGTTTCTTCAGTGACGTCAGGACTCCTGTCTAGTAACGAGGGACACCTCAGGAAACACTTCGAGGCTTGGAAGGGCAAAAGGGACGCTTCTCGAGGTGAGGCAGGGCACCCAAGGACCCTTTCCAGTAGCCACAGGGATTTTGGGATTCCGATCAGTATTCAAGAGGAGTCAGGTGTCATCACCTTTTGAAGTAATGAACTCCGCGTACATCTCGAGGTGTCAGCGGGATGTGAAGCATTCCGTCAAAATGAGGCAGGGATCTAGGGCTTTCTCTAAAGTCTCTACAGAGGATTCAGACATCCCTTCATGTTGTGAGATGAAAGACGAGCCTGTATTCAAGCCACTGCAAGGAAATCCGGCCTCCTTTCAAGTTAGGGCTTCTCGCTGTATATTCCCCTTGAGGCAGCAAACTCAGGGTCCCTCCCTCATAGCTATTGCTGAGAGAAGCCTCCTCCTGAGCTGCTTCTGGAAAGTTGGCATACGTCTTGATCCTAAGCCAGGGAATCAGCTCTCATCTCGAGACGATTTGGGGTACACGGAGCATTCCTCGAGTTGCTGTGCTGAAGTTGGTGTTCCTCTAGTCTTGGGACAGTGTTCTCGGGGCATCTCTGGAGTTGCCTGAAGGAAGTCGAGCCACCGGTCGTGTTGAATGGGAAACTTGGAATGGCTCTGGAGTCAATGCAGGGGAATCGGGCCTCATCTCGAGGTGATGTGGGGCACATGGAGCTGCTTTGCGTTGCTGGGGGTACCTCAGGGTCGGTCTAGACTGGTGACAGTGTTCTTGGGGACTGTCTCGAGATCCATTAAGCAAGTCGAAGCTCCTGACTTGTTTGAATGGGATCACGGAATAGCTCTGCATGCACTGCAGGGGAATGGGGCCTCATGTCGCCTCTAGGGGGAAGTCTCATGGTTTTTCTCGAGTTGCGGCGGGGACCTGGGGTATGTTCTCGACTTACGGCGGGGATGGCCCTTCAAAACACGAGTTTCTTCAGTGAAGTCAGGACTCCTGTCTAGTAATGAGGGACACCTCAGGAATCTCTTCGAGGCTTGGCAGGGCAAAAGGGACGCTTCTCGAGGTGAGGCAGGGCACCCAAGGACCCTTTCCAGTAGCCACAGGGATTTTGGGATTCCTATCAGTATTCAAGAGGAGTCAGGCGTCATCACCTTTTGAAGAAATGAACTCCGCCTACCTCTCGAGGAGTCAGCGGGATGTGAAGCATTCCGTCAAAATGAGGCAGGGACTTAGGGCTTTCTCTAAGGTCTCCACAGGGGATTCAGACATCCCTTCATGTTGTGAGATGAAAGACGAGCCTGTATTCAAGCCACTGCAAGGAAATCTGGCCTCCTTTCAAGTTAGGGCTTCTCGCTGTATATTCCCCTTGAGGCAGCAAACTCGGGGTCCCTCCCTCATAACTATTGCTGAGAGAAGCCTCCTCCTGAGGTGCTTCCGGAAAGTTGGCATACGTCTTGATCCTAAGCCAGGGAATCAGCTCTCATCTCGAGACGATTTGCGGGACACGGAGCATTCCTCGAGTTGCTGTGCTGAAGTTGGTGTTCCTCTAATCTTGGGACAGTGTTCTCGGGGCATCTCTGGAGTTGCCTGAAGGAAGTCGAGCCACCGTTCGTGTTGAATGGGGAACTTGGAATGGCTCTGGAGTTAATGCAGGGGAATCGGGCCTCATCTCGAGTTGATTTGGGGCACATGGAGCTGCTTTGCGTTGCTGGGGTGACCTCAGGGTCCGTCTAGACTGGTGACAGTGTTCTTGGGGACTGTCTCGAGATGCATTAAGCAAGTCGAAGCTCCTGACTTGTTTGAATGGGATCACGGAATAGCTCTGCATGCACTGCAGGGGAATGGGGCCTCATGTCGCCTCTAGGGGGAAGTCTCATGGTTTTTCTCGAGTTGGGTTGGGACCTGGGGTATGTTCTCGACTTACGGCGGGGATGGCCCTTCAAAACACGAGTTTCTTCAGTGACGTCAGGACTCCTGTCTAGTAACGAGGGACACCTCAGGAATCTCTTCGAGGCTTGGCAGGGCAAAAGGGACGCTTCTCGAGGTGAGGCAGGGCACCCAAGTACCCTTTCCAGTAGCCACAGGGATTTTGGATTCCTATCAGTATTCAAGAGGAGTCAGGCATCGTCACCTTTTGAAGCAATGAACTCCGCGTGTCTCTCGAGGTGTCAGCGGGATGTGAGGCATTCCGTCAAAATTAGGCATTGACCTAGGGCTTTCTCTAAGGTCTCCACAGGGGATTCAGACATCCCTTCATGTTGTGAGAAGAAAGACGAGCCTGTGTTCAAGCCACTACAAGGAAATCTGGCCTCCTTTCAAGTTAGGGCTTCTCGCTGTATATTCCCCTTGAGGCAGCAAACTCGGGGTCCCTCCCTCATACCTATTGCTGAGAGAAGCCTCTTCCTGAGGTGCTTCCCGAAAGTTGGCATACGTCTTGAGCCTAAGCCAGAGAATCAGCTCTCATCTCGAGATGATTTGGGGTACACGGAGCATTCCTCGAGTTGCTGTGCTGAAGTTGGTGTTCCTCTAGTCTTGGGACAGTGTTCTCGGGGCATCTCTGGAGTTTCCTGAATGAAGTCGAGCCACCGGTCGTGTTGAATGGGGAACGGGGAATGGCTCTGGGGTCAATGCAGGGGAATCGGGCCTCATCTCGCGTTGATTTGGGGCACATGGAGCTGCTGTGCGTTGATGGGGTGACCTCAGGGTCCGTCTAGACTGGTGACAGTGTTCTTGGGGACTGTCTCGTGATCCATTAAGCAAGTCGAAGCTCCTGACTTGTTTGAATGGGATCACGGAATAGCTCTGCATGCACTGCAAGGGAATGGGGTCTCATCTCGCCTCTAGGGGGAAGTCTCATGGTTTTTCTCGAGTTGAGGCGGGGACCTGGGGTATGTTCTCGACTTACGGAGGGGATGGCCCTTCAAAACACGAGTTTCTTCAGTGACGTCAGGACTCCTGTCTAGTAACGAGGGACACCTCAGGAATATCTTCGAGGCTTGGCAGGGCAAAAGGGACGCTTCTCGAGGTGAGGCAGGGCACCCAAGGACCCTTTCCAGTAGCCACAGGGATTTTGGGATTCCTATCAGTATTCAAGAGGAGTCAGGCGTCATCACCTTTTGAAGAAATGAACTCCGCCTACCTCTCGAGGAGTCAGCGGGATGTGAAGCATTCCGTCAAAATGAGGCATGGACCTAGGGCTTTCTCTAAGGTCTCCACAGGGGATTCAGACATCCCTTCATGTTGTGAGATGAAAGACGAGCCTGTATTCAAGCCACTGCAAGGAAATCCGGCCTCCTTTCAAGTTAGGGCTTCTCGCTGTATATTCCCCTTGAGGCAGCAAACTCGGGGTCCCTCCCTCATACCTATTGCTGAGAGAAGCCTCCTCCTGAGGTGCTTCTGGAAAGTTGGCATACGTCTTGATCCTAAGCCAGGGAATCAGCTCTCATCTCGAGACGATTTGGGGTACACGGAGCATTCCTCGAGTTGCTGTGCTGAAGTTGGTGTTCCTCTAGACTTGGGACAGTGTTCTCGGGGCATCTCTGGAGTTGCCTGAAGGAAGTCGAGACACCGGTCGTGTTGAATGGGGAACGGGGAATGGCTCAGGAGTCAATGCAGGGGAATCGGGTCTCATCTCGAGTTGATTTGGGGCACATGGAACTGCTTTGCGTTGCTGGGGTGACCTCAGGGTCCGTCTAGACTGGTGACAGTGTTCTTGGGGACTGTCTCGAGATCCATTAAGCAAGTCGAAGCTCCTGACTTGTTTGAATGGGATCACGGAATAGCTCTGCATGCACTGCAGGGGAATGGGGCCTGATGTCGTCTCTAGGGGGAAGTCTCATGGTTTTTCTCGAGTTGCGGCGGGGACCTGGGGTATGTTCTCCACTTAGGGAGGGGATGGATCTTCAAAACACGAGTTTCTTCAGTGACGTCAGGACTCCTGTCTAGTAACGAGGGACACCTCAGGAATCTCTTCGAGGCTTGGCAGGGCAAAAGGGACGCTTCTCGAGGTGAGGCAGGGCACCCAAGGACACTTTCCAGTAGCCACAGGGATTTTGGGATTCCTATCAGTATTCAAGAGGAGTCAGGCGTCATCACCTTTTGAAGAAATGAACTCCGCCTAACTCTCGAGGAGTCAGCGGGATGTGAAGCATTCCGTCAAAATGAGGCAGGGACCTAGGGCTTTCTCTAAGGTCTCCACAGGGGATTCAGACATCCCTTCATGTTGTGAGATGAAAGACGAGCCTGTATTCAAGCCACTACAAGGAAATCCGGCCTCCTTTCAAGTTAGGGCTTCTCGCTGTATATTCCCCTTGAGGCACCAAACTCGGGGTCCCTCCCTCATAACTATTGCTGAGAGAAGCCTCCTCCTGAGGTGCTTCCGGAAAGTTGGCATACGTCTTGATCCTAAGCCAGGGAATCAGCTCTCATCTCGAGACGATTTGCGGTACACGGAGCATTCCTCGAGTTGCTGTGCTGAAGTTGGTGTTCCTCTAGTCTTGGGACAGTGTTCTCGGGGCATCTCTGGAGTTTCCTGAATGAAGTCGAGCCACCGGTCGTGTTGAATGGGGAACGGGGAATGGCTCTGGGGTCAATGCAGGGGAATCGGGCCTCATCTCGCGTTGATTTGGGGCACATGGAGCTGCTGTGCGTTGATGGGGTGACCTCAGGGTCCGTCTAGACTGGTGACAGTGTTCTTGGGGACTGTCTCGTGATCCATTAAGCAAGTCGAAGCTCCTGACTTGTTTGAATGGGATCACGGAATAGCTCTGCATGCACTGCAAGGGAATGGGGTCTCATCTCGCCTCTAGGGGGAAGTCTCATGGTTTTTCTCGAGTTGAGGCGGGGACCTGGGGTATGTTCTCGACTTACGGAGGGGATGGCCCTTCAAAACACGAGTTTCTTCAGTGACGTCAGGACTCCTGTCTAGTAACGAGGGACACCTCAGGAATCTCTTCGAGGCTTGGCAGGGCAAAAGGGACGCTTCTCGAGGTGAGGCAGGGCACCCAAGGACCCTTTCCAGTAGCCACAGGGATTTTGGGATTCCTATCAGTATTCAAGAGGAGTCAGGCGTCATCACCTTTTGAAGAAATGAACTCCGCCTACCTCTCGAGGAGTCAGCGGGATGTGAAGCATTCCGTCAAAATGAGGCATGGACCTAGGGCTTTCTCTAAGGTCTCCACAGGGGATTCAGACATCCCTTCATGTTGTGAGATGAAAGACGAGCCTGTATTCAAGCCACTGCAAGGAAATCCGGCCTCCTTTCAAGTTAGGGCTTCTCGCTGTATATTCCCCTTGAGGCAGCAAACTCGGGGTCCCTCCCTCATACCTATTGCTGAGAGAAGCCTCCTCCTGAGGTGCTTCTGGAAAGTTGGCATACGTCTTGATCCTAAGCCAGGGAATCAGCTCTCATCTCGAGACGATTTGGGGTACACGGAGCATTCCTCGAGTTGCTGTGCTGAAGTTGGTGTTCCTCTAGACTTGGGACAGTGTTCTCGGGGCATCTCTGGAGTTGCCTGAAGGAAGTCGAGACACCGGTCGTGTTGAATGGGGAACGGGGAATGGCTCAGGAGTCAATGCAGGGGAATCGGGTCTCATCTCGAGTTGATTTGGGGCACATGGAACTGCTTTGCGTTGCTGGGGTGACCTCAGGGTCCGTCTAGACTGGTGACAGTGTTCTTGGGGACTGTCTCGAGATCCATTAAGCAAGTCGAAGCTCCTGACTTGTTTGAATGGGATCACGGAATAGCTCTGCATGCACTGCAGGGGAATGGGGCCTGATGTCGTCTCTAGGGGGAAGTCTCATGGTTTTTCTCGAGTTGCGGCGGGGACCTGGGGTATGTTCTCCACTTAGGGAGGGGATGGATCTTCAAAACACGAGTTTCTTCAGTGACGTCAGGACTCCTGTCTAGTAACGAGGGACACCTCAGGAATCTCTTCGAGGCTTGGCAGGGCAAAAGGGACGCTTCTCGAGGTGAGGCAGGGCACCCAAGGACACTTTCCAGTAGCCACAGGGATTTTGGGATTCCTATCAGTATTCAAGAGGAGTCAGGCGTCATCACCTTTTGAAGAAATGAACTCCGCCTAACTCTCGAGGAGTCAGCGGGATGTGAAGCATTCCGTCAAAATGAGGCAGGGACCTAGGGCTTTCTCTAAGGTCTCCACAGGGGATTCAGACATCCCTTCATGTTGTGAGATGAAAGACGAGCCTGTATTCAAGCCACTACAAGGAAATCCGGCCTCCTTTCAAGTTAGGGCTTCTCGCTGTATATTCCCCTTGAGGCACCAAACTCGGGGTCCCTCCCTCATAACTATTGCTGAGAGAAGCCTCCTCCTGAGGTGCTTCCGGAAAGTTGGCATACGTCTTGATCCTAAGCCAGGGAATCAGCTCTCATCTCGAGACGATTTGCGGTACACGGAGCATTCCTCGAGTTGCTGTGCTGAAGTTGGTGTTCCTCTAGTCTTGGGACAGTGTTCTCGGGGCATCTCTGGAGTTTCCTGAATGAAGTCGAGCCACCGGTCGTGTTGAATGGGGAACTTGGAATGGCTCTGGAGTCAATGCAGGGGAATCGGGCCTCATCTCGAGGTGATTTGGGGCACATGGAGCTGCTTTGCGTTGCTGGGGGTACCTCAGGGTCGGTCTAGACTCGTGACAGTGTTCTTGGGGACTGTCTCGAGATCCATTAAGCAAGTCGAAGCTCCTGACTTGTTTGAATGGGATCACGGAATAGCTCTGCATGCACTGCAGGGGAATGGGGCCTCATGTCGCCTCTAGGGGGAAGTCTCATGGTTTTTCTCGAGTTGCGGCGGGGACCTGGGGTATGTTCTCGACTTACGGCGGGGATGGCCCTTCAAAACACGAGTTTCTTCAGTGACGTCAGGACTCCTGTCTAGTAACGAGGGATACCTCAGGAATTTCTTCGAGGCTTGGCAGGGCAAAAGGGACGCTTCTCGAGGTGAGGCAGGTCACCCAAGGACCCTTTCCAGTAGCCACAGGGATTTTGGGATTCCTATCAGTATTCAAGAGGAGTCAGGCATCGTCACCTTTTGAAGCAATGAACTCCGCGTGCCTCTCGAGGTGTCAGCGGGATGTGAGGCATTCCGTCAAAATGAGGCAGGGACCTACGGCTTTCTCTAAGGTCTCCACAGGGGATTCAGACATCCCTTCATGTTGTGAGATGAAAGACGAGCCTGTATTCAAGCCACTACAAGGAAATCCGGCCTCCTTTCAAGTTAGGGCTTCTCGCTGTATATTCCCCTTGAGGCAGCAAACTCGGGGTCCCTCCCACATACCTATTGCTTAGAGAAGCCTCCCCCTGAGGTGCTTCTGGAAAGTTGGCATACGTCTTGAGCCTAAGCCAGCGAATCAACTCTCATCTCGAGACGACTTGGGGTACACGGAGCATTCCTCGAGTTGCTGTGTTGAAGTTGGTGTTCCTCTAGTCTTGGGAGAGTGTTCTCGGGGCATCTCTGGAGTTACCTGAAGGATGTCGAGCCACCGGTCGTGTTGAATGGGGAACGGGGAATGGCTCTGGAGTCAATGCAGGGGAATCGGGCCTCATCTCGAGGTGATTTGGGGCACATGGAGCTGCTGTACGTTGCTTGGGTGACCTCAGGGTCCGTCTCGACTGGTGACAGTGTTCTTGGGGACTGTCTCGAGATCCATTAAGCAAGTCGAAGCTCCTGACTTGTTTGAATGGGATCACGGAATAGCTCTTCATGCACTGCAGGGGAATGGGGCCTCATCTCGCCTCTAGGGGGAAGTCTCATGGATTTTCTCGAGTTGCGGCGGGGACCTGGGGTATGTTCTCGACATACTGCCGGGATGGCCCATCAAAACACGAGTTTCTTCAGTGACGTCAGGACTCCTGTCTAGTAACGAGGGACACCTCAGGCATCTCTTCGAGGCTTGGCAGGGCAAAAGGGATGCTTCTCGAGGTGAGGCAGGGCACCCAAGGACCCTTTACAGTAGGCACAGAGATTTTGGATTCCTATCAGTATTCAAGAGGAGTCAGGCATCGTCACCTTTTGAAGCAATGAACTCCGCGTGCCTCTCGAGGTGTCAGCGGGATGTGAGGTATTCCGTCAAAATGAGGCAGGGACCTAGGGCTTTCTCTAAGGTCTCCACAGGGGATTCAGACATCCCTTCATGTTGTGAGATGAAAGACGAGCCTGTGTTCAAGCCACTGCAAGGAAATCCGGCCTCCTTTCAAGTTAGGACTTCTCGCTGTATATTCCCCTTGAGGCAGCAAACTCGGGGTCCCTCCCTCATACCTATTGCTGAGAGAAGCCTCCTCCTGAGGTGCTTCTGGAAAGTAGGCATATGTCTTGAGCCTAAGCCAGGGAATCAGCTCTCATCTCGAGACGATTTGGGGTACACGGAGCATTCCTCGAGTTGCTGTGCTGAAGTTGGTGTTCCTCTAGTCTTGGGACAGTGTTCTCGGGGCATCTCTGGAGTTGCCTGAAGGAAGTCGAGCCACCGGTCGTGTTGAATGGGGAACGGGGAATGGCTCTGGAGTCAATGCAGGGGAATCGGGCCTCATCTCGAGTTGATTTGGGGCACATGGAGCTGCTTTGCGTTGCTGGGATGACCTCAGGGTTCGTCAAGACTGGTGACAGTGTTCTTGGGGACTGTCTCGAGATCCATTAAGGAAGTCGAATCTCCTGACTTGTTTGAATGGGATCACGGAATAGCTCTGCATGCACTGCAGGGGAATGGGGCCTCATGTCGCCTCTAGGGGGAAGTCTCATGGTTTTTCTCGAGTTGCGACGGGGACCTGGGGTATGTTCTCGACTTACGGCGGGGATGGCCCTTCAAAACACGAGTTTCTTCAGTGACGTCAGGACTCCTGTCTAGTAACGAGGGACACCTCAGGAATCTCTTCGAGGCTTGGCAGGGCAAAATGGACGCTTCCTGAGGTGAGGCAGGGCACCCAAGGACCCTTTCCAGTAGCCACAGGGATTTTGGATTCCTATCAGTATTCAAGAGGAGTCAGGCATCGTCAACTTTTGAAGCAATGAACTCCGCGTGCCTCTCGAGGTGTCAGCGGGATGTGAAGCATTCCGTCAAAATAAGGCAGTGATCTAGGGCTTTCTGTAAGGTCTCCACAGGGGATTCAGAAATCCCTTCATGTTGTGAGATGAATGACGAGCCTGTATTCAAGCCACTACAAGGAAATCCGGCCTCCTTTCAAGTTAGGGCTTCTCGCTGTATATTCCCCTTGAGGCAGCAAACTCGGGGTCCCTCCCACATACCTATTGCTGAGAGAAGCCTCCTCCTGAGGTGCTTCTGGAATGTTGGCATACGTCTTGAGCCTAAGCCAGGGAATCAGCTCTCATCTCGAGACGATTTCGGGTACACGGAGCATTCCTCGAGTTGCTGTGCTGAAGTTGGTGTTCCTCTAGTCTTGGGACATTGTTCTCGGGGCATCTCTGGAGTTGGCTGAAGGAAGTCGAGCCACCGGTCGTGTTGAATGGGGAACGGGGAATGGCTCTGGAGTCAATGCGGGGGAATCGGGCTTCATCTCGAGTTGATTTGGGGCACATGGAGCTGCTTTGCGTTGATGGGTGACCTCAGGGTCCGTCTAGACTGGTGACAGTGTTCTTGGGGACTGTCTCGTGATCCATTAAGCAAGTCGAAGCTCCTGACTTGTTTGAATGGGATCACGGAATAGCTCTGCATGCACTGCAGGGGAATGGGGTCTCATCTCGCCTCTAGGGGGAAGTCTCATGGTTTTTCTCGAGTTGCGGCAGGGACCTGGGGTATGTTCTCGACTTACGGAGGGGATGGCCCTTCAAAACACGAGTTTCTTCAGTGACGTCAGGACTCCTGTCTAGTAACGAGGGACACCTCAGGAATCTCTTCGAGGCTTGGAAGGGCAAAAGGGACGCTTCTCGAGGTGAGGCAGGGCACCCAAGGACCCTTTCCAGTAGCCACAGGGATTTTGGGATTCCTATCAGTATTCAAGAGGAGTCAGGTGTCATCACCTTTTGAAGTAATGAACTCCGCGTACATCTCGAGGTGTCAGCGGGATGTGAAGCATTCCGTCAAAATGAGGCAGGGATCTAGGGCTTTCTCTAAAGTCTCTACAGAGGATTCAGACATCCCTTCATGTTGTGAGATGAAAGACGAGCCTGTATTCAAGCCACTGCAAGGAAATCCGGCCTCCTTTCAAGTTAGGGCTTCTCGCTGTATATTCCCCTTGAGGCAGCAAACTCAGGGTCCCTCCCTCATAGCTATTGCTGAGAGAAGCCTCCTCCTGAGCTGCTTCTGGAAAGTTGGCATACGTCTTGATCCTAAGCCAGGGAATCAGCTCTCATCTCGAGACGATTTGGGGTACACGGAGCATTCCTCGAGTTGCTGTGCTGAAGTTGGTGTTCCTCTAGTCTTGGGACAGTGTTCTCGGGGCATCTCTGGAGTTGCCTGAAGGAAGTCGAGCCACCGGTCGTGTTGAATGGGAAACTTGGAATGGCTCTGGAGTCAATGCAGGGGAATCGGGCCTCATCTCGAGGTGATGTGGGGCACATGGAGCTGCTTTGCGTTGCTGGGGGTACCTCAGGGTCGGTCTAGACTGGTGACAGTGTTCTTGGGGACTGTCTCGAGATCCATTAAGCAAGTCGAAGCTCCTGACTTGTTTGAATGGGATCACGGAATAGCTCTGCATGCACTGCAGGGGAATGGGGCCTCATGTCGCCTCTAGGGGGAAGTCTCATGGTTTTTCTCGAGTTGCGGCGGGGACCTGGGGTATGTTCTCGACTTACGGCGGGGATGGCCCTTCAAAACACGAGTTTCTTCAGTGAAGTCAGGACTCCTGTCTAGTAATGAGGGACACCTCAGGAATCTCTTCGAGGCTTGGCAGGGAAAAGGGACGCTTCTCGAGGTGAGGCAGGGCACCCAAGGACCCTTTCCAGTAGCCACAGGGATTTTGGGATTCCTATCAGTATTCAAGAGGAGTCAGGCGTCATCACCTTTTGAAGAAATGAACTCCGCCTACCTCTCGAGGAGTCAGCGGGATGTGAAGCATTCCGTCAAAATGAGGCAGGGACTTAGGGCTTTCTCTAAGGTCTCCACAGGGGATTCAGACATCCCTTCATGTTGTGAGATGAAAGACGAGCCTGTATTCAAGCCACTGCAAGGAAATCTGGCCTCCTTTCAAGTTAGGGCTTCTCGCTGTATATTCCCCTTGAGGCAGCAAACTCGGGGTCCCTCCCTCATAACTATTGCTGAGAGAAGCCTCCTCCTGAGGTGCTTCCGGAAAGTTGGCATACGTCTTGATCCTAAGCCAGGGAATCAGCTCTCATCTCGAGACGATTGGCGGGACACGGAGCATTCCTCGAGTTGCTGTGCTGAAGTTGGTGTTCCTCTAATCTTGGGACAGTGTTCTCGGGGCATCTCTGGAGTTGCCTGAAGGAAGTCGAGCCACCGTTCGTGTTGAATGGGGAACTTGGAATGGCTCTGGAGTTAATGCAGGGGAATCGGGCCTCATCTCGAGTTGATTTGGGGCACATGGAGCTGCTTTGCGTTGCTGGGGTGACCTCAGGGTCCGTCTAGACTGGTGACAGTGTTCTTGGGGACTGTCTCGAGATGCATTAAGCAAGTCGAAGCTCCTGACTTGTTTGAATGGGATCACGGAATAGCTCTGCATGCACTGCAGGGGAATGGGGCCTCATGTCGCCTCTAGGGGGAAGTCTCATGGTTTTTCTCGAGTTGGGTTGGGACCTGGGGTATGTTCTCGACTTACGGCGGGGATGGCCCTTCAAAACACGAGTTTCTTCAATGACGTCAGGACTCCTCTCTAGTAACGAGGGACACCTCAGGAATCTCTTCGAGGCTTGGCAGGGCAAAAGGGACGCTTCTCGAGGTGAGGCAGGGCACCCAAGTACCCTTTCCAGTAGCCACAGGGATTTTGGATTCCTATCAGTATTCAAGAGGAGTCAGGCATCGTCACCTTTTGAAGCAATGAACTCCGCGTGTCTCTCGAGGTGTCAGCGGGATGTGAGGCATTCCGTCAAAATTAGTCAGGGACCTAGGGCTTTCTCTAAGGTCTCCACAGGGGATTCAGACATCCCTTCATGTTGTGAGAAGAAAGACGAGCCTGTGTTCAAGCCACTACAAGGAAATCTGGCCTCATTTCAAGTTAGGGCTTCTCGCTGTATATTCCCCTTGAGGCAGCAAACTCGGGGTCCCTCCCTCATACCTATTGCTGAGAGAAGCCTCTTCCTGAGGTGCTTCCCGAAAGTTGGCATACATCTTGAGCCTAAGCCAGAGAATCAGCTCTCATCTCGAGATGATTTGGGGTACACGGAGCATTCCTCGAGTTGCTGTGCTGAAGTTGGTGTTCCTCTAGTCTTGGGACAGTGTTCTCGGGGCATCTCTGGAGTTTCCTGAATGAAGTCGAGCCACCGGTCGTGTTGAATGGGGAACGGGGAATGGCTCTGGAGTCAATGCAGGGGAATCGGGCCTCATCTCGCGTTGATTTGGGGCACATGGAGCTGCTGTGCGTTGATGGGGTGGCCTCAGGGTCCGTCTAGACTGGTGACAGTGTTCTTGGGGACTGTCTCGTGATCCATTAAGCAAGTCGAAGCTCCTGACTTGTTTGAATGGGATCACGGAATAGCTCTGCATGCACTGCAAGGGAATGGGGTCTCATCTCGCCTCTAGGGGGAAGTCTCATGGTTTTTCTCGAGTTGAGGCGGGGACCTGGGGTATGTTCTCGACTTACGGCGGGGATGGCCCTTCAAAACACGAGTTTCTTCAGTGACGTCAGGACTCCTGTCTAGTAACGAGGGACACCTCAGGAATCTCTTCGAGGCTTGGCAGGGCAAAAGGGACGCTTCTCGAGGTGAGGCAGGGCACCCAAGGACCCTTTCCAGTAGCCACAGGGATTTTGGGATTCCTATCAGTATTCAAGAGGAGTCAGGCGTCATCACCTTTTGAAGAAATGAACTCCGCCTACCTCTCGAGGAGTCAGCGGGATGTGAAGCATTCCGTCAAAATGAGGCAGGGACCTAGGGCTTTCTCTAAGGTCTCCACAGGGGATTCAGACATCCCTTCATGTTGTGAGATGAAAGACGAGCCTGTATTCAAGCCACTGCAAGGAAATCCGGCCTCCTTTCAAGTTAGGGCTTCTCGCTGTATATTCCCCTTGAGGCAGTAAACTCGGGGTCCCTCCCTCATACCTATTGCTGAGAGAAGCCTCCTCCTGAGGTGCTTCTGGAAAGTTGGCATACGTCTTGATCCTAAGCCAGGGAATCAGCTCTCATCTCGAGACGATTTGGGGTACACGGAGCATTCCTCGAGTTGCTGTGCTGAAGTTGGTGTTCCTCTAGACTTGGGACAGTGTTCTCGGGGCATCTCTGGAGTTGCCTGAAGGAAGTCGAGACACCGGTCGTGTTGAATGGGGAACGGGGAATGGCTCAGGAGTCAATGCAGGGGAATCGGGTCTCATCTCGAGTTGATTTGGGGCACATGGAACTGCTTTGCGTTGCTGGGGTGACCTCAGGGTCCGTCTAGACTGGTGACAGTGTTCTTGGGGACTGTCTCGAGATCCATTAAGCAAGTCGAAGCTCCTGACTTGTTTGAATGGGATCACGGAATAGCTCTGCATGCACTGCAGGGGAATGGGGCCTGATGTCGTCTCTAGGGGGAAGTCTCATGGTTTTTCTCGAGTTGCGGCGGGGACCTGGGGTATGTTCTCCACTTAGGGAGGGGATGGATCTTCAAAACACGAGTTTCTTCAGTGACGTCAGGACTCCTGTCTAGTATTGAGGGACACCTCAGGAATCTCTTCGAGGCTTGGCAGGGCAAAAGGGACGCTTCTCGAGGTGAGGCAGGGCACCCAAGGACACTTTCCAGTAGCCACAGGGATTTTGGGATTCCTATCAGTATTCAAGAGGAGTCAGGCGTCATCACCTTTTGAAGAAATGAACTCCGCCTACCTCTCGAGGAGTCAGCGGGATGTGAAGCATTCCGTCAAAATGAGGCAGGGACCTAGGGCTTTCTCTAAGGTCTCCACAGGGGATTCAGACATCCCTTCATGTTGTGAGATGAAAGACGAGCCTGTATTCAAGCCACTACAAGGAAATCCGGCCTCCTTTCAAGTTAGGGCTTCTCGCTGTATATTCCCCTTGAGGCACCAAACTCGGGGTCCCTCCCTCATAACTATTGCTGAGAGAAGCCTCCTCCTGAGGTGCTTCCGGAAAGTTGGCGTACGTCTTGATCCTAAGCCAGGGAATCAGCTCTCATCTCGAGACGATTTGCGGTACACGGAGCATTCCTCGAGTTGCTGTGCTGAAGTTGGTGTTCCTCTAGTCTTGGGACAGTGTCCTCGGGGCATCTCTGGAGTTTCCTGAATGAAGTCGAGCCACCGGTCGTGTTGAATGGGGAACTTGGAATGGCTCTGGAGTCAATGAAGGGGAATCGGGCTCATCTCGAGGTGATTTGGGGCACATGGAGCTGCTTTGCGTTGCTGGGGGTACCTCACGGTCGGTCTAGACTCGTGACAGTGTTCTTGGGGACTGTCTCGAGATCCATTAAGCAAGTCGAAGCTCCTGACTTGTTTGAATGGGATCACGGAATAGCTCTGCATGCACTGCAGGGGAATGGGGCCTCATGTCGCCTCTAGGGGGAAGTCTCATGGTTTTTCTCGAGTTGCGGCGGGGACCTGGGGTATGTTCTCGACTTACGGCGGGGATGGCCCTTCAAAACACGAGTTTCTTCAGTGACGTCAGGACTCCTGTCTAGCAACGAGGGACACCTCAGGAATCTCTTCGAGGCTTGGCAGGGCAAAAGGGACGCTTCTCGAGGTGAGGCAGGGCACCCAAGGACCCTTTCCAGTAGCCACAGGGATTTTGGGATTCCTATCAGTATTCAAGAGGAGTCAGGCGTCATCACCTTTTGAAGAAATGAACTCCGCCTACCTCTCGAGGATTCAGCGGGATGTGAAGCATTCCGTCAAAATGAGGCAGGGACCTAGGGCTTTCTCTAAGGTCTCCACAGGGGATTCAGACATCCCTTCATGTTGTGAGATGAAAGACGAGCCTGTATTCAAGCCACTGCAAGGAAATCCGGCCTCCTTTCCAGTTAGGGCTTCTCGCTGTATATTCCCCTTGAGGCAGCAAACTCGGGGTCCCTCCCTCATACCTATTGCTGAGAGAAGCCTCCTCCTGAGGTGCATCCGGAAAGTTGGCATACGTCTTGATCCTAAGCCAGGGAAGCATCTCCCATCTCGAGACGATATGGGGTACACGGAACATTCCTCGAGTTGCTGTGCTGAAGTTGGTGTTCCTCTAGACTTGGGACAGTGTTCTCGGGGCATCTCTGGAGTTGCCTGAAGGAAGTCGAGCCACCGGTCCTGTTCAATGGGGAACGGGGAATGGCTCTGGAGTCAATGCAGGGGAATCGGGCCTCATCTCGAGTTGATTTGGGGCACACGGAGCTACTTTTCGTTGCTGGGGTGACCTCAGGGTCCGTCTAGAGTGGTGACAGTGTTCTTGGGGACTGTCTCGAGATCCATTAAGCAAGTCGAAGCTCCTGACTTCTTTGAATGGGATCACGGAATAGCTCTGTATGCACTGCAGGGGAATGGGGCCTCATGTCGCCTCTAGGGGGAAGTCTCATGGTTTTCCTCGAGTTGCGGCGGTTACCTGTTGTATGTTCTCGACTAACGGCGGGGATGGCCCTTCAAAACACGAGTTTCTTCAGTGAAGTCAGGACTCCTGTCTAGTAACGAGGGACACCTCAGGAATCTCCTCGAGGATTGGCAGGGCAAAAGGGACGCTTCTCGAGGTGAGGCAGGGCACCCAAGGACCCTTTCCAGTAGCCACAGGGATTTTGGATTCCTATCAGTATTCAAGAGGAGTCAGGCATCGTCACCTTTTGAAGCAATGAACTCCGCGTGCCTCTCGAGGTGTCAGCGGGATGTGAGGTATTCCGTCAAAATGAGGCAGGAAACTAGGGCTTTCTCTAAGTTCTCCACAGGGGATTCAGACATCCCTTCATGTTGTGAGATGAAAGACGAGCCTGTATTCAAGCCACTGCAAGAAAATCTGGCCTCCTTTCAAGTTAGGGATTCTCGATGTATATTCCCCTTGACGCAGCAAACTCGGGGTCCCTCCCTCATACCTATTGCTGAGAGAAGCCTCCTCCTGAGGTGCTTCTGGAAAGTTGGCATACGTCTTGATCCTAAGCCAGGGAATCAGCTCTCATCTCGAGACGATTTGGGGTACACGGAGCATTCCTCGACTTGCTGTGCTGAAGTTGGTGTTCCTCTAGTCTTGGGACAGTGTTCTCAGGGCATCTCTGGAGTTGCCTGAAGGAAGTCGAGCCACGGGTCGTGTTGAATGGGGAACGGGGAATGGCTCTGGAGTCAATGCAGGGGAATCGGGCCTCATCTCGAGTTGATTTGGGGCACATGGAGCTGCTTTGCATTGCTGGGGTGACCTCAGTGTCCGTATAGACTGGTGACAGTGTTCTTGGGGACTGCCTCGAGATCCATTAAGGAAGTCTCAGCCCCTGACTTGTTTGAATGGGATCACGGAATAGCTCTGCATGCACTGCAGGGGAATGGGACCTCATGTCGCCTCTAGGGGGAAGTCTCATGGTTTTTCTCGAGTTGCCGGGGGACCTGGGGTATGTTCTCGACTTACGGCGGGGATGGCCCTTAAAAATATGAGTTTCTTCAGTGAAGTCAGGACTCCTGTCTACTAACGAGGGACACCTCAGGAATCTCTTCGAGGCTTGGCAGGGCAAAAGGGACGCTTCTCGAGGTGAGGCAGGTCACCCAAGGAGCCTTTCCAGTAGCCACAGGGATTTTGGATTCATATCAGTATTCAAGAGGAGTCAGGCATCGTCACCTTTTGAAGCAGTGAACTCCGTGTGCCTCTCGAGGTATCAGCGGGATGTGAGGCATTCCGTCAAAATGAGGCAGGAACCTAGGGCTTTCTCTAAGGTCTCCACAGGGGATTCAGACATCCCTTCATGTTGTGAGATGAAACACGAGCCTGTATTCAAGCCACTACAAGGAATTCCGGCCTCCTTTCAAGTTAGGGTTTCTCGCTGTATATTCCCCTTGAGGCAGCAAACTCGCGGTCCCTCCCTCATACCTATTGCTGAGAGAAGCCTCCTCCAGAGGTGCTTCCGGAAAGTTGGCATAAGTCTTGAGCCTAAGCCAGGGAATCAGCTCTCGTCTCGAGACGATTTGGGGTACACGGAGCATTCCTCGAGTTGCTGTGCTGAAGTTGGTGTTCTTCTAGTCTTGGGACAGTGTTCTCGGGGCATCTCTGGAGTTGCCTGAAGGAAGTCGAGCCACCGGTCGTGTTGGTTGGGGAACGGGGAATGGCTCCGGAGTCAATGCAGGGGAATCGGGCCTCATCTCGAATTGATTTGGGGCACATGGAGCTGCTTTGCGTTGCTGTGGTGACCTCAGGGTCCGTCTAGACTGGTGACAGTGTTCTTGGGGACTGTTTCGAGATCCATTAAGCAAGTCGAAGCTCCTGACTTGTTTGAATGGGATCACGGAATAGCTCTGCATGCACTGCAGGGGAATGGGGCCTCATGTCGCCTCTAGGGGGAAGTCTCATGGTTTTCCACGAGTTGCGGCGGGGACCCGGGGTTTGTTCTCGACTAACGACGGGGATGGCCCTTCAAAACACGAGTTTCTTCAGTGAAGTCAGGACTCCTGTCTAGTAACGAGGGACACCTCAGGAATATCTTCGAGGCTTGGCAGGGCAAAAGGGACGCTTCTCGTGGTGAGGCAGGGCACCCAAGGACCCTTTCCAGTAGCCACAGTGATTTTGGATTCCTATCAGTATTCAAGAGGAGTCAGGCATCGTCACCTTTTGAAGCAATGAACTCCGCGTGCCTCTCGAGGTGTCAGCGGGATGTGAGGTATTCCGTCAAAATGAGGCAGTGACCTAGGGCTTTCTCTAAGTTCTCCACAGGGGATTCAGACATCCCTTCATGTTGTGAGATGAAAGACGAGCCTGTATTCAAGCCACTGCAAGAAAATCTGGCCTCCTTTCAAGTTAGGGATTCTCGCTGTATATTCCCCTTGAGACAGCAAACTCGGGGTCCCTCCCTCATACCTATTGCTGAGAGAAGCCTCCTCCTGAGGTGCTTCTGGAAAGTTGGCATACGTCTTGAGCCTAAGCCAGGGAATCAGCTCTCATCTCGAGACGATTTGGGGTACACGGAGCATTCCTCGAGTTGCTGTGCTGAAGGTGGTGTTCCTCTAGTCTTGGGACAGTGTTCTCGGGGCATCTCTGGAGTTGCCTGAAGGAAGTCGAGCCACCGGTCCTGTTGAATGGGGAACGGGGAATGGCTCTGGAGTCAATGCATTGGAATCGGGCCTCATCATGAGGTGATTTGGGGCACATGGAGCTGCTTTGCGTTGCTTGGGGTACCTCAGGGTCGGTCTAGACTGGTGACAGTGTTCTTGTGGACTGTCTCGAGATCCATTAAGCAAGTCGAAGCTCCTGACTTGTTTGAATGGGATCACGGAATAGCTCTGCATGCACTGCAGGGGAATTTTACTTCATCTCGCCTCTAGGGGGAAGTCACATGGTTTTTCTCGAGTTGCGGCGGGGACCTGGGGTATGTTCTCGACTTAGGGAGGGGATGGCCCTTCAAAACACGAGTTTCTTCAGTGACGTCAGGACTCCTGTCTAGTAACGAGGGACACCTCAGTAAACTCTTCGAGGCTTGGCAGGGCAAAAGGGACGCTTCTCGAGGTGAGGCAGGGCACCCAAGGACCCTTTCCAGTAGCCACAGGGATTTTGGATTCCTATCAGTATTCAAGAGGAGTCAGGCATCGTCACCTTTTGAAGCAATGAACTCCGCGTGCCTCTCGAGGTGTCAGCGGGATGTGAGGTATTCCGTCAAAATGAGGCAGGGACCTAGGGCTTTCTCTAAGGTCTCCACAGGGGATTCAGACATCCCTTCATGTTGTGAGATGAATGACGAGCCTGTATTCAAGCCACTACAAGGAAATGCGGCCTCCTTTCAAGTTAGGGCTTCTCGCTGTATATTGCCCTTGAGGCAGCAAACTCGGGGTCCCTCCCACATACCTATTGCTGAGAGAAGCCTCCTCCTGAGGTGCTTCTGGAAAGTTGTCATACGTTTTGAGCCTAAGCCAGAGAATCAACTCTCATCTCGAGACGATTTGGGGTACACGGAGCATTCCTCGAGTTGCTGTGCTGAAGTTGGTGTTCCTCTAGACTTGGGACAGTGTTCTCGGGGCATCTCTGGAGTTGGCTGAAGGAAGTCGAGCCACCGGTCGTGTTGAATGGGGAACGCGGAATGGCTCTGGAGTCAATGCAGGGGAATCGGGCCTCATCTCGAGTTGATTTGGGGCACATGGAGCTGCTTTGCATTGATGGGGTGACCTCAGGGTCCGTCTAGACTGGTGACACTGTTCTTGGGGACTGTCTTGAGATCCATTAAGTTAGTCGAAGCTCCTGACTTGTTTGAATGGGATCACGGAATAGCTCTGCATGCACTGCAGGGGAATCGGGTCTCATCTCGCCTCTAGGGGGAAGTCTCATGATTTTTCTCGAGTTGCGGCGGCGACCTGGGTTATGTTCTCGACTTACCTAGGGGATGGCCCTTCAAAACACGAGTTTCTTCAGTGAAGTCAGGACTCCTGTCTAGTAACGAGGGACACCTCAGGAATGTCTTCGAGGCTTGGCAGGGCGAAAGGGACGCTTCTCGAGGTGAGACAGGGCACCCAAGGACCCTTTCCAGTAGCCACAGGGATTTTGGATTCCTATCAGTATTCAAGAGGAGTCAGGCATCGTCACCTTTTGAAGCAATGAACTCCACGTGCCTCTCGAGGTGTCAGCGGGATGTGAGGTATTCCGTCAAAATGAGGCAGGGACCTAGGGCTTTCCTAAGGTTTCCACAGGGGATTCAGACATCCCTTCATGTTGTGAGATGAAAGACGAGCCTGTGTTCAAGCCACTGCAAGGAAATCCGGCCACCTTTCAAGTTAGGGCTTCTCGCTGTATATTGCCCTTGAGGCAGCAAACTCGGGGTCCCACCCTCATACCTATTGCTGAGAGAAGCCTCCTCCTGAGGTGCTTCTGGAAAGTTGGCATACGTTTTGAGCCTAAGCCAGGGAATCAACTCTCATCTCGAGACGATTTGGGGTACACGGAGCATTCCTCGAGTTGCTGTGCTGAAGTTGGTGTTCCTATAGTCTTGGGACAGTGTTCTCGGGGCATCTCTGGAGTTGCCTGAAGGAAGTCGAGCCACCGGTCGTGTTGAATGGGGAACGGGGAATGGCTCTTGGGTCAATGCAGGGGAATCGGGCCTCATCTCGAGTTGATTTGGGGCACATGGAGCTGCTTTGCATTGCTGGGGTGACCTCAGGGTCCGTATAGACTGGTGACAGTGTTCTTGGGCACTGCCTCGAGATCCATTAAGGATGTCTAAGCCCCTGACTTGTTTGAATGGGATCACGGAATAGCTCTGCATGCACTGCAGGGGAATGGGACCTCATGTCGCATCTAGGGGGAAGTCTCATGGTTTTTCTCGAGTTGCGGCGGGGACCTGGGGTATGCTCTCGACTTACAGGGGGATGGCCCTTCAAAACATGAGTTTCTTCAGTGAAGTCAGGACTCCTGTCTAGTAACGAGGGACACCTCAGGAATCTCTTCGAGGCTTGGCAGGGCAAAAGGGACGCTTCTCGAGGTGAGGCAGGGCACCCAAGGACCCTTTCCAGTAGCCACAGGGATTTTGGATTCCTATCAGTATTCAAGAGGAGTCAGGCATCGTCACCTTTTGAAGCAATGAACTCCGCGTGCCTCTCGAGGTATCAGCGGGATGTGAGGCATTCCGTCAAAATGAGGCAGGAACCTAGGGCTTTCTCTAAGGTCTCCACAGGGGATTCAGACATCCCTTCATGTTGTGAGATGAAAGACGAGCCTGTGTTCAAGCCACTGCAAGGAAATCTGGCCTCCTTTCAAGTTAGGGCTTCTCGCTGTATATTCCCCTTGGGGCAGTAAACTCGGGGTCCCTCCCTCATACCTATTGCTGAGAGGAGCCTCCTCTTGACGTGCTTCTGGAAAGTTGGCATACGTCTTGAGCCTAAGCCAGGGAATCAGCTCTCATCTCGAGACGATTTGAGGTACACGGAGCATTCCTCGAGTTGCTGTGCTCAAGTTGGTGTTCCTCTAGTCTTGGGACAGTGTTCTCGGGGCATCTCTGGAGTTGCCTGAGGGAACTCGAGCCACCGGTCGTGTTGAATGGGGAACTTGGAATGGCTCTGGAGTCAATGCAGGGGAATCGGGCCTCATCTCGTGGTGATTTTGGGCACATGGAGCTGCTTTGCGTTGCTGGGGGTACCTCAGGGTCGGTCTAGACTGGTGACAGTGTTCTTGGGGACTGCCTCGAGGTCCATTAAGGAAGTCGAAGCCCCTGACTTGTTTGAATGGGATCACGGAATAGCTCTGCATGCACTGAAGGGGAATGGGGCCTCATCTCGCCTATAGGGGGAAGTCTCATGGTTTTTCTCCAGTTGAGGCGGGGACCTGGGGTATGTTCTCGACTTACGGCAGGGATGGCCCTTCAAAACACGAGTTTCTTCAGTGACGTCTGGACTCCTGTGTAGTAACGAGGGACACCTCAGGAATCTCTTCAAGTCTTGGCAGGGCAAAAGGGACGCTTCTCGAGGTGAGGCAGGGCACCCAAGGACCCTTTCCAGTAGCCACAGGGATTTTGGGATTCCTATCAGTATTCAAGAGGAGTCAGGCGTCATCACCTTTTGAAGAAATGAACTCCGCGTACCTCTCGAGGAGTCAGCGGGATGTGAAGCATTCCCTCAAAATGAGGCAGGGACCTAGGGCTTTCTCTAAGGTCTCCACAGGGGATTCAGACATCCCTTCATGTTGTGAGATGAAAGACGAGCCTGTATTCAAGCCACTGCAAGGAAATCCGGCCTCCTTTCAAGTTAGGGCTTCTCGCTGTATATTCCCCTTGAGGCAGCAAACTCGGGGTCCCTCCCTCATACCTATTGCTGAGAGAAGCCTCCTCCTGAGGTGCTTCCGGAAAGTTGGCATACGTCTTGATCCTAAGCCAGGGAATCAGCTCTCATCTCGAGACGATTTGGGGTACACGGAGCATTCCTCGAGTTGCTGTGCTGAAGTTGGTGTTCCTCTAGTCTTGGGACAGTGTTCTCGGGGCATCTCTGGAGTTGCCTGAAAGAACTCGAGCCACCGGTCGTGTTGAATGGGGAACTTGGAATGGCTCTGGACTCAATGCAGGGGAATCGGGCCTCATCTCGAGGTGATTTGGGGCACATGGAGCTGCTTTGCGTTGCTGGGGGTACCTCAGGGTCGGTCTAGACTGGTGACAGTGTTCTTGGGGACTGTCTCGAGATCCATTAAGCAAGTCGAAGCTCCTGACTTGTTTGAATGGGATCACGGAATAGCTCTGCATGGACTGCAGGGGAATGGGGCCTCATCTCGCCTCTAGGGGGAAGTCTCATGGTTTTTCTCGAGTTGCGGCGGGGACCTGGGGTATGTTCTCGACTTACGGCGGGGATGGCCCATCAAAACACGAGTTTCTTCAGTGACGTCAGGACTCCTGTCTAGTAACGAGGGACACCTCAGGAATCTCTTCGAGGCTTGGCAGGGCAAAAGGGACGCTTCTCGAGGTGAGGCAGGGCACCCAAGGAGACTTTCCAGTAGCCACAGGGATTTTGGGATTACTATCAGAATTCAAGAGGAGTCAGGCATCATCACCTTTTGAAGCAATGAACTCCGCGTGCCTCTCGAGGTGTCAGCAGGATATGAGGCATTCCGTCAAAAGGAGGCAGGGACCTAGGGCTTTCTTTAAGGTCTCCACAGGGGATTCAGACATCCCTTCATGTTGTGAGATGAAACACAAGCCTGTATTCAAGCCACTACAAGGAAATCCGGCCTCCTTTCAAGTTAGGGCTTCTCGCTGTATATTCCCCTTGAGGCAGCAAACTCGGGGTCCCTCCCTCATACCTATTGCTGAGAGAAGCCTCCTCCTGAGGTACATCCGGAAAGTTGGCATACGTCTTGATCCGAAGCCAGGGAAGCATCTCTCATCTCGACACGATATGGGGTACACGGAACATTCCTCGAGTTGCTGTGCTGAAGTTGGTGTTCCTCTAGACTTGGGACAGTGTTCTCGGGGCATCTCTGGAGTTGCCTGAAGGAAGTCGAGCCACCGGTCGTGTTGAATGGGGAACGGGGAATGGCTCTGGAGTCAATGCATTGGAATCGGGCCTCATCTCGAGTTGATTTGGGGCACATGGAGCTGCTTTGCATTGCTGGGGTGACCTTAGGGTCCGTATAGACTGGTGACAGTGTTCTTGGGCACTGCCTCGAGATCCATTAAGGAAGTCTAAGCCCCTGACTTGTTTGAATGGGATCACGGAATAGCTCTGCATGCACTGCAGGGGAATGGGACCTCATGTCGCATCTAGGGGGAAGTCTCATGGTTTTTCTCGAGTTGCGGCGGGGACCTGGGGTATGCTCTCGACTTACAGGGGGATGGCCCTTCAAAACATGAGTTTCTTCAGTGAAGTCAGGACTCCTGTCTAGTAACGAGGGACACCTCAGGAATCTCTTCGAGGCTTGGCAGGGCAAAAGGGACGCTTCTCGAGGTGAGGCAGGGCACCCAAGGACCCTTTCCAGTAGCCACAGGGATTTTGGATTCCTATCAGTATTCAAGAGGAGTCAGGCATCGTCACCTTTTGAAGCAATGAACTCCGCGTGCCTCTCGAGGTATCAGCGGGATGTGAGGCATTCCGTCAAAATGAGGCAGGAACCTAGGGCTTTCTCTAAGGTCTCCACAGGGGATTCAGACATCCCTTCATGTTGTGAGATGAAAGACGAGCCTGTGTTCAAGCCACTGCAAGGAAATCTGGCCTCCTTTCAAGTTAGGGCTTCTCGCTGTATATTCCCCTTGGGGCAGTAAACTCGGGGTCCCTCCCTCATACCTATTGCTGAGAGAAGCCTCCTCTTGACGTGCTTCTGGAAAGTTGGCATACGTCTTGAGCCTAAGCCAGGGAATCAGCTCTCATCTCGAGACGATTTGAGGTACACGGAGCATTCCTCGAGTTGCTGTGCTCAAGTTGGTGTTCCTCTAGTCTTGGGACAGTGTTCTCGGGGCATCTCTGGAGTTGCCTGAGGGAACTCGAGCCACCGGTCGTGTTGAATGGGGAACTTGGAATGGCTCTGGAGTCAATGCAGGGGAATCGGGCCTCATCTCGTGGTGATTTTGGGCACATGGAGCTGCTTTGCGTTGCTGGGGGTACCTCAGGGTCGGTCTAGACTGGTGACAGTGTTCTTGGGGACTGCCTCGAGGTCCATTAAGGAAGTCGAAGCCCCTGACTTGTTTGAATGGGATCACAGAATAGCTCTGCATGCACTGAAGGGGAATGGGGCCTCATCTCGCCTATAGGGGGAAGTCTCATGGTTTTTCTCCAGTTGAGGCGGGGACCTGGGGTATGTTCTCGACTTACGGCAGGGATGGCCCTTCAAAACACGAGTTTCTTCAGTGACGTCTGGACTCCTGTGTAGTAACGAGGGACACCTCAGGAATCTCTTCAAGTCTTGGCAGGGCAAAAGGGACGCTTCTCGAGGTGAGGCAGGGCACCCAAGGACCCTTTCCAGTAGCCACAGGGATTTTGGGATTCCTATCAGTATTCAAGAGGAGTCAGGCGTCATCACCTTTTGAAGAAATGAACTCCGCGTACCTCTCGAGGAGTCAGCGGGATGTGAAGCATTCCCTCAAAATGAGGCAGGGACCTAGGGCTTTCTCTAAGGTCTCCACAGGGGATTCAGACATCCCTTCATGTTGTGAGATGAAAGACGAGCCTGTATTCAAGCCACTGCAAGGAAATCCGGCCTCCTTTCAAGTTAGGGCTTCTCGCTGTATATTCCCCTTGAGGCAGCAAACTCGGGGTCCCTCCCTCATACCTATTGCTGAGAGAAGCCTCCTCCTGAGGTGCTTCCGGAAAGTTGGCATACGTCTTGATCCTAAGCCAGGGAATCAGCTCTCATCTCGAGACGATTTGGGGTACACGGAGCATTCCTCGAGTTGCTGTGCTGAAGTTGGTGTTCCTGTAGTCTTGGGACAGTGTTCTCGGGGCATCTCTGGAGTTGCCTGAAAGAACTCGAGCCACCGGTCGTGTTGAATGGGGAACTTGGAATGGCTCTGGACTCAATGCAGGGGAATCGGGCCTCATCTCGAGGTGATTTGGGGCACATGGAGCTGCTTTGCGTTGCTGGGGGTACCTCAGGGTCGGTCTAGACTGGTGACAGTGTTCTTGGGGACTGTCTCGAGATCCATTAAGCAAGTCGAAGCTCCTGACTTGTTTGAATGGGATCACGGAATAGCTCTGCATGGACTGCAGGGGAATGGGGCCTCATCTCGCCTCTAGGGGGAAGTCTCATGGTTTTTCTCGAGTTGCGGCGGGGACCTGGGGTATGTTCTCGACTTACGGCGGGGATGGCCCATCAAAACACGAGTTTCTTCAGTGACGTCAGGACTCCTGTCTAGTAACGAGGGACACCTCAGGAATCTCTTCGAGGCTTGGCAGGGCAAAAGGGACGCTTCTCGAGGTGAGGCAGGGCACCCAAGGAGACTTTCCAGTAGCCACAGGGATTTTGGGATTACTATCAGAATTCAAGAGGAGTCAGGCATCATCACCTTTTGAAGCAATGAACTCCGCGTGCCTCTCGAGGTGTCAGCAGGATATGAGGCATTCCGTCAAAAGGAGGCAGGGACCTAGGGCTTTCTTTAAGGTCTCCACAGGGGATTCAGACATCCCTTCATGTTGTGAGATGAAACACAAGCCTGTATTCAAGCCACTACAAGGAAATCCGGCCTCCTTTCAAGTTAGGGCTTCTCGCTGTATATTCCCCTTGAGGCAGCAAACTCGGGGTCCCTCCCTCATACCTATTGCTGAGAGAAGCCTCCTCCTGAGGTACATCCGGAAAGTTGGCATACGTCTTGATCCGAAGCCAGGGAAGCATCTCTCATCTCGACACGATATGGGGTACACGGAACATTCCTCGAGTTGCTGTGCTGAAGTTGGTGTTCCTCTAGACTTGGGACAGTGTTCTCGGGGCATCTCTGGAGTTGCCTGAAGGAAGTCGAGCCACCGGTCGTGTTGAATGGGGAACGGGGAATGGCTCTGGAGTCAATGCAGGGGAATCGGGCCTCATCTCGAGTTGATTTGGGGCACATGGAGCTGCTTTGCATTGCTGGGGTGACCTTAGGGTCCGTATAGACTGGTGACAGTGTTCTTGGGCACTGCCTCGAGATCCATTAAGGAAGTCTAAGCCCCTGACTTGTTTGAATGGGATCACGGAATAGCTCTGCATGCACTGCAGGGGAATGGGACCTCATGTCGCATCTAGGGGGAAGTCTCATGGTTTTTCTCGAGTTGCGGCGGGGACCTGGGGTATGCTCTCGACTTACAGGGGGATGGCCCTTCAAAACATGAGTTTCTTCAGTGAAGTCAGGACTCCTGTCTAGTAACGAGGGACACCTCAGGAATCTCTTCGAGGCTTGGCAGGGCAAAAGGGACGCTTCTCGAGGTGAGGCAGGGCACCCAAGGACCCTTTCCAGTAGCCACAGGGATTTTGGATTCCTATCAGTATTCAAGAGGAGTCAGGCATCGTCACCTTTTGAAGCAATGAACTCCGCGTGCCTCTCGAGGTATCAGCGGGATGTGAGGCATTCCGTCAAAATGAGGCAGGAACCTAGGGCTTTCTCTAAGGTCTCCACAGGGGATTCAGACATCCCTTCATGTTGTGAGATGAAAGACGAGCCTGTGTTCAAGCCACTGCAAGGAAATCTGGCCTCCTTTCAAGTTAGGGCTTCTCGCTGTATATTCCCCTTGGGGCAGTAAACTCGGGGTCCCTCCCTCATACCTATTGCTGAGAGAAGCCTCCTCTTGACGTGCTTCTGGAAAGTTGGCATACGTCTTGAGCCTAAGCCAGGGAATCAGCTCTCATCTCGAGACGATTTGAGGTACACGGAGCATTCCTCGAGTTGCTGTGCTCAAGTTGGTGTTCCTCTAGTCTTGGGACAGTGTTCTCGGGGCATCTCTGGAGTTGCCTGAGGGAACTCGAGCCACCGGTCGTGTTGAATGGGGAACTTGGAATGGCTCTGGAGTCAATGCAGGGGAATCGGGCCTCATCTCGTGGTGATTTTGGGCACATGGAGCTGCTTTGCGTTGCTGGGGGTACCTCAGGGTCGGTCTAGACTGGTGACAGTGTTCTTGGGGACTGCCTCGAGGTCCATTAAGGAAGTCGAAGCCCCTGACTTGTTTGAATGGGATCACGGAATAGCTCTGCATGCACTGAAGGGGAATGGGGCCTCATCTCGCCTATAGGGGGAAGTCTCATGGTTTTTCTCCAGTTGAGGCGGGGACCTGGGGTATGTTCTCGACTTACGGCAGGGATGGCCCTTCAAAACACGAGTTTCTTCAGTGACGTCTGGACTCCTGTGTAGTAACGAGGGACACCTCAGGAATCTCTTCAAGTCTTGGCAGGGCAAAAGGGACGCTTCTCGAGGTGAGGCAGGGCACCCAAGGACCCTTTCCAGTAGCCACAGGGATTTTGGGATTCCTATCAGTATTCAAGAGGAGTCAGGCGTCATCACCTTTTGAAGAAATGAACTCCGCGTACCTCTCGAGGAGTCAGCGGGATGTGAAGCATTCCCTCAAAATGAGGCAGGGACCTAGGGCTTTCTCTAAGGTCTCCACAGGGGATTCAGACATCCCTTCATGTTGTGAGATGAAAGACGAGCCTGTATTCAAGCCACTGCAAGGAAATCCGGCCTCCTTTCAAGTTAGGGCTTCTCGCTGTATATTCCCCTTGAGGCAGCAAACTCGGGGTCCCTCCCTCATACCTATTGCTGAGAGAAGCCTCCTCCTGAGGTGCTTCCGGAAAGTTGGCATACGTCTTGATCCTAAGCCAGGGAATCAGCTCTCATCTCGAGACGATTTGGGGTACACGGAGCATTCCTCGAGTTGCTGTGCTGAAGTTGGTGTTCCTGTAGTCTTGGGACAGTGTTCTCGGGGCATCTCTGGAGTTGCCTGAAAGAACTCGAGCCACCGGTCGTGTTGAATGGGGAACTTGGAATGGCTCTGGACTCAATGCAGGGGAATCGGGCCTCATCTCGAGGTGATTTGGGGCACATGGAGCTGCTTTGCGTTGCTGGGGGTACCTCAGGGTCGGTCTAGACTGGTGACAGTGTTCTTGGGGACTGTCTCGAGATCCATTAAGCAAGTCGAAGCTCCTGACTTGTTTGAATGGGATCACGGAATAGCTCTGCATGGACTGCAGGGGAATGGGGCCTCATCTCGCCTCTAGGGGGAAGTCTCATGGTTTTTCTCGAGTTGCGGCGGGGACCTGGGGTATGTTCTCGACTTACGGCGGGGATGGCCCATCAAAACACGAGTTTCTTCAGTGACGTCAGGACTCCTGTCTAGTAACGAGGGACACCTCAGGAATCTCTTCGAGGCTTGGCAGGGCAAAAGGGACGCTTCTCGAGGTGAGGCAGGGCACCCAAGGAGACTTTCCAGTAGCCACAGGGATTTTGGGATTACTATCAGAATTCAAGAGGAGTCAGGCATCATCACCTTTTGAAGCAATGAACTCCGCGTGCCTCTCGAGGTGTCAGCAGGATATGAGGCATTCCGTCAAAAGGAGGCAGGGACCTAGGGCTTTCTTTAAGGTCTCCACAGGGGATTCAGACATCCCTTCATGTTGTGAGATGAAACACAAGCCTGTATTCAAGCCACTACAAGGAAATCCGGCCTCCTTTCAAGTTAGGGCTTCTCGCTGTATATTCCCCTTGAGGCAGCAAACTCGGGGTCCCTCCCTCATAGCTATTGCTGAGAGAAGCCTCCTCCTGAGGTACATCCGGAAAGTTGGCATACGTCTTGATCCGAAGCCAGGGAAGCATCTCTCATCTCGACACGATATGGGGTACACGGAACATTCCTCGAGTTGCTGTGCTGAAGTTGGTGTTCCTCTAGACTTGGGACAGTGTTCTCGGGGCATCTCTGGAGTTGCCTGAAGGAAGTCGAGCCACCGGTCGTGTTGAATGGGGAACGGGGAATGGCTCTGGAGTCAATGCAGGGTAATCGGGCCTCATTTCGAGTTGATTTGGGGCACATGGAGCTGCTTTGCATTGCTGGGGTAACCTCAGGGTCCGTCTGACTGGTGACAGTGTTCTTGGGGACTGTCTCGTGATCCATTAAGCAAGTCGAAGCTCCTGACTTGTTTGAATGGGATCACGGAATAGCTCTGCATGCACTGAAGGGGAATGGGGCCTCATCTCGCCTATAGGGGGAAGTCTCATGGTTTTTCTCCAGTTGAGGCGGGGACCTGGGGTATGTTCTCGACTTACGGCCGGGATGGCCCTTCAAAACACGAGTTTCTTCAGTGACGTCTGGACTCCTGTCTAGTAACGAGGGACACCTCAAGAATCTCTTCAAGGCTTGGCAGGGCAAAAGGGACGCTTCTCGAGGTGAGGCAGGGCACCCAAGGACCCTTTCCAGTAGCCACAGGGATTTTGGGATTCCTATCAGTATTCAAGAGGAGTCAGGCGTCATCACCTTTTGAAGAAATGAACTCCGCGTACCTCTCGAGGAGTCAGCGGGATGTGAAGCATTCCGTCAAAATGAGGCAGGGACCTAGGGCTTTCTCTAAGGTCTCCACAGGGGATTCAGACATCCCTTCATGTTGTGAGATGAAAGACGAGCCTGTATTCAAGCCACTGCAAGGAAATCCGGCCTCCTTTCAAGTTAGGGCTTCTCGCTGTATATTCCCCTTGAGGCAGCAAACTCGGGGTCCCTCCCTCATACCTATTGCTGAGAGAAGCCTCCTCCTGAGGTGCTTCCGGAAAGTTGGCATACGTCTTGATCCTAAGCCAGGGAATCAGCTCTCATCTCGAGACGATTTGGGGTACACGGAGCATTCCTCGAGTTGCTGTGCTGAAGTTGGTGTTCCTCTAGTCTTGGGACAGTGTTCTCGGGGCATCTCTGGAGTTGCCTGAAAGAACTCGAGCCACCGGTCGTGTTGAATGGGGAACTTGGAATGGCTCTGGAGTCAATGCAGGGGAATCGGGCCTCATCTCGAGGTGATTTGGGGCACATGGAGCTGCTTTGCGTTGCTGGGGGTACCTCAGGGTCGGTCTAGGCTGGTGACAGTGTTCTTGGGGACTGTCTCGAGATCCATTAAGCAAGTCGAAGGTCCTGACTTGTTTGAATGGGATCACGGAATAGCTCTGCATGCACTGCAGGGGAATGGGGCCTCATCTCGCCTCTAGGGGGAAGTCTCATGGTTTTTCTCGAGTTGCGGCGGGGACCTGGGGTATGTTCTCGACTTACGGCGGGGATGGCCCATCAAAACACGAGTTTCTTCAGTGACGTCAGGACTCCTGTCTAGTAACTAGGGACACCTCAGGAATCTCTTCGAGGCTTGGCAGGGCAAAAGGGACGCTTCTCGAGGTGAGGCAAGGCACCCAAGGACCCTTTCCAGTAGCCACAGGGATTTTGGATTCCTATCAGTATTCAAGAGGAGTCAGGCATCATCACCTTTTGAAGCAATGAACTCCGCGTGCCTCTCGATGTGTCAGCAGGATATGAGGCATTCCGTCAAAAGGAGGCAGGGACCTAGGGCGTTCTCTAAGGTCTCCACAGGGGATTCAGACATCCCTTCATGTTGTGAGATGAAACACAAGCCTGTATTCAAGCCACTACAAGGAAATCCGGCCTCCTTACAAGTTAGGGCTTCTCGCTGTATATTCCCCTTGAGGCAGCAAACTCGGGGTCCCTCCCACATACCTATTGCTTAGAGAAGCCTCCTCCTGATGTGCTTCTGGAAAGTTGGCATACGTCTTGAGCCTAAGCCAGGGAATCAGCTCTCATCTCGAGACGATTTGGGGTACACGGAGCATTCCTCGAGTTGCTGTGCTGAAGTTGGTGTTCCTCTAGACTTGGGACAGTGTTCTCGGGGCATCACTGGAGTTGCCTGAAAGAAGTTGAGCCACCGGTCGTGTTGAATGGGGAACGGGGAATGGCTCTGGAGTCAATGCAGGGGAATCGGGCCTCATCTCGTGGTGATTTGGGGCACATGGAGCTGCTTTGCGTTGCTGGGGTGACCTCAGGGTCCGTCTAGACTGGTGACAGTGTTCTTGGGGACTGTCTCGAGATCCATTAAGCAAGTCGAAGCTCCTGACTTGTTTGAATGGGATCACGGAATAGCTCTGCATGCACTGCAGGGGAATGGGGCCTCATCTCGCCTCTAGGGGGAATCTCATGGTTTTTCTCGAGTTGCGGCGGGGACCTGGGGTATGTTCTCGACTTACGGCGGGGATGGCCCATCAAAACACGAGTTTCTTCAGTGACGTCAGGACTCCTGTCTAGTAACGAGGGACACCTCAGGAATCTCTTCGAGGCTTGGCAGGGCAAAAGGGACGCTTCTCGAGGTGAGGCAAGGCACCCAAGGACCCTTTCCAGTAGCCACAGGGATTTTGGATTCCTATCAGTATTCAAGAGGAGTCAGGCATCATCACCTTTTGAAGCAATGAACTCCGCGTGCCTCTCGATGTGTCAGCAGGATATGAGGCATTCCGTCAAAAGGAGGCAGGGACCTAGGGCTTTCTCTAAGGTCTCCACAGGGGATTCAGACATCCCTTCATGTTGTGAGATGAAAGACGAGCCTGTGTTCAAGCCACTGCAAGGAAATCAGGCCTCCTTTCAAGTTAGGGCTTCTCGCTGTATATTCCCCTTGAGGCAGCAAACTCGGGGTCCCTCCCTCACACCTATTGCTGAGAGAAGCCTCCTCCTGAGATGCTTCTGGAAAGTTGGCATACGTCTTGAGCCTAAGCCAGGGAATCAGCTCTCATCTCGAGACGATTTGGGGTACACAGAGCATTCCTCGAGTTGCTGTGCTGAAGTTGGTGTTCCTCTAGCCTTGGGACAGTGTTCTCGGGGCATCTCTGGAGTTGGCTGAAGGAAGTCGAGCCACCGGTCGTCTTGAAGGGGAACGGGGAATGGCTCTGGAGTCAATGCATGGGAATCGGGCCTCATCTCGAGGTGATTTGGGGCACATGGAGCTGCTTTGCGTTGCTGGGGGTACCTCAGGGTCGGTCTAGACTGGTGACAGTGTTCTTGGGGACTGTCTCGAGATCCATTAAGCAAGTCGAAGGTCCTGACTTGTTTGAATGGGATCACGGAATAGCTCTGCATGCACTGCAGGGGAATGGGGCCTCATCTCGCCTCTAGGGGGAATTCTCATGGTTTTTCTCGAGTTGCGGCGGGGACCTGGGGTATGTTCTCGACTTACGGCGGGGATGGCCCATCAAAACACGAGTTTCTTCAGTGACGTCAGGACTCCTGTCTAGTAACTAGGGACACCTCAGGAATCTCTTCGAGGCTTGGCAGGGCAAAAGGGACGCTTCTCGAGGTGAGGCAAGGCACCCAAGGACCCTTTCCAGTAGCCACAGGGATTTTGGATTCCTATCAGTATTCAAGAGGAGTCAGGCATCATCACCTTTTGAAGCAATGAACTCCGCGTGCCTCTCGATGTGTCAGCAGGATATGAGGCATTCCGTCAAAAGGAGGCAGGGACCTAGGGCGTTCTCTAAGGTCTCCACAGGGGATTCAGACATCCCTTCATGTTGTGAGATGAAACACAAGCCTGTATTCAAGCCACTACAAGGAAATCCGGCCTCCTTACAAGTTAGGGCTTCTCGCTGTATATTCCCCTTGAGGCAGCAAACTCGGGGTCCCTCCCACATACCTATTGCTTAGAGAAGCCTCCTCCTGATGTGCTTCTGGAAAGTTGGCATACGTCTTGAGCCTAAGCCAGGGAATCAGCTCTCATCTCGAGACGATTTGGGGTACACGGAGCATTCCTCGAGTTGCTGTGCTGAAGTTGGTGTTCCTCTAGACTTGGGACAGTGTTCTCGGGGCATCACTGGAGTTGCCTGAAAGAAGTTGAGCCACCGGTCGTGTTGAATGGGGAACGGGGAATGGCTCTGGAGTCAATGCAGGGGAATCGGGCCTCATCTCGTGGTGATTTGGGGCACATGGAGCTGCTTTGCGTTGCTGGGGTGACCTCAGGGTCCGTCTAGACTGGTGACAGTGTTCTTGGGGACTGTCTCGAGATCCATTAAGCAAGTCGAAGCTCCTGACTTGTTTGAATGGGATCACGGAATAGCTCTGCATGCACTGCAGGGGAATGGGGCCTCATCTCGCCTCTAGGGGGAATCTCATGGTTTTTCTCGAGTTGCGGCGGGGACCTGGGGTATGTTCTCGACTTACGGCGGGGATGGCCCATCAAAACACGAGTTTCTTCAGTGACGTCAGGACTCCTGTCTAGTAACGAGGGACACCTCAGGAATCTCTTCGAGGCTTGGCAGGGCAAAAGGGACGCTTCTCGAGGTGAGGCAAGGCACCCAAGGACCCTTTCCAGTAGCCACAGGGATTTTGGATTCCTATCAGTATTCAAGAGGAGTCAGGCATCATCACCTTTTGAAGCAATGAACTCCGCGTGCCTCTCGATGTGTCAGCAGGATATGAGGCATTCCGTCAAAAGGAGGCAGGGACCTAGGGCTTTCTCTAAGGTCTCCACAGGGGATTCAGACATCCCTTCATGTTGTGAGATGAAAGACGAGCCTGTGTTCAAGCCACTGCAAGGAAATCTGGCCTCCTTTCAAGTTAGGGCTTCTCGCTGTATATTCCCCTTGAGGCAGCAAACTCGTGGTCCCTCCCTCATACCTATTGCTGAGAGAAGCCTCCTCCTGAGGTGCTTCTGGAAAGTTGGCATACGTCTTGAGCCTAAGCCAGGAAATCAGCTCTCATCTCGAGATGATTTGGGGTACACGGAGCATTCCTCGAGTTGCTGTGCTGAAGTTGGTGTTCCTCTAGTCTTGGGACAGTGTTCTCGGGGCATCTCTGGAGTTGCCTGTAGGAAGTCGAGCCACCGGTCGTGTTGAATGGGGAACGGGGAATGGCTCTGGAGTCAATGCAGGGGAATCGGGCCTCATCTCGAGTTGATTTGGGGCACATGAAGCTGCTTTGCATTGCTGGGGTGACCTCAGGGTCCGTCTAGACTGGTGACAGTGTTCTTGGGGACTGTCTCGAGATCCATTAAGCAAGTCGAAGCTCCTGACTTGTTTGAATGGGATCACGGAATAGCTCTGCATGCACTGCAGGGGAATGGGGTCTCATCTCGCCTCTAGGGGGAAGTCTCATGTTTTTTCTCGAGTTGTGGCGGGGACCTGGGGTATGTTCTCGACTTACGGCGGGGATGGCCCTTCAAAACACGAGTTTCTTCAGTGACGTCAGGACTCCTGTCTAGTAACGAGGGACACCTCAGGAATCTCTTCGAGGCTTGGCAGGGCAAAAGGGACGCTTCTCGAGGTGAGGCTGGGCACCCAAGGACCCTTTCCAGTAGCCACAGGAATTTTGGATTCCTATCAGTATTCAAGAGGAGTCAGGCATCGTCCCCTTTTGAAGCAATGAACTCCGCGTGCCTCTCGAGGTGTCAGCGGGATGTGAGGCATTCCGTCAAAATGAGGCAGGGACCTAGGGCTTTCTCTAAGGTCTCCACAGTGTATTCAGTCATCCCTTCATGTTGTGAGATGAAAGACGAGCCTGTATTCAAGCCACTACAAGGAAATCCGGCCTCCTTTCAAGTTAGGGCTTCTCGCTGTATATTCCCCTTGAGGCAGCAAACTCGGGGTCTCTCCCACATACCTATTGCTGAGAGAAGCCTCCTCCTGAGGTGCTTCTGGAAAGTTGGCATAGGTCTTGAACCTAAGCCAGGGAATCAGCTCTCATCTCGAGACGATTTGGGGTACACGGAGCATTCCTCGAGTTGCTGTGGTGAAGTTGGTGTTCCTCTAGACTTGGGACAGTGTTCTCGGGGCATCTCTGGAGTTGCCTGAAGGAAGTGGAGCTACAGGTAGTGTTGAATGGGGAACGGGGAATGGCTCTGGAGTCAATGCAGTTGAATCGGGCCTCATCTCGAGTTGATTTGGGGCACATGGAGCTGCTTTGCGTTGCTGGGGTGACCTCAGGGTCCGTCTAGACTGGTGACAGTGTTCTTGGGGACTGTCTCGAGATCCATTAAGCAAGTCGAAGCTCCTGACTTGTTTGAATGGGATCACGGAATAGCTCTGCATGCACTGCAGGGGAATGGGGCCTCATCTCGCCTTTAGGGGGAAGTCTCATGGTTTTTCTCGAGTTGCGGCGGGGACCTGGGGTATGTTCTCGACTTACGGCGGGGATGGCCCATCAAAACACGAGTTTCTTCAGTGACGTCAGGACTCCTGTCTAGTAACGAGGGACACCTCAGGAATCTCTTCGAGGCTTCGCAGGGCAAAAGGGACGCTTCTCGAGGTGAGGCAAGGCACCCAAGGACCCTTTCCAGTAGCCACAGGGATTTTGGATTCCTATCAGTATTCAAGAGGAGTCAGGCATCATCACCTTTTGAAGCAATGAACTCCGCGTGCCTCTCGATGTGTCAGCAGGATATGAGGCATTCCGTCAAAAGGAGGCAGGGACCTAGGGCTTTCTCTAAGGTCTCCACAGGGGATTCAGACATCCCTTCATGTTGTGAGATGAAAGACGAGCCTGTGTTCAAGCCACTGCAAGGAAATCAGGCCTCCTTTCAAGTTATGGCTTCTCGCTGTATATTCCCCTTGAGGCAGCAAACTCGGGGTCCCTCCCTCACACCTATTGCTGAGAGAAGCCTCCTCCTGAGATGCTTCTGGAAAGTTGGCATACGTCTTGAGCCTAAGCCAGGGAATCAGCTCTCATCTCGAGACGATTTGGGGTACACAGAGCATTCCTCGAGTTGCTGTGCTGAAGTTGGTGTTCCTCTAGCCTTGGGACAGTGTTCTCGGGGCATCTCTGGAGTTGGCTGAAGGAAGTCGAGCCACCGGTCGTGTTGAAGGGGAACGGGGAATGGCTCTGGAGTCAATGCAGGGGAATCCGGCCTCATCTCGTGGTGATTTGGGGCACATGGAGCTGCTTTTCGTTGCTGGGGTGACCTCAGGGTCCGTCTAGACTGGTGACAGTGTTCTTGGGGACTGTCTCGAGATCCATTAAGCAAGTCGAAGCTCCTGACTTGTTTGAATGGGATCACGGAATAGCTCTGCATGCACTGCAGGGGAATGGGGCCTCATGTCCCCTCTAGGGGGAAGTCTCATGGTTTTCCTCGAGTTGCGGCGGTGACCTGGGGTATGTTCTCGAATAACGGCGGGGATGGCCCTTCAAAACACGAGTTTCTTCAGTGAAGTCAGGACTCCTGTCTAGTAACGAGGGACACCTCAGGAATCTCTTTGAGGCTTGGCAGCGCAAAAGGGACGCTTCTCGAGGTGAGGCAGGGCACCCAAGGACCCTTTCCAGTAGCCACAGGTATTTTGGATTCCTATCACTATTCAAGAGTAGTCAGGCATCGTCACCTTTTGAAGCAATGAACTCCGCGTGCCTCTCGAGGTGTCAGCGGGATGTGAGGTATTCCGTCAAAATGAGGCAGGGACCTAGGGCTTTCTCTAAGGTCTCCACAGGGGATTCAGACATCCCTTCATGTTGTGAGATGAAAGACGAGCCTGTGTTCAAGCCACTGCAAGGAAATCTGGCCTCCTTTCAAGTTAGGGCTTCTCGCTGTATATTCCCCTTGAGGCAGCAAACTCGTGGTCCCTCCCTCATACCTATTGCTGAGAGAAGCCTCCTCCTGAGGTGCTTCTGGTAAGTTGGCATACGTCTTGAGCCTAAGCCAGGAAATCAGCTCTCATCTCGAGATGATTTGGGGTACACGGAGAATTCCTCGAGTTGCTGTGCTGAAGTTGGTGTTCCTCTAGTCTTGGGACAGTGTTCTCGGGGCATCTCTGGAGTTGCCTGAAGGAAGTCGAGCCACCGGTCGTGTTGAATGGGGAACGGGGAATGGCTCTGGAGTCAATGCAGGGGAATCGGGCCTCATCTCGAGTTGATTTGGGGCACATGGAGCTGCTTTGCATTGCTGGGGTGACCTCAGGGTCCGTCTAGACTGGTGACAGTGTTCTTGGGGACTGTCTCGAGATCCATTAAGGAAGTCGAAGCTCCTGACTTGTTTGAATGGGATCACGGAATAGCTCTGCATGCACTGCAGGGGAATGGGGTCTCATCTCGCCTCTAGGGGGAAGTCTCATGTTTTTTCTCGAGTTGTGGCGGGGACCTGGGGTATGTTCTCGACTTACGGCGGGGATGGCCCTTCAAAACACGAGTTTCTTCAGTGACGTCAGGACTCCTGTCTAGTAACGAGGGACACCTCAGGAATCTCTTCGAGGCTTGGCAGGGCAAAAGGGACGCTTCTCGAGGTGAGGCTGGGCACCCAAGGACCCTTTCCAGGAGCCACAGGAATTTTGGATTCCTATCAGTATTCAAGAGGAGTCAGGCATCGTCCCCTTTTGAAGCAATGAACTCCGCGTGCCTCTCGAGGTGTCAGCGGGATGTGAGGCATTCCGTCAAAATGAGGCAGGGACCTAGGGCTTTCTCTAAGGTCTCCACAGTGTATTCAGTCATCCCTTCATGTTGTGAGATGAAAGACGAGCCTGTATTCAAGCCACTACAAGGAAATCCGGCCTCCTTTCAAGTTAGGGCTTCTCGCTGTATATTCCCCTTGAGGCAGCAAACTCGGGGTCTCTCCCACATACCTATTGCTGAGAGAAGCCTCCTCCTGAGGTGCTTCTGGAAAGTTGGCATAGGTCTTGAACCTAAGCCAGGGAATCAGCTCTCATCTCGAGACGATTTGGGGTACACGGAGCATTCCTCGAGTTGCTGTGGTGAAGTTGGTGTTCCTCTAGACTTGGGACAGTGTTCTCCGGGCATCTCTGGAGTTGCCTGAAGGAAGTGGAGCTACAGGTAGTGTTGAATGGGGAACGGGGAATGGCTCTGGAGTCAATGCAGTTGAATCGGGCCTCATCTCGAGTTGATTTGGGGCACATGGAGCTGCTTTGCGTAGCTGGGGTGACCTCAGGGTCCGTCTAGACTGGTGACAGTGTTCTTGGGGACTGTCTCGAGATCCATTAAGCAAGTCGAAGCTCCTGACTTGTTTGAATGGGATCACGGAATAGCTCTGCATGCACTGCAGGGGAATGGGGCCTCATGTCACCTCTAGGGGGAAGTCTCATGGTTTTCTCGAGTTACGGCGGGGACCTGGGTTATGTTCTCGACTTACGGAGGGGATAGCCCTTCAAAACACGAGTTTCTTCAGTGACGTCAGGACTCCTGTCTAGTAACGAGGGACACCTCAGGAATCTCTTCGAGGCTTGGCAGGGCAAAAGGGACGCTTCTCGAGGTGAGGCAGGGCACCCAAGGACCCTTTCCAGTAGCCACAGGGATTTTGGGATTCCTATCAGTATTCAAGAGGAGTCAGGCGTCATCACCTTTTGAAGAAATGAACTCCGCCTACCTCTCCAGGAGTCAGCGGGATGTGAAGCATTCCGTCAAAATGAGGCAGGGACCTAGGGCTTTCTCTAAGGTCTCCACACGGATTCAGACATCCCTTCATGTTGTGAGATGAAAGACGAGCCTGTATTCAAGCAACTGCAAGGAAATCCGGCCTCCTTTCAAGTTAGGGCTTCTCGCTGTATATTCCCCTTGAGGCAGCAAACTCGTGGTCCCTCCCTCATACATATTGCTGAGAGAAGCCTCCTCCTGACGTGCTTCCGGAAAGTTGGCATACGTCTTGATCCGAAGCCAGGGAATCAGCTCTCATCTCGAGATGATATGTGGTACACGGAGCATTCCTCGAGTTGCTGTGCTGAAGTTGGTGTTCCTCTAGACTTGGGACAGTGTTCTCGGGGCATCTCTGGAGTTGCCTGAAGGAAGTCGAGCCACCGGTCGTGTTGAATGGGGAACGGATAATGGCTCTGGATTCAATGCAGGGGAATCCGGCCTCATCTCGAGGTGATTTGGGGCACATGGAACTGCTTTGCATTGCTGGGGTGACCTCAGGGTCCGTCTAGACTTGTGACAGTGTTCTTGGGGACTGTCTCGAGATCCATTAAGCAAGTCGAAGCTCCTGACTTGTTTGAATGGGATCACGGAATAGCTCTGCATGCACTGCAGGGGAATGGGGCCTCATGTCGCCTCTAGGGGGAAGTCTCATGGTTTTTCTCGAGGTGCGGCGGGGACCTGGGGTATGTTCTCGACTTACGGCGGGGATGGCCCTTCAAAACATGGGTTTCTTCAGTGAAGTCAGGACTCCTGTCTAGTAACGAGGGACACCTCAGGAATCTCTTCGAGGCTTGGCAGGCCAAAACGGACGCTTCTCGAGGTGAGGCAGGGCACCCAAGGACCCTTTCCAGTAGCCACAGGGATTTTGGATTCCTATCAGTATTCAAGAGGAGTCAGGCATCGTCACCTTTTGAAGCAATGAACTCCGCGAGCTCTCGAGGTGTCAGTGGGATGTGAGGTATTCCGTCAAAATGAGGCAGGGACCTAGGGCTTTCTCTAAGGTCTCCACAGGGGATTCAGATATCCCTTCATGTTCTGAGATGAAAGACGAGCCTGTGTTCAAGCCACTGCAAGGAAATCTGGCCTCCTTTCAAGTTAGGGCTTCTCGCTGTATACTCCCCTTGAGGCAGCAAACTCGGGGTCCCTCCCTCATACCTATTGCTGAGAGAAACCTCCTCCTGAGGTGCTTCCGGAAAGTTGGCATACGTCTTGATCCTAAGCCAGGGAATCAGCTCTCATCTCGAGACGATTTGGGGTACACGGAGCATTCCTCGAGTTGCTGTGCTGAAGTTGGTGTTCCTCTAGACTTGGGACAGTGTTCTCGGGGCATCTCTGGAGTTGGCTGAAGGAAGTCGAGCCACCGGTCGTGTTGAATGGGGAACTTGGAATGGCTCTGGAGTCAATGCAGGGGAATCGGGCCTCATCTCGGGGTGATTTGGGGCACATGGAGCTGCTTTGTGTTGCTGGGGGTACCTCAGGGTCGGTCTAGACTGGTGAGAGTGTTCTTGGGGACTGTCTCGAGATCCATTATGCAAGTCGAAGCTCCTGACTTGTTTGAATGGGATCACGGAATAGCTATGCATGCACTGCAGGGGAATGGGGTCTCATCTCGCCTCTAGGGGGAAGTCTCATGGTTTTTCTCGAGTTGCGGCGGGGACCTGGGGTATGTTCTCGACTTACGGCCGGGATGGCCCTTCAAAACACGAGTTTCTTCAGTGAAGTCAGGACTCCTGTCTAGTAACGAGGGACACCTCAGCAATCTCTTCGAGGCTTGGCAGGGCAAAAGGGACGCTTCTCGAGGTGAGGCAGGGCATCCAAGGACCCTTTCCAGTAGCCACAGGGATTTTGGATTCCTATCAGTATTCAAGAGGAGTCAGGCATCGTCACCTTTTGAAGCAATGAACTCCGCGTGCCTCTCGAGGTGTCAGCGGGATGTGAGGCATTCCGTCAAAATGAGGCAGGGACCTAGGGCTTTCTCTAAGGTCTCCACAGGGGATTCAGACATCCCTTCATGTTGTGAGATGAAAGACGAGCCTGTATTCAAGCCACTACAAGGAAATCCGGCCTCCTTTCAAGTTAGGGCTTCTCGCTGTATATTCCCTTTGAGGCAGCAAACTCGGGGTCCCTCCCACATACCTATTGCTGAGAGAAGCCTCCTCCTGTGGTGCTTCTGGAATGTTGGCATACGTCTTGAGCCTAAGCCAGGGAATCAGCTCTCATCTCGAGACGATTTGGGGTACACGGAGCATTCCTCGAGTTGCTGTGCTGAAGTTGGTGTTCCTCTAGTCTTGGGACATTGTTCTCGGGGCATCTCTGGAGTTGGCTAAAGGAAGTCGAGCCACCGGTCGTGTTGAATGGGGAACGGGGAATGGCTCTGGAGTCAATGCAGGGGAATCGGGCCTCATCTCGAGTTGATTTGGGGCACATGGAGCTGCTTTGCATTGATGGGGTGACCTCAGTGTCCGTCTAGACTGGTGACAGTGTTCTTGGGGACTGTCTCGAGATCCATTAAGCAAGTCGAAGCTCCTGACTTGTTTGAATGGGATCACGGAATAGCTCTGCATGCACTGCAGGGGAATGGGGCCTCATGTCACCTCTAGGGGAAAGTCTCATGGTTTTTCTCGAGTTGCGGCGGGGACCTGGGTTATGTTCTCGACTTACGGAGGGGATGGCCCTTCAAAACACGAGTTTCTTCAGTGACGTCAGGACTCCTGTCTAGTAACGAGGGACACCACAGGAATCTCTTCGAGGCTTGGCAGGGCAAAAGGGACGCTTCTCGAGGTGAGGCAGGGCATCCAAGGACCCTTTCCAGTAGCCACAGGGATTTTGGGATTCCTATCAGTATTCAAGAGGAGTCAGGCCTCATCACCTTTTGAAGAAATGAACTCCGCCTACCTCTCGAGGAGTCAGCGGGATGTGAAGCATTCCGTCAAAATGAGGCAGGGACCTAGGGCTTTCTCTAAGGTCTCCACAGGGGATTCAGACATCCCTTCATGTTGTGAGATGAAAGACGAGCCTGTATTCAAGCCACTGCAAGGAAATCCGGCCTCCTTTCAAGTTAGGGCTTCTCGCTGTATATTCCCCTTGAGGCAGCAAACTCGGGGTCCCTCCCTCATACATATTGCTGAGAGAATCCTCCTCCTGAGGTGCTTCCGGAAAGTTGGCATACGTCTTGATCCGAAGCCAGGGAATCAGCTCTCATCTCGAGATGATATGTGGTACACGGAGCATTCCTCGAGTTGCTGTGCTGAAGTTGGTGTTCCTCTAGACTTGGGACAGTGTTCTCGGGGCATCTCTGGAGTTGCCTGAAGGAAGTCGAGCCACCGGTCGTGTTGAATGGGGAACGGATAATGGCTCTGGATTAAATGCAGGGGAATCCGGCCTCATCTCGAGGTGATTTGGGGCACATGGAGCTGCTTTGCGTTGCTGGGGTGACCTCAGGGTCCGTCTAGACTTGTGACAGTGTTCTTGGGGACTGTCTCCAGATCCATTAAGCAAGTCGAAGCTCCTGACTTGTTTGAATGGGATCACGGAATAGCTCTGCATGCACTGCAGGGGAATGGGGCCTCATGTCGCCTCTAGGGGGAAGTCTCATGGTTTTTCTCGAGTTGCGGCGGGGACCTGGGGTATGTTCTCGACTTACGGCGGGGATGGCCCTTCAAAACATGAGTTTCTTCAGTGACGTCAGGACTCCTGTCTAGTAACGAGGGACACCTCAGGAATCTCTTCGAGGCTTGGCAGGCCAAAACGGACGCTTCTCGAGGTGAGGCAGGGCACCCAAGGACCCTTTCCAGTAGCCACAGGGATTTTGGATTCCTATCAGTATTCAAGAGGAGTCAGGCATCGTCACCTTTTGAAGCAATGAACTCCGCGAGCCTCTCGAGGTGTCAGTGGGATGTGAGGTATTCCGTCAAAATGAGGCAGGGACCTAGGGCTTTCTCTAAGGTCTCCACAGGGGATTCAGACAACCCTTCATGTTGTGAGATGAAAGACGAGCCTGTGTTCAAGCCACTGCAAGGAAATCTGGCCTCCTTTCAAGTTAGGGCTTCTCGCTGTATATTCCCCTTGAGGCAGCAAACTCGGGGTCTCTCCCTCATACCTATTGCTGAGAGAAGCCTCCTCCTGAGGTGCTTCTGGAAAGTTGGCATACGTCTTGAGCCTAAGCCAGGGAATCAGCTCTCATTTCGAGACTATTTGGGGTACACGGAGCATTCCTCTAGTTGCTGTACTGAAGTTGGTGTTCCTCTAGTCTTGGGACAGTGTTCTCGGGGCATCTCTGGAGTTGCCTGAAGGAAGTCGAGCCACCGGTCGTGTTGAATGGGGAACGGGGAATGGCTCTGGAGTCAATGCAGGGGAATCGGGCCTCATCTCGAGTTGATTTGTGGCACATGGAGCTGCTTTGCATTGCTGAGGTGACCTCAGGGTCCGTATAGACTGGTGACAGTGTTCTTGGGGACTGCCTCGAGATCCATTAAGCAAGTCGAAGCCCCTGACTAGTTTGAATGGGATCACGGAATAGCTCTGCATGCACTGCAGGGGAATGATGCCTCATCTCGCCTCTAGGGGGAATTCTCATGGTTTTTCTCGAGTTACGGCGGGGACCTGGGATATGTTCTCGACTTACGGCCGGGATGGCCCTTCAAAACACGAGTTTCTTCAGTGACGTCAGGACTCCTGTCTAGTAACGAGGGACACCTCAGGAATCTCTTCGAGGCTTGGCAGGGCAAAAGGGACGCTTCTCGAGGTGAGACAGGGCACCTAAGGACCCTTTCCAGTAGCCACAGGGATTTTGGGATTCCTATCAGTATTCAAGAGGAGTCAGGCGTCATCACCTTTTGAAGAAATGAACTCCGCCTAACTCTCGAGGAGTCAGCGGGATGTGAAGCATTCCGTCAAAATGAGGCAGGGACCTAGGGCTTTCTCTAAGGTCTCCACAGGGGATTCAGACATCCCTTCATGTTGTGAGATGAAAGACGAGCCTGTATTCAAGCCACTGCAAGGAAATCCGGCCTCCTTTCAAGTTAGGGCTTCTCGCTGTATATTCCCCTTGAGGCAGCAAATTCGGGGTCGCTCCCTCATACCTATTGCTGAGAGAAGCCTCCTCCTGAGGTGCTTCCAGAAAGTTGGCATACGTCTTGATCCTAAGCCAGGGAATCAGCTCTCATCTCGAGACGATTTGGGGTACACGGAGCATCCCTCGAGTTGCTGTGCTGAAGTTGGTGTTCCTCTAGTCTTGGGAGAGTGTTCTCGGGGCATCTCTAGAGTTGCCTGAAGGAAGTCGAGCCACCGGTCGTGTTGAATAGGGAACGGGGAATGGCTCTGGAGTCAATGCAGGGGAATAGGGCCTCATCTCGAGTTGATTTGGGGCACATGGAGCTGCTTTTCGTTGCTGGGGTGACCTCAGGGTCCGTCTAGACTGGTGACAGTATTCTTGGGGACTGTCTCGAGATCCATTAAGCAAGTCGAAGCTCCTGACTTGTTTGAATGGGATCACGGAATAGCTCTGCATGCACTGCAGGGGAATGATGCCTCATCTCGCCTCTAGGGGGAATTCTCATGGTTTTTCTCGAGTTACGGCGGGGACCTGGGATATGTTCTCGACTTACGGCCGGGATGGCCCTTCAAAACACGAGTTTCTTCAGTGACGTCAGGACTCCTGTCTAGTAACGAGGGACACCTCAGGAATCTCTTCGAGGCTTGGCAGGGCAAAAGGGACGCTTCTCGAGGTGAGACAGGGCACCTAAGGACCCTTTCCAGTAGCCACAGGGATTTTGGATTCCTATCAGTATTCAAGAAGAGTCAGGCATCGTCACCTTTTGAAGCAATGAACTCCGAGTGCCTCTCGATGTGTCAGCGGGATGTGAGGCATTCCGTCAAAATGAGGCAGGGACCTAGGTCTTTCTCTAAGATCTCCACAGGGGATTCAGACATCCCTTCATGTTGTGAGATGAAATCCGAGCCTGTATTCAAGCAACTGCAAGGAAATCCGGCCTCCTTTCAAGTTAGGGCTTCTCGCTGTATATTCCCCTTGAGGCAGCAAACTCGGGTTCCCTCCCTCATACATAATGCTGAGAGAAGCCTCCACCTGAGGTGCTTCCGGAAAGTTGGCATACGTCTTGATCCGAAGCCAGGGAATCAGCTCTCATCTCGAGATGATATGGGGTACACGGAGCATTCCTCGAGTTGCTGTGCTGAAGTTGGTGTTCCTCTAGACTTGGGACAGTGTTCTCGGGGCATCTCTGGAGTTGCCTGAAGGAAGTCGAGCCACCGGTCGTGTTGAATGGGGAACAGATAATGGCTCTGGATTCAATGCAGGGGAATCCGGCCTCATTTCGAGGTGATTTGGGGCACATGGAGCTGCTTTGCGTTGCTGGGGTGACCTCAGGGTCCGCCTAGACTTGTGACAGTGTTCTTGGGGACTGTCTCGAGATCCATTAAGTAAGTCGAAGCCCCTGACTTGTTTGAATGGGATCACGGAATAGCTCTGCATGCACTGCAGGGGAATGGGGCCTCATCTCGCCTCTAGGGGGAAGTCTCATCGTTTTTCTCGAGTTACGGTGGGGACCTGGGGTATGTTCTCAACTTACGGCCGGGATGGCCCTTCAAAACACGAGTTTCTTCAGTGACGTCAGGACTCCTGTCTAGTAACGATGGACACCTCAGGAATCTCTTCGAGGCTTGGCAGGGCAAAAGGGACGCTTCTCTAGGTGAGGCAGGGCACCCAAGGACCCTTTCCAGTAGCCACAGGGATTCAGGATTCCTATCAGTATTCAAGAGGAGTCAGGCATCGTCACCTTTTGAAGCAATGAACTCCACGTGCCTCTCGAGGTGTCAGCGGGATGTGAGGCATTCCGTCAAAATGAGGCAGGAACCTAGGGCTTTCTCGAAGGTCTCCACAGGGGATTCAGACATCCCTTCATGCTGTGAGATGAAAGACGAGCCTGTATTCAAGCCACTACAAGGAAATCCGGCCTCCTTTCAAGTTAGGGCTTCTCGCTGTATATTCCCCTTGAGGCAGCAAACTCACGGTCCCTCCCACATACCTATTGCTGAGAGAAGCCTCCTCCTGAGGTGCTTCTGGAAAGTTGGCATACGTCTTGAGCCTAAGCCAGGGAATCAGCTCTCATCTCGAGACGATTTGGGGTACACGGAGCATTCCTCGAGTTGCTGTGCTGAAGGTGGTGTTCCTCTAGTCTTGGGACATTGTTCTCAGGGCATCTCTGGAGTTGGCTGAAGGGAGTCGAGCCACCGGTCGTGTTGAATGGGGAACGGGGAATGGCTCTGGAGTCAATGCAAGGGAATCGGGCCTCATCTCGAGTTGATTTGGGGCACATGGAGCTGCTTTGCATTGATGGGGTGACCTCAGGGTCCGTCTAGACTGGTGACAGTGTTCTTGGGGACTGTCTCGTGATCCATTAAGCAAGTCGAAGCTCCTGACTTGTTTGAATGGGATCACGGAATAGCTCTGCATGCACTGCAGGGGAATGGGGCCTCATGTCGCCTCTAGGGGGAAGTCTCATGGTTTTTCTCGAGTTGCGGCGGGGACCTGGGGTATGTTCTCGACTTACGGCGGGGATGGCCCTTCAAAACACGAGTTTCTTCAGTGACGTCAGGACTCCTGTCTAGTAACGAGGGACACCTCAGGAATCTCTTCGAGGCTTGGCAGGGCAAAAGGGACGCTTCTCGAGGTGAGGCAGGGCACCCAAGGACCCTTTCCAGTAGCCACAGTGATTTTGGATTCCTATCAGTATTCAAGAAGAGTCAGGCATCGTCACCTTTTGAAGCAATGAACTCCGAGTGCCTCTCGATGTGTCAGCGGCATGTGAGGCATTCCGTCAAAATGAGACAGGGACCTAGGGCTTTCTCTAAGATCTCCACAGGGGATTCAGACATCCCTTCATGTTGTGAGATGAAATCCGAGCCTGTATTCAAGCAACTGCAAGGAAATCCGGCCTCCTTTCAAGTTAGGGCTTCTCGCTGTATATTCCCCTTGAGGCAGCAAACTCGGGGTCCCTCCCTCATACATAATGCTGAGAGAAGCCTCCACCTGAGGTGCTTCCGGAAAGTTGGCATATGTCTTGATCCGAAGCCAGGGAATCAGCTCTCATCTCGAGATGATATGGGGTACACGGAGCATTGCTCGAGTTGCTGTGCTGAAGTTGGTGTTCCTCTAGACTTGGGACAGTGTTCTCGGGGCATCTCTGGAGTTGCCTGAAGGAAGGCGAGCCTCCGTGCATGTTGAACGGGGAACGGGGAATGGCCCTGGAGTCAATGCAGGGGAATCGGGCCTCATCTCGAGTTGATTTGGGGCACATGGTCCTGCTTTGCATTGTTGGGTTGACCTCAGGGTCCGTCTAGACTGGTGACAGTGTTCTTGGGGACTGTCTCGAGATCCATTAAGCAAGTCGAAGCTCCTGACTTGTTTGAATGGGATCACGGAATAGCTCTGCATGCACTGCAGGGGAATGGGGCCTCATCTCGAATCTAGGGAGAAGTCTCATGGTTTTTCACGAGTTGCGGCGGGGACCTGGGGTATGTTCCCGACTTACGGCTGGGATGGCCCTTCAAAACATGAGTTTCTTCACTGAAGTCAGGACTCCTGTCTAGTAACGAGTGACACCTCAGGAATCTCTTCGAGGCTTGGCAGGGCAAAAGGGACGCTTCTCGAGGTGAGGCAGGGCACCCAAGGACCCTTTCCAGTAGCCACAGGGATTTTGGATTCCTATCAGTATTCAAGAGGAGTCAGGCATCGTCACCTTTTGAAGCAATGAACTCCGCGAGCCTCTCGAGGTGTCAGTGGGATGCGAGGTATTCCGTCAAAATGAGGCAGGGACCTAGGGCTTTCTCTAAGGTCTCCACAGGGGATTCAGACATCACTTCATGTTGTGAGATGAAAGACGAGCCTGTGTTCAAGCCACTGCTAGGAAATCTGGCCTCCTTTCAAGTTAGGGCTTCTCGCTGTATATTCCCCATGAGGCAGCAAACTCGGGGTCCCTCCCTCATACCTATTGCTGAGAGAAGCCTCCTCCTGAGGTGCTTCTGGAAAGTTGGCATACGTCTTGAGCCTACGCCAGGGAATCAGCTCTCATTTCGAGACGATTTGGGGTACACGGAGCATTCCTCGAGGTGCTGTGCTGAAGTTGGTGTTCCTCTAGTCTTGGGACAGTGTTCTCGGGGCATCTCTGGAGTTGCCTGAAGGAAGTCGAGCCAACGGTCGTGTTGAATGGGGAAGGGGGAATGGCTCTGGAGTCAATGCAGGGGAATCGGGCCTCATCTCGAGTTGATTTGGGGCACATGGAGCTGCTTTGCATTGCTGAGGTGACCTCAGTGTCCGTATAGACTGGTGACAGTGTTCTTGGGGACTGCCTCGAGATCCATTAAGGAAGTCGAAGCCCCTGACTTGTTTGAATGGGATCACGGAATAGCTCTGCATGCACTGCAGGGGAATGGGGTCTCATCTCGCCTCTAGGGGGAAGTCTCATGGTTTTTCTCGAGTTGCGGCGGGGACCTGGGGTATGTTCTCGACTTACGGCGGGGATGGCCCTTCAAAACACGAGTTTCTTCAGTGACGTCAGGACTCCTGTCTAGTAAAGCGGGACACCTCAGGAATCTCTTCGAGGCTTGTCAGGGCAAAAGGGATGCTTCTCGAGGTGAGGCAGGGCACCCAAGGACCCTTTCCAGTAGCCACAGGGATTTTGGGTTTCCTATCAGTATTCAAGAGGAGTCAGGCATCGTCACCTTTTGAAGCAATGAACTCCGCGTGCCTCTCGAGGTGTCAACGGGATGTGAGGCATTCCATCCAAATGAGGCAGGGACCTAGGGCTTTCTCTAAGGTCTCCACAGGGGATGCAGACATCCCTTCATGTTGTGAGATGAAGGACGAGCCTGTATTCAAGCCACTGCAAGGAAAGCCGGCCTCCTTTCAAGTTAGGGCTTCTCGCTGTATATTCCCCTTGAGGCAGCAAACTCGGGGTCTCTCCCACATACATATTGCTGAGAGAAGCCTCCTCCTGAGGTGCTTCTGGAAAGTTGGCATACGTCTTGAGCCTAAGCAAGGGAATCCGCTCTCATCTCGAGACGATTTGGGGTACACGGAGCATTCCTCGAGTTGCTGTGCTGAAGTTGGTGTTCCTCTAGACTTGGGACAGTGTTCTCGGGGCATATCTGGAGATGCCTAAAGGAAGTCGTGCCACCGGTCGTGTTGAATGGGGAACGGGGAATGGCTCTGGAGTCAAAGCAGGGGAATCGGGCCTCATCTCGAGTTGATTTGGGGCACATGGAGCTGCTTTGCGTTGCTGGGGTGACCTCAGGGTCCCTCTAGACTGGTGACAGTGTTCTTGGGGACTGTCTCGAGATCCATTCAGCAAGTCGAAGCTCCTGACTTGTTTGAGTGGGATCACGGAATAGCTCTGCATGCACTGCAGGGGGATGGGGCCTAATCTCGCCTCTAGGGGGAAGTCTCATGGTTTTTCCCGAGTTGCGGCGGGGACCTGGGGTATGTTCTCGACTTACGGTGGTGATGGCCTTTCAAAACACGAGTTTCTTCAGTGACGTCAGGACTCCTGTCTAGTAACGAGGGACACCTCAGGAATCTCTTCGAGGCTTGGCAGGGCAAAAGGGACGCTTCTCGAGGTGAGGCTGGGCACCCAAGGACCCTTTCCAGTAGCCACAGTGATTTTGGGTTTCCTATCAGTATTCAAGAGGAGTCAGGCATCGTCACCTTTTGAAGCAGTGAACTCCGCGTGCCTCTCGAGGTGTCAGCGGGATGTGAGGCATTCCGTCAAAATGAGGTAGGGACCTAGGGCTTTCTGTAAGGCCTCCACAGGGGATTCAGACATCCCTTCATGTTGTGAGTTGAAAGACCAGCCTGTATTCAAGCCACTGCAAGGAAATCCGGCCTCCTTTCAAGTTAGGGCTTCTCGCTCTATATTCCCCTTGAGGCAGAACTCGGGGTCTCTCCCACATACCTATTGCTGAGAGAAGCCTCCTCCTGAGGTGCTTCTGGAAAGTTGGCATGCATCTTGAGCCTAAGCCAGGGAATCAGCTCTTATCTCGAGACGATTTGGGGTACACGGAGCATTCCTCGAGTTGCTGTGCTGAAGTTGGTGTTCCTCTAGACTTGGGACAGTGTTCTCGGGGCATCTCTGGAGATGCCTAAAGGAAGTCGTGCCACCGGTCGTGTTGAATGGGGAACGGGGAATGGCTCTGGAGTCAATGCAGGGGAATCGGGCCTCATCTCGAGTTGATTTGGGGCACATGGAGCTGCTTTGCGTTGCTGGGGTGACCTCAGGGTCCCTCTAGACTGGTGACAGTGTTCTTGGGGACTGTCTCGAGATCCATTAAGCAAGTCGAAGCTCCTGACTTGTTTGAGTGGGATCACGGAATAGCTCTGCATGCACTGCAGGGGGATGGGGCCTCATCTCGCCGCTAGGGGGAAGTCTCATGGTTTTTCTCGAGTTGCGGCGGGGACCTGGGGTATGTTCTCCACTTAGGGAGGGGATGGATCTTCAAAACACGAGTTTCTTCAGTGACGTCAGGACTCCTGTCTAGTATCGAGGGACACCTCAGGAATCTCTTCGAGGCTTGGCAGGGCAAAAGGGACGCTTCTCGAGGTGAGGCAGGGCACCCAAGGACACTTTCCAGTAGCCACAGGGATTTTGGGATTCCTATCAGTATTCAAGAGGAGTCAGGCGTCATCACCTTTTGAAGAAATGAACTCCGCCTACCTCTCGAGGAGTCAGCGGGATGTGAAGCATTCCGTCAAAATGAGGCAGGGACCTAGGGCTTTCTCTAAGGTCTCCACAGGGGATTCAGACATCCCTTCATGTTGTGAGATGAAAGACGAGCCTGTATTCAAGCCACTACAAGGAAATCCGGCCTCCTTTCAAGTTAGGGCTTCTCGCTGTATATTCCCCTTGAGGCACCAAACTCGGGGTCCCTCCCTCATAACTATTGCTGAGAGAAGCCTCCTCCTGAGGTGCTTCCGGAAAGTTGGCGTACGTCTTGATCCTAAGCCAGGGAATCAGCTCTCATCTCGAGACGATTTGCGGTACACGGAGCATTCCTCGAGTTGCTGTGCTGAAGTTGGTGTTCCTCTAGTCTTGGGACAGTGTCCTCGGGGCATCTCTGGAGTTTCCTGAATGAAGTCGAGCCACCGGTCGTGTTGAATGGGGAACTTGGAATGGCTCTGGAGTCAATGCAGGGGAATCGGGCTCATCTCGAGGTGATTTGGGGCACATGGAGCTGCTTTGCGTTGCTGGGGGTACCTCACGGTCGGTCTAGACTCGTGACAGTGTTCTTGGGGACTGTCTCGAGATCCATTAAGCAAGTCGAAGCTCCTGACTTGTTTGAATGGGATCACGGAATAGCTCTGCATGCACTGCAGGGGAATGGGGCCTCATGTCACCTCTAGGGGGAAGTCTCATGGTTTTCTCGAGTTGCGGCGGGGACCTGGGGTATGTTCTCGACTTACGGCGGGGATGGCCCTTCAAAACACGAGTTTCTTCAGTGACGTCAGGACTCCTTTCTAGTAACGAGGGATACCTCAGGAATTTCTTCGAGGCTTGGCAGGGCAAAAGGGACGCTTCTCGAGGTGAGGCAGGTCACCCAAGGACCCTTTCCAGTAGCCACAGCGATTTTGGGATTCCTATCAGTATTCAAGAGGAGTCAGGCATCGTCACCTTTTGAAGCAATGAACTCCGCGTGCCTCTCGAGGTGTCAGCGGGATGTGAGGCATTCCGTCAAAATGAGGCAGGGACCTACGGCTTTCTCTAAGGTCTCCACAGGGGATTCAGACATCCCTTCATGTTGTGAGATGAAAGACGAGCCTGTATTCAAGCCACTACAAGGAAATCCGGCCTCCTTTCAAGTTAGGGCTTCTCGCTGTATATTCCCCTTGAGGCAGCAAACTCGGGGTCCCTCCCACATACCTATTGCTTAGAGAAGCCTCCCCCTGAGGTGCTTCTGGAAAGTTGGCATACGTCTTGAGCCTAAGCCAGCGAATCAACTCTCATCTCGAGACGATTTGGGGTACACGGAGCATTCCTCGAGTTGCTGTGTTGAAGTTGGTGTTCCTCTAGTCTTGGGAGAGTGTTCTCGGGGCATCTCTGGAGTTACCTGAAGGATGTCGAGCCACCGGTCGTGTTGAATGGGGAACGGGGAATGGCTCTGGAGTCAATGCAGGGGAATCGGGCCTCATCTCGAGGTGATTTGGGGCACATGGAGCTGCTGTACGTTGCTTGGGTGACCTCAGGGTCCGTCTCGACTGGTGACAGTGTTCTTGGGGACTGTCTCGAGATCCATTAAGCAAGTCGAAGCTCCTGACTTGTTTGAATGGGATCACGGAATAGCTCTTCATGCACTGCAGGGGAATGGGGCCTCATGTCGCCTCTAGGGGGAAGTCTCATGGTTTTCCTCGAGTTGCGGCGGGGACCTGGGGTATGTTCTCGACATACTGCCGGGATGGCCCATCAAAACACGAGTTTCTTCAGTGACGTCAGGACTCCTGTCTAGTAACGAGGGACACCTCAGGCATCTCTTCGAGGCTTGGCAGGGCAAAAGGGACGCTTCTCGAGGTGAGGCAGGGCACCCAAGGACCCTTTACAGTAGGCACAGAGATTTTGGATTCCTATCAGTATTCAAGAGGAGTCAGGCATCGTCACCTTTTGAAGCAATGAACTCCGCGTGCCTCTCGAGGTGTCAGCGGGATGTGATGTATTCCGTCAAAATGAGGCAGTGACCTAGGGCTTTCTCTAAGTTCTCCACAGGGGATTCAGACATCCCTTCATGTTGTGAGATGAAACACGAGCCTGTATTCAAGCCACTACAAGGAATTCCGGCCTCCTTTCAAGTTAGGGTTTCTCGCTGTATATTCCCCTTGAGGCAGCAAACTCGCGGTCCCTCCCTCATACCTATTGCTGAGAGAAGCCTCCTCCAGAGGTGCTTCCGGAAAGTTGGCATAAGTCTTGAGCCTAAGCCAGGGAATCAGCTCTCGTCTCGAGACGATTTGGGGTACACGGAGCATTCCTCGAGTTGCTGTGCTGAAGTTGGTGTTCTTCTAGTCTTGGGACAGTGTTCTCGGGGCATCTCTGGAGTTGCCTGAAGGAAGTCGAGCCAACGGTCGTGTTGGATGGGGAACGGGGAATGGCTCCGGAGTCAATGCAGGGGAATCGGGCCTCATCTCGAATTGATTTGGGGCACATGGAGCTGCTTTGCGTTGCTGTGGTGACCTCAGGGTCCGTCTAGACTGGTGACAGTGTTCTTGGGGACTGTTTCGAGATCCATTAAGCAAGTCGAAGCTCCTGACTTGTTTGAATGGGATCACGGAATAGCTCTGCATGCACTGCAGGGGAATGGGGCCTCATGTCGCCTCTAGGGGGAAGTCTCATGGTTTTCCACGAGTTGCGGCGGGGACCCGGGGTTTGTTCTCGACTAACGACGGGGATGGCCCTTCAAAACACGAGTTTCTTCAGTGAAGTCAGGACTCCTGTCTAGTAACGAGGGACACCTCAGGAATATCTTCGAGGCTTGGCAGGGCAAAAGGGACGCTTCTCGAGGTGAGGCAGGGCACCCAAGGACCCTTTCCAGTAGCCACAGTGATTTTGGATTCCTATCAGTATTCAAGAGGAGTCAGGCATCGTCACCTTTTGAAGCAATGAACTCCGCGTGCCTCTCGAGGTGTCAGCGGGATGTGAGGTATTCCGTCAAAATGAGGCAGTGACCTAGGGCTTTCTCTAAGTTCTCCACAGGGGATTCAGACATCCCTTCATGTTGTGAGATGAAAGACGAGCCTGTATTCAAGCCACTGCAAGAAAATCTGGCCTCCTTTCAAGTTAGGGATTCTCGCTGTATATTCCCCTTGAGGCAGCAAACTCGGGGTCCCTCCCTCATACCTATTGCTGAGAGAAGCCTCCTCCTGAGGTGCTTCTGGAAAGTTGGCATACGTCTTGAGCCTAAGCCAGGGAATCAGCTCTCATCTCGAGACGATTTGGGGTACACGGAGCATTCCTCGAGTTGCTGTGCTGAAGGTGGTGTTCCTCTAGTCTTGGGACAGTGTTCTCGGGGCATCTCTGGAGTTGCCTGAAGGAAGTCGAGCCACCGGTCCTGTTGAATGGGGAACGGGGAATGGCTCTGGAGTCAATGCAGTGGAATCGGGCCTCATCATGAGGTGATTTGGGGCACATGGAGCTGCTTTGCGTTGCTTGGGGTACCTCAGGGTCGGTCTAGACTGGTGACAGTGTTCTTGTGGACTGTCTCGAGATCCATTAAGCAAGTCGAAGCTCCTGACTTGTTTGAATGGGATCACGGAATAGCTCTGCATGCACTGCAGGGGAATTTTACTTCATCTCGCCTCTAGGGGGAAGTCACATGGTTTTTCTCGAGTTGCGGCGGGGACCTGGGGTATGTTCTCGACTTAGGGAGGGGATGGCCCTTCAAAACACGAGTTTCTTCAGTGACGTCAGGACTCCTGTCTAGTAACGAGGGACACCTCAGTAAACTCTTCGAGGCTTGGCAGGGCAAAAGGGACGCTTCTCGAGGTGAGGCAGGGCACCCAAGGACCCTTTCCAGTAGCCACAGGGATTTTGGATTCCTATCAGTATTCAAGAGGAGTCAGGCATCGTCACCTTTTGAAGCAATGAACTCCGCGTGCCTCTCGAGGTGTCAGCGGGATGTGAGGTATTCCGTCAAAATGAGGCAGGGACCTAGGGCTTTCTCTAAGGTCTCCACAGGGGATTCAGACATCCCTTCATGTTGTGAGATGAATGACGAGCCTGTATTCAAGCCACTACAAGGAAATGCGGCCTCCTTTCAAGTTAGGGCTTCTCGCTGTATATTGCCCTTGAGGCAGCAAACTCGGGGTCCCTCCCACATACCTATTGCTGAGAGAAGCCTCCTCCTGAGGTGCTTCTGGAAAGTTGTCATACGTTTTGAGCCTAAGCCAGAGAATCAACTCTCATCTCGAGACGATTTGGGGTACACGGAGCATTCCTCGAGTTGCTGTGCTGAAGTTGGTGTTCCTCTAGACTTGGGACAGTGTTCTCGGGGCATCTCTGGAGTTGGCTGAAGGAAGTCGAGCCACCGGTCGTGTTGAATGGGGAACGCGGAATGGCTCTGGAGTCAATGCAGGGGAATCGGGCCTCATCTCGAGTTGATTTGGGGCACATGGAGCTGCTTTGCATTGATGGGGTGACCTCAGGGTCCGTCTAGACTGGTGACACTGTTCTTGGGGACTGTCTTGAGATCCATTAAGTTAGTCGAAGCTCCTGACTTGTTTGAATGGGATCACGGAATAGCTCTGCATGCACTGCAGGGGAATGGGACCTCATGTCGCATCTAGGGGGAAGTCTCATGGTTTTTCTCGAGTTGCGGCGGGGACCTGGGGTATGTTCTCGACTTACGGCGGGGATGGCCCATCAAAACACGAGTTTCTTCAGTGACGTCAGGACTCCTGTCTAGTAACGAGGGACACCTCAGGAATCTCTTCGAGGCTTGGCAGGGCAAAAGGGACGCTTCTCGAGGTGAGGCAGGGCACCCAAGGAGACTTTCCAGTAGCCACAGGGATTTTGGGATTACTATCAGAATTCAAGAGGAGTCAGGCATCATCACCTTTTGAAGCAATGAACTCCGCGTGCCTCTCGAGGTGTCAGCAGGATATGAGGCATTCCGTCAAAAGGAGGCAGGGACCTAGGGCATTCTTTAAGGTCTCCACAGGGGATTCAGACATCCCTTCATGTTGTGAGATGAAACACAAGTCTGTATTCAAGCCACTACAAGGAAATCCGGCCTCCTTTCAAGTTAGGGCTTCTCGCTGTATATTCCCCTTGAGGCAGCAAACTCGGGGTCCCTCCCTCATACCTATTGCTGAGAGAAGCCTCCTCCTGAGGTACATCCGGAAAGTTGGCATACGTCTTGATCCGAAGCCAGGGAAGCATCTCTCATCTCGACACGATATGGGGTACACGGAACATTCCTCGAGTTGCTGTGCTGAAGTTGGTGTTCCTCTAGACTTGGGACAGTGTTCTCGGGGCATCTCTGGAGTTGCCTGAAGGAAGTCGAGCCACCGGTCGTGTTGAATGGGGAACGGGGAATGGCTCTGGAGTCAATGCATTGGAATCGGGCCTCATCTCGAGTTGATTTGGGGCACATGGAGCTGCTTTGCATTGCTGGGGTGACCTTAGGGTCCGTATAGACTGGTGACAGTGTTCTTGGGCACTGCCTCGAGATCCATTAAGGAAGTCTAAGCCCCTGACTTGTTTGAATGGGATCACGGAATAGCTCTGCATGCACTGCAGGGGAATGGGACCTCATGTCGCATCTAGGGGGAAGTCTCATGGTTTTTCTCGAGTTGCGGCGGGGACCTGGGGTATGCTCTCGACTTAGAGGGGGATGGCCCTTCAAAACATGAGTTTCTTCAGTGAAGTCAGGACTCCTGTCTAGTAACGAGGGACACCTCAGGAATCTCTTCGAGGCTTGGCAGGGCAAAAGGGACGCTTCTCGAGGTGAGGCAGGGCACCCAAGGACCCTTTCCAGTAGCCACAGGGATTTTGGATTCCTATCAGTATTCAAGAGGAGTCAGGCATCGTCACCTTTTGAAGCAATGAACTCCGCGTGCCTCTCGAGGTATCAGCGGGATGTGAGGCATTCCGTCAAAATGAGGCAGGAACCTAGGGCTTTCTCTAAGGTCTCCACAGGGGATTCAGACATCCCTTCATGTTGTGAGATGAAAGACGAGCCTGTGTTCAAGCCACTGCAAGGAAATCTGGCCTCCTTTCAAGTTAGGGCTTCTCGCTGTATATTCCCCTTGGGGCAGTAAACTCGGGGTCCCTCCCTCATACCTATTGCTGAGAGAAGCCTCCTCTTGACGTGCTTCTGGAAAGTTGGCATACGTCTTGAGCCTAAGCCAGGGAATCAGCTCTCATCTCGAGACGATTTGAGGTACACGGAGCATTCCTCGAGTTGCTGTGCTCAAGTTGGTGTTCCTCTAGTCTTGGGACAGTGTTCTCGGGGCATCTCTGGAGTTGCCTGAGGGAACTCGAGCCACCGGTCGTGTTGAATGGGGAACTTGGAATGGCTCTGGAGTCAATGCAGGGGAATCGGGCCTCATCTCGTGGTGATTTTGGGCACATGGAGCTGCTTTGCGTTGCTGGGGGTACCTCAGGGTCGGTCTAGACTGGTGACAGTGTTCTTGGGGACTGCCTCGAGGTCCATTAAGGAAGTCGAAGCCCCTGACTTGTTTGAATGGGATCACAGAATAGCTCTGCATGCACTGAAGGGGAATGGGGCCTCATCTCGCCTATAGGGGGAAGTCTCATGGTTTTTCTCCAGTTGAGGCGGGGACCTGGGGTATGTTCTCGACTTACGGCAGGGATGGCCCTTCAAAACACGAGTTTCTTCAGTGACGTCTGGACTCCTGTGTAGTAACGAGGGACACCTCAGGAATCTCTTCAAGTCTTGGCAGGGCAAAAGGGACGCTTCTCGAGGTGAGGCAGGGCACCCAAGGACCCTTTCCAGTAGCCACAGGGATTTTGGGATTCCTATCAGTATTCAAGAGGAGTCAGGCGTCATCACCTTTTGAAGAAATGAACTCCGCGTACCTCTCGAGGAGTCAGCGGGATGTGAAGCATTCCCTCAAAATGAGGCAGGGACCTAGGGCTTTCTCTAAGGTCTCCACAGGGGATTCAGACATCCCTTCATGTTGTGAGATGAAAGACGAGCCTGTATTCAAGCCACTGCAAGGAAATCCGGCCTCCTTTCAAGTTAGGGCTTCTCGCTGTATATTCCCCTTGAGGCAGCAAACTCGGGGTCCCTCCCTCATACCTATTGCTGAGAGAAGCCTCCTCCTGAGGTGCTTCCGGAAAGTTGGCATACGTCTTGATCCTAAGCCAGGGAATCAGCTCTCATCTCGAGACGATTTGGGGTACACGGAGCATTCCTCGAGTTGCTGTGCTGAAGTTGGTGTTCCTGTAGTCTTGGGACAGTGTTCTCGGGGCATCTCTGGAGTTGCCTGAAAGAACTCGAGCCACCGGTCGTGTTGAATGGGGAACTTGGAATGGCTCTGGACTCAATGCAGGGGAATCGGGCCTCATCTCGAGGTGATTTGGGGCACATGGAGCTGCTTTGAGTTGCTGGGGGTACCTCAGGGTCGGTCTAGACTGGTGACAGTGTTCTTGGGGACTGTCTCGAGATCCATTAAGCAAGTCGAAGCTCCTGACTTGTTTGAATGGGATCACGGAATAGCTCTGCATGGACTGCAGGGGAATGGGGCCTCATCTCGCCTCTAGGGGGAAGTCTCATGGTTTTTCTCGAGTTGCGGCGGGGACCTGGGGTATGTTCTCGACTTACGGCGGGGATGGCCCATCAAAACACGAGTTTCTTCAGTGACGTCAGGACTCCTGTCTAGTAACGAGGGACACCTCAGGAATCTCTTCGAGGCTTGGCAGGGCAAAAGGGACGCTTCTCGAGGTGAGGCAGGGCACCCAAGGAGACTTTCCAGTAGCCACAGGGATTTTGGGATTACTATCAGAATTCAAGAGGAGTCAGGCATCATCACCTTTTGAAGCAATGAACTCCGCGTGCCTCTCGAGGTGTCAGCAGGTTATGAGGCATTCCGTCAAAAGGAGGCAGGGACCTAGGGCTTTCTTTAAGGTCTCCACAGGGGATTCAGACATCCCTTCATGTTGTGAGATGAAACACAAGCCTGTATTCAAGCCACTACAAGGAAATCCGGCCTCCTTTCAAGTTAGGGCTTCTCGCTGTATATTCCCCTTGAGGCAGCAAACTCGGGGTCCCTCCCTCATACCTATTGCTGAGAGAAGCCTCCTCCTGAGGTACATCCGGAAAGTTGGCATACGTCTTGATCCGAAGCCAGGGAAGCATCTCTCATCTCGACACGATATGGGGTACACGGAACATTCCTCGAGTTGCTGTGCTGAAGTTGGTGTTCCTCTAGACTTGGGACAGTGTTCTCGGGGCATCTCTGGAGTTGCCTGAAGGAAGTCGAGCCACCGGTCGTGTTGAATGGGGAACGGGGAATGGCTCTGGAGTCAATGCAGGGGAATCGGGCCTCATCTCGAGTTGATTTGGGGCACATGGAGCTGCTTTGCATTGCTGGGGTGACCTTAGGGTCCGTATAGACTGGTGACAGTGTTCTTGGGCACTGCCTCGAGATCCATTAAGGAAGTCTAAGCCCCTGACTTGTTTGAATGGGATCACGGAATAGCTCTGCATGCACTGCAGGGGAATGGGACCTCATGTCGCATCTAGGGGGAAGTCTCATGGTTTTTCTTGAGTTGCGGCGGGGACCTGGGGTATGCTCTCGACTTACAGGGGGATGGCCCTTCAAAACATGAGTTTCTTCAGTGAAGTCAGGACTCCTGTCTAGTAACGAGGGACACCTCAGGAATCTCTTCGAGGCTTGGCAGGGCAAAAGGGACGCTTCTCGAGGTGAGGCAGGGCACCCAAGGACCCTTTCCAGTAGCCACAGGGATTTTGGATTCCTATCAGTATTCAAGAGGAGTCAGGCATCGTCACCTTTTGAAGCAATGAACTCCGCGTGCCTCTCGAGGTATCAGCGGGATGTGAGGCATTCCGTCAAAATGAGGCAGGAACCTAGGGCTTTCTCTAAGGTCTCCACAGGGGATTCAGACATCCCTTCATGTTGTGAGATGAAAGACGAGCCTGTGTTCAAGCCACTGCAAGGAAATCTGGCCTCCTTTCAAGTTAGGGCTTCTCGCTGTATATTCCCCTTGGGGCAGTAAACTCGGGGTCCCTCCCTCATACCTATTGCTGAGAGAAGCCTCCTCTTGACGTGCTTCTGGAAAGTTGGCATACGTCTTGAGCCTAAGCCAGGGAATCAGCTCTCATCTCGAGACGATTTGAGGTACACGGAGCATTCCTCGAGTTGCTGTGCTCAAGTTGGTGTTCCTCTAGTCTTGGGACAGTGTTCTCGGGGCATCTCTGGAGTTGCCTGAGGGAACTCGAGCCACCGGTCGTGTTGAATGGGGAACTTGGAATGGCTCTGGAGTCAATGCAGGGGAATCGGGCCTCATCTCGTGGTGATTTTGGGCACATGGAGCTGCTTTGCGTTGCTGGGGGTACCTCAGGGTCGGTCTAGACTGGTGACAGTGTTCTTGGGGACTGCCTCGAGGTCCATTAAGGAAGTCGAAGCCCCTGACTTGTTTGAATGGGATCACGGAATAGCTCTGCATGCACTGAAGGGGAATGGGGCCTCATCTCGCCTATAGGGGGAAGTCTCATGGTTTTTCTCCAGTTGAGGCGGGGACCTGGGGTATGTTCTCGACTTACGGCAGGGATGGCCCTTCAAAACACGAGTTTCTTCAGTGACGTCTGGACTCCTGTGTAGTAACGAGGGACACCTCAGGAATCTCTTCAAGTCTTGGCAGGGCAAAAGGGACGCTTCTCGAGGTGAGGCAGGGCACCCAAGGACCCTTTCCAGTAGCCACAGGGATTTTGGGATTCCTATCAGTATTCAAGAGGAGTCAGGCGTCATCACCTTTTGAAGAAATGAACTCCGCGTACCTCTCGAGGAGTCAGCGGGATGTGAAGCATTCCCTCAAAATGAGGCAGGGACCTAGGGCTTTCTCTAAGGTCTCCACAGGGGATTCAGACATCCCTTCATGTTGTGAGATGAAAGACGAGCCTGTATTCAAGCCACTGCAAGGAAATCCGGCCTCCTTTCAAGTTAGGGCTTCTCGCTGTATATTCCCCTTGAGGCAGCAAACTCTGGGTCCCTCCCTCATACCTATTGCTGAGAGAAGCCTCCTCCTGAGGTGCTTCCGGAAAGTTGGCATACGTCTTGATCCTAAGCCAGGGAATCAGCTCTCATCTCGAGACGATTTGGGGTACACGGAGCATTCCTCGAGTTGCTGTGCTGAAGTTGGTGTTCCTGTAGTCTTGGGACAGTGTTCTCGGGGCATCTCTGGAGTTGCCTGAAAGAACTCGAGCCACCGGTCGTGTTGAATGGGGAACTTGGAATGGCTCTGGACTCAATGCAGGGGAATCGGGCCTCATCTCGAGGTGATTTGGGGCACATGGAGCTGCTTTGCGTTGCTGGGGGTACCTCAGGGTCGGTCTAGACTGGTGACAGTGTTCTTGGGGACTGTCTCGAGATCCATTAAGCAAGTCGAAGCTCCTGACTTGTTTGAATGGGATCACGGAATAGCTCTGCATGGACTGCAGGGGAATGGGGCCTCATCTCGCCTCTAGGGGGAAGTCTCATGGTTTTTCTCGAGTTGCGGCGGGGACCTGGGGTATGTTCTCGACTTACGGCGGGGATGGCCCATCAAAACACGAGTTTCTTCAGTGACGTCAGGACTCCTGTCTAGTAACGAGGGACACCTCAGGAATCTCTTCGAGGCTTGGCAGGGCAAAAGGGACGCTTCTCGAGGTGAGGCAGGGCACCCAAGGAGACTTTCCAGTAGCCACAGGGATTTTGGGATTACTATCAGAATTCAAGAGGAGTCAGGCATCATCACCTTTTGAAGCAATGAACTCCGCGTGCCTCTCGAGGTGTCAGCAGGATATGAGGCATTCCGTCAAAAGGAGGCAGGGACCTAGGGCTTTCTTTAAGGTCTCCACAGGGGATTCAGACATCCCTTCATGTTGTGAGATGAAACACAAGCCTGTATTCAAGCCACTACAAGGAAATCCGGCCTCCTTTCAAGTTAGGGCTTCTCGCTGTATATTCCCCTTGAGGCAGCAAACTCGGGGTCCCTCCCTCATACCTATTGCTGAGAGAAGCCTCCTCCTGAGGTACATCCGGAAAGTTGGCATACGTCTTGATCCGAAGCCAGGGAAGCATCTCTCATCTCGACACGATATGGGGTACACGGAACATTCCTCGAGTTGCTGTGCTGAAGTTGGTGTTCCTCTAGACTTGGGACAGTGTTCTCGGGGCATCTCTGGAGTTGCCTGAAGGAAGTCGAGCCACCGGTCGTGTTGAATGGGGAACGGGGAATGGCTCTGGAGTCAATGCAGGGGAATCGGGCCTCATCTCGAGTTGATTTGGGGCACATGGAGCTGCTTTGCATTGCTGGGGTGACCTTAGGGTCCGTATAGACTGGTGACAGTGTTCTTGGGGACTGCCTCGAGATCCATTAAGGAAGTCTAAGCCCCTGACTTGTTTGAATGGGATCACGGAATAGCTCTGCATGCACTGCAGGGGAATGGGACCTCATGTCGCCTCTAGGGGGAAGTCTCATGGTTTTTCTCGAGTTGCGGGGGGACCTGGGGTATGTTCTCGACTTACGGCGGGGATGGCCCTTAAAAACATGAGTTTCTTCAGTGAAGTCAGGACTCCTGTCTACTAACGAGGGACACCTCAGGAATCTCTTCGAGGCTTGGCAGGGCAAAAGGGACGCTTCTCGAGGTGAGGCAGGTCACCCAAGGACCCTTTCCAGTAGCCACAGGGATTTTGGATTCCCATCAGTATTCAAGAGGAGTCAGGCATCGTCACCTTTTGAAGCAATGAACTCCGCGTGCCTCTCGAGGTATCAGCGGGATGTGAGGCATTCCGTCAAAATGAGGCAGGGACCTAGGGCTTTCTCTAAGGTCTCCACAGGGGATTCAGACATCCCTTCATGTTGTGAGATGAAAGACGAGCCTGTATTCAAGCCACTGCAAGGAAATCCGGCCTCCTTTCAAGTTAGGGCTTCTCGCTGTATATTCCCCTTGAGGCAGCAAACTCGGGGTCCCACCCTCATACCTATTGCTGAGAGAATCCCCCTCCTGAGGTGCTTCTGGAAAGTTGGCATACGTTTTGAGCCTAAGCCAGGGAATCAGCTCTCATCTCGAGACGATTTGGGGTACACGGAGCATTCCTCGAGTTGCTGTGCTGAAGTTGGTGTTCCTCTAGTCTTGGGACAGTGTTCTCGGGGCATCTCTGGAGTTGCCTGAAGGAAGTCGAGCCACCGGTCGTGTTGAATGGGGAACGGGGAATGGCTCTTGGGTCAATGCAGGGGAATCGGGCCTCATCAAGAGTTGATTTGGGGCACATGGAGCTGCTTTGCATTGCTGGGGTGACCTCAGGGACCGTATAGACTGGTGACAGTGTTCTTGGGGACTACCTCGAGATCCATTAAGGAAGTCTAAGCCCCTGACTTGTTTGAATGGGATCACGGAATAGCTCTGCACGCACTGCAGGGGAATGGGGCCTCATGTCGCCTCTAGGGGGAAGTCTCATGGTTTTTCTCGAGTTGCGGCGGGGACCTGGGGTATGTTCTCGACTTACAGCGGGGATGGCCCTTCAAAACATGAGTTTCTTCAGTGAAGTCAGGACTCCTGTCTAGTAACGAGGGACACCTCAGGAATTTCTTCGAGGCTTGGCAGGGCAAAAGGGACGCTTCTCGAGGTGAGGCAGGGCACCCAAGGACCCTTTCCAGTAGCCACAGGGATTTTGGATTCCTATCAGTATTCAAGAGGAGTCAGGCATCGTCACCTTTTGAAGCAATGAACTCCGCGTGCCTCTCGAGGTATCAGCGGGATGTGAGGCATTCCGTCAAAATGAGGCAGGAACCTAGGGCTTTCTCTAAGGTCTCCACAGGGGATTCAGACATCCCTTCATGTTGTGAGATGAAAGACGAGCCTGTGTTCAAGCCACTGCAAGGAAATCTGGCCTCCTTTCAAGTTAGGGCTTCTCGATGTATATTCCCCTTGAGGCAGTAAACTCGGGGTCCCTCCCTCATACCTATTGCTGAGAGAAGCCTCCTCTTGAGGTGCTTCTGGAAAGTTGGCATACGTCTTTAGCCTAAGCCAGGGAATCAGCTCTCATCTCGAGACGATTTGGGGTACACGGAGCATTCCTCGAGTTGCTTTGCTGAAGTTAGTGTTCCTCTAGTCTTGGGACATTGTTCTCGGGGCATCTGTGGAGTTGCCTGAAGGAAGTCGAGCCACCGGTCGTGTTGAATGGGGAACGGGGAATGGCTCTGGAGTCAATGCAGGGTAATCGGGCCTCATCTCGAGTTGATTTGGGGCACATGGAGCTGCTTTGCATTGCTGGGGTAACCTCAGGGTCCGTCTGACTGGTGACAGTGTTCTTGGGGACTGTCTCGTGATCCATTAAGCAAGTCGAAGCTCCTGACTTGTTTGAATGGGATCACGGAATAGCTCTGCATGCACTGAAGGGGAATGGGGCCTCATCTCGCCTATAGGGGGAAGTCTCATGGTTTTTCTCCAGTTGAGGCGGGGACCTGGGGTATGTTCTCGACTTACGGCCGGGATGGCCCTTCAAAACACGAGTTTCTTCAGTGACGTCTGGACTCCTGTCTAGTAACGAGGGACACCTCAAGAATCTCTTCAAGGCTTGGCAGGGCAAAAGGGACGCTGCTCGAGGTGAGGCAGGGCACCCAAGGACCCTTTCCAGTAGCCACAGGGATTTTGGGATTCCTATCAGTATTCAAGAGGAGTCAGGCGTCATCACCTTTTGAAGAAATGAACTCCGCGTACCTCTCGAGGAGTCAGCGGGATGTGAAGCATTCCGTCAAAATGAGGCAGGGACCTAGGGCTTTCTCTAAGGTCTCCACAGGGGATTCAGACATCCCTTCATGTTGTGAGATGAAAGACGAGCCTGTATTCAAGCCACTGCAAGGAAATCCGGCCTCCTTTCAAGTTAGGGCTTCTCGCTGTATATTCCCCTTGAGGCAGCAAACTCGGGGTCCCTCCCTCATACCTATTGCTGAGAGAAGCCTCCTCCTGAGGTGCTTCCGGAAAGTTGGCATACGTCTTGATCCTAAGCCAGGGAATCAGCTCTCATCTCGAGACGATTTGGGGTACACGGAGCATTCCTCGAGTTGCTGTGCTGAAGTTGGTGTTCCTCTAGTCTTGGGACAGTGTTCTCGGGGCATCTCTGGAGTTGCCTGAAAGAACTCGAGCCACCGGTCGTGTTGAATGGGGAACTTGGAATGGCTCTGGAGTCAATGAAGGGGAATCGGGCCTCATCTCGAGGTGATTTGGGGCACATGGAGCTGCTTTGCGTTGCTGGGGGTACCTCAGGGTCGGTCTAGGCTGGTGACAGTGTTCTTGGGGACTGTCTCGAGATCCATTAAGCAAGTCGAAGCTCCTGACTTGTTTGAATGGGATCACGGAATAGCTCTGCATGCACTGCAGGGGAATGGGGCCTCATCTCGCCTCTAGGGGGAAGTCTCATGGTTTTTCTCGAGTTGCGGCGGGGACCTGGGGTATGTTCTCGACTTACGGCGGGGATGGCCCATCAAAACACGAGTTTCTTCAGTGACGTCAGGACTCCTGTCTAGTAACTAGGGACACCTCAGGAATCTCTTCGAGGCTTGGCAGGGCAAAAGGGACGCTTCTCGAGGTGAGGCAAGGCACCCAAGGACCCTTTCCAGTAGCCACAGGGATTTTGGATTCCTATCAGTATTCAAGAGGAGTCAGGCATCATCACCTTTTGAAGCAATGAACTCCGCGTGCCTCTCGATGTGTCAGCAGGATATGAGGCATTCCGTCAAAAGGAGGCAGGGACCTAGGGCGTTCTCTAAGGTCTCCACAGGGGATTCAGACATCCCTTCATGTTGTGAGATGAAACACAAGCCTGTATTCAAGCCACTACAAGGAAATCCGGCCTCCTTACAAGTTAGGGCTTCTCGCTGTATATTCCCCTTGAGGCAGCAAACTCGGGGTCCCTCCCACATACCTATTGCTTAGAGAAGCCTCCTCCTGATGTGCTTCTGGAAAGTTGGCATACGTCTTGAGCCTAAGCCAGGGAATCAGCTCTCATCTCGAGACGATTTGGGGTACACGGAGCATTCCTCGAGTTGCTGTGCTGAAGTTGGTGTTCCTCTAGACTTGGGACAGTGTTCTCGGGGCATCACTGGAGTTGCCTGAAAGAAGTTGAGCCACCGGTCGTGTTGAATGGGGAACGGGGAATGGCTCTGGAGTCAATGCAGGGGAATCGGGCCTCATCTCGTGGTGATTTGGGGCACATGGAGCTGCTTTGCGTTGCTGGGGTGACCTCAGGGTCCGTCTAGACTGGTGACAGTGTTCTTGGGGACTGTCTCGAGATCCATTAAGCAAGTCGAAGCTCCTGACTTGTTTGAATGGGATCACGGAATAGCTCTGCATGCACTGCAGGGGAATGGGGCCTCATCTCGCCTCTAGGGGGAATCTCATGGTTTTTCTCGAGTTGCGGCGGGGACCTGGGGTATGTTCTCGACTTACGGCGGGGATGGCCCATCAAAACACGAGTTTCTTCAGTGACGTCAGGACTCCTGTCTAGTAACGAGGGACACCTCAGGAATCTCTTCGAGGCTTGGCAGGGCAAAAGGGACGCTTCTCGAGGTGAGGCAAGGCACCCAAGGACCCTTTCCAGTAGCCACAGGGATTTTGGATTCCTATCAGTATTCAAGAGGAGTCAGGCATCATCACCTTTTGAAGCAATGAACTCCGCGTGCCTCTCGATGTGTCAGCAGGATATGAGGCATTCCGTCAAAAGGAGGCAGGGACCTAGGGCTTTCTCTAAGGTCTCCACAGGGGATTCAGACATCCCTTCATGTTGTGAGATGAAAGACGAGCCTGTGTTCAAGCCACTGCAAGGAAATCAGGCCTCCTTTCAAGTTAGGGCTTCTCGCTGTATATTCCCCTTGAGGCAGCAAACTCGGGGTCCCTCCCTCACACCTATTGCTGAGAGAAGCCTCCTCCTGAGATGCTTCTGGAAAGTTGGCATACGTCTTGAGCCTAAGCCAGGGAATCAGCTCTCATCTCGAGACGATTTGGGGTACACAGAGCATTCCTCGAGTTGCTGTGCTGAAGTTGGTGTTCCTCTAGCCTTGGGACAGTGTTCTCGGGGCATCTCTGGAGTTGGCTGAAGGAAGTCGAGCCACCGGTCGTCTTGAAGGGGAACGGGGAATGGCTCTGGAGTCAATGCATGGGAATCGGGCCTCATCTCGAGGTGATTTGGGGCACATGGAGCTGCTTTGCGTTTCTGGGGGTACCTCAGGGTCGGTCTAGACTGGTGACAGTGTTCTTGGGGACTGTCTCGAGATCCATTAAGCAAGTCGAAGGTCCTGACTTGTTTGAATGGGATCACGGAATAGCTCTGCATGCACTGCAGGGGAATGGGGCCTCATCTCGCCTCTAGGGGGAAGTCTCATGGTTTTTCTCGAGTTGCGGCGGGGACCTGGGGTATGTTCTCGACTTACGGCGGGGATGGCCCATCAAAACACGAGTTTCTTCAGTGACGTCAGGACTCCTGTCTAGTAACTAGGGACACCTCAGGAATCTCTTCGAGGCTTGGCAGGGCAAAAGGGACGCTTCTCGAGGTGAGGCAAGGCACCCAAGGACCCTTTCCAGTAGCCACAGGGATTTTGGATTCCTATCAGTATTCAAGAGGAGTCAGGCATCATCACCTTTTGAAGCAATGAACTCCGCGTGCCTCTCGATGTGTCAGCAGGATATGAGGCATTCCGTCAAAAGGAGGCAGGGACCTAGGGCGTTCTCTAAGGTCTCCACAGGGGATTCAGACATCCCTTCATGTTGTGAGATGAAACACAAGCCTGTATTCAAGCCACTACAAGGAAATCCGGCCTCCTTACAAGTTAGGGCTTCTCGCTGTATATTCCCCTTGAGGCAGCAAACTCGGGGTCCCTCCCACATACCTATTGCTTAGAGAAGCCTCCTCCTGATGTGCTTCTGGAAAGTTGGCATACGTCTTGAGCCTAAGCCAGGGAATCAGCTCTCATCTCGAGACGATTTGGGGTACACGGAGCATTCCTCGAGTTGCTGTGCTGAAGTTGGTGTTCCTCTAGACTTGGGACAGTGTTCTCGGGGCATCACTGGAGTTGCCTGAAAGAAGTTGAGCCACCGGTCGTGTTGAATGGGGAACGGGGAATGGCTCTGGAGTCAATGCAGGGGAATCGGGCCTCATCTCGTGGTGATTTGGGGCACATGGAGCTGCTTTGCGTTGCTGGGGTGACCTCAGGGTCCGTCTAGACTGGTGACAGTGTTCTTGGGGACTGTCTCGAGATCCATTAAGCAAGTCGAAGCTCCTGACTTGTTTGAATGGGATCACGGAATAGCTCTGCATGCACTGCAGGGGAATGGGGCCTCATCTCGCCTCTAGGGGGAATCTCATGGTTTTTCTCGAGTTGCGGCGGGGACCTGGGGTATGTTCTCGACTTACGGCGGGGATGGCCCATCAAAACACGAGTTTCTTCAGTGACGTCAGGACTCCTGTCTAGTAACGAGGGACACCTCAGGAATCTCTTCGAGGCTTGGCAGGGCAAAAGGGACGCTTCTCGAGGTGAGGCAAGGCACCCAAGGACCCTTTCCAGTAGCCACAGGGATTTTGGATTCCTATCAGTATTCAAGAGGAGTCAGGCATCATCACCTTTTGAAGCAATGAACTCCGCGTGCCTCTCGATGTGTCAGCAGGATATGAGGCATTCCGTCAAAAGGAGGCAGGGACCTAGGGCTTTCTCTAAGGTCTCCACAGGGGATTCAGACATCCCTTCATGTTGTGAGATGAAAGACGAGCCTGTGTTCAAGCCACTGCAAGGAAATCAGGCCTCCTTTCAAGTTATGGCTTCTCGCTGTATATTCCCCTTGAGGCAGCAAACTCGGGGTCCCTCCCTCACACCTATTGCTGAGAGAAGCCTCCTCCTGAGATGCTTCTGGAAAGTTGGCATACGTCTTGAGCCTAAGCCAGGGAATCAGCTCTCATCTCGAGACGATTTGGGGTACACAGAGCATTCCTCGAGTTGCTGTGCTGAAGTTGGTGTTCCTCTAGCCTTGGGACAGTGTTCTCGGGGCATCTCTGGAGTTGGCTGAAGGAAGTCGAGCCACCGGTCGTGTTGAAGGGGAACGGGGAATGGCTCTGGAGTCAATGCAGGGGAATCCGGCCTCATCTCGTGGTGATTTGGGGCACATGGAGCTGCTTTTCGTTGCTGGGGTGACCTCAGGGTCCGTCTAGACTGGTGACAGTGTTCTTGGGGACTGTCTCGAGATCCATTAAGCAAGTCGAAGCTCCTGACTTGTTTGAATGGGATCACGGAATAGCTCTGCATGCACTGCAGGGGAATGGGGCCTCATGTCCCCTCTAGGGGGAAGTCTCATGGTTTTCCTCGAGTTGCGGCGGTGACCTGGGGTATGTTCTCGAATAACGGCGGGGATGGCCCTTCAAAACACGAGTTTCTTCAGTGAAGTCAGGACTCCTGTCTAGTAACGAGGGACACCTCAGGAATCTCTTTGAGGCTTGGCAGCGCAAAAGGGACGCTTCTCGAGGTGAGGCAGGGCACCCAAGGACCCTTTCCAGTAGCCACAGGTATTTTGGATTCCTATCACTATTCAAGAGTAGTCAGGCATCGTCACCTTTTGAAGCAATGAACTCCGCGTGCCTCTCGAGGTGTCAGCGGGATGTGAGGTATTCCGTCAAAATGAGGCAGGGACCTAGGGCTTTCTCTAAGGTCTCCACAGGGGATTCAGACATCCCTTCATGTTGTGAGATGAAAGACGAGCCTGTGTTCAAGCCACTGCAAGGAAATCTGGCCTCCTTTCAAGTTAGGGCTTCTCGCTGTATATTCCCCTTGAGGCAGCAAACTCGTGGTCCCTCCCTCATACCTATTGCTGAGAGAAGCCTCCTCCTGAGGTGCTTCTGGAAAGTTGGCATACGTCTTGAGCCTAAGCCAGGAAATCAGCTCTCATCTCGAGATGATTTGGGGTACACGGAGAATTCCTCGAGTTGCTGTGCTGAAGTTGGTGTTCCTCTAGTCTTGGGACAGTGTTCTCGGGGCATCTCTGGAGTTGCCTGAAGGAAGTCGAGCCACCGGTCGTGTTGAATGGGGAACGGGGAATGGCTCTGGAGTCAATGCAGGGGAATCGGGCCTCATCTCGAGTTGATTTGGGGCACATGGAGCTGCTTTGCATTGCTGGGGTGACCTCAGGGTCCGTCTAGACTGGTGACAGTGTTCTTGGGGACTGTCTCGAGATCCATTAAGGAAGTCGAAGCTCCTGACTTGTTTGAATGGGATCACGGAATAGCTCTGCATGCACTGCAGGGGAATGGGGTCTCATCTCGCCTCTAGGGGGAAGTCTCATGTTTTTTCTCGAGTTGTGGCGGGGACCTGGGGTATGTTCTCGACTTACGGCGGGGATGGCCCTTCAAAACACGAGTTTCTTCAGTGACGTCAGGACTCCTGTCTAGTAACGAGGGACACCTCAGGAATCTCTTCGAGGCTTGGCAGGGCAAAAGGGACGCTTCTCGAGGTGAGGCTGGGCACCCAAGGACCCTTTCCAGGAGCCACAGGAATTTTGGATTCCTATCAGTATTCAAGAGGAGTCAGGCATCGTCCCCTTTTGAAGCAATGAACTCCGCGTGCCTCTCGAGGTGTCAGCGGGATGTGAGGCATTCCGTCAAAATGAGGCAGGGACCTAGGGCTTTCTCTAAGGTCTCCACAGTGTATTCAGTCATCCCTTCATGTTGTGAGATGAAAGACGAGCCTGTATTCAAGCCACTACAAGGAAATCCGGCCTCCTTTCAAGTTAGGGCTTCTCGCTGTATATTCCCCTTGAGGCAGCAAACTCGGGGTCTCTCCCACATACCTATTGCTGAGAGAAGCCTCCTCCTGAGGTGCTTCTGGAAAGTTGGCATAGGTCTTGAACCTAAGCCAGGGAATCAGCTCTCATCTCGAGACGATTTGGGGTACACGGAGCATTCCTCGAGTTGCTGTGGTGAAGTTGGTGTTCCTCTAGACTTGGGACAGTGTTCTCCGGGCATCTCTGGAGTTGCCTGAAGGAAGTGGAGCTACAGGTAGTGTTGAATGGGGAACGGGGAATGGCTCTGGAGTCAATGCAGTTGAATCGGGCCTCATCTCGAGTTGATTTGGGGCACATGGAGCTGCTTTGCGTAGCTGGGGTGACCTCAGGGTCCGTCTAGACTGGTGACAGTGTTCTTGGGGACTGTCTCGAGATCCATTAAGCAAGTCGAAGCTCCTGACTTGTTTGAATGGGATCACGGAATAGCTCTGCATGCACTGCAGGGGAATGGGGCCTCATGTCACCTCTAGGGGGAAGTCTCATGGTTTTCTCGAGTTACGGCGGGGACCTGGGTTATGTTCTCGACTTACGGAGTGGATAGCCCTTCAAAACACGAGTTTCTTCAGTGACGTCAGGACTCCTGTCTAGTAACGAGGGACACCTCAGGAATCTCTTCGAGGCTTGGCAGGGCAAAAGGGACGCTTCTCGAGGTGAGGCAGGGCACCCAAGGACCCTTTCCAGTAGCCACAGGGATTTTGGGATTCCTATCAGTATTCAAGAGGAGTCAGGCGTCATCACCTTTTGACGAAATGAACTCCGCCTACCTCTCCAGGAGTCAGCGGGATGTGAAGCATTCCGTCAAAATGAGGCAGGGACCTAGGGCTTTCTCTAAGGTCTCCACACGGATTCAGACATCCCTTCATGTTGTGAGATGAAAGACGAGCCTGTATTCAAGCAACTGCAAGGAAATCCGGCCTCCTTTCAAGTTAGGGCTTCTCGCTGTATATTCCCCTTGAGGCAGCAAACTCGTGGTCCCTCCCTCATACATATTGCTGAGAGAAGCCTCCTCCTGACGTGCTTCCGGAAAGTTGGCATACGTCTTGATCCGAAGCCAGGGAATCAGCTCTCATCTCGAGATGATATGTGGTACACGGAGCATTCCTCGAGTTGCTGTGCTGAAGTTGGTGTTCCTCTAGACTTGGGACAGTGTTCTCGGGGCATCTCTGGAGTTGCCTGAAGGAAGTCGAGCCACCGGTCGTGTTGAATGGGGAACGGATAATGGCTCTGGATTCAATGCAGGGGAATCCGGCCTCATCTCGAGGTGATTTGGGGCACATGGAACTGCTTTGCATTGCTGGGGTGACCTCAGGGTCCGTCTAGACTTGTGACAGTGTTCTTGGGGACTGTCTCGAGATCCATTAAGCAAGTCGAAGCTCCTGACTTGTTTGAATGGGATCACGGAATAGCTCTGCATGCACTGCAGGGGAATGGGGCCTCATGTCGCCTCTAGGGGGAAGTCTCATGGTTTTCTCGAGTTGCGGCGGGGACCTGGGGTATGTTCTCGACTTACGGCGGGGATGGCCCTTCAAAACATGGGTTTCTTCAGTGAAGTCAGGACTCCTGTCTAGTAACGAGGGACACCTCAGGAATCTCTTCGAGGCTTGGCAGGCCAAAACGGACGCTTCTCGAGGTGAGGCAGGGCACCCAAGGACCCTTTCCAGTAGCCACAGGGATTTTGGATTCCTATCAGTATTCAAGAGGAGTCAGGCATCGTCACCTTTTGAAGCAATGAACTCCGCGAGCCTCTCGAGGTGTCAGTGGGATGTGAGGTATTCCGTCAAAATGAGGCAGGGAACTAGGGCTTTCTCTAAGGTCTCCACAGGGGATTCAGATATCCCTTCATGTTCTGAGATGAAAGACGAGCCTGTGTTCAAGCCACTGCAAGGAAATCTGGCCTCCTTTCAAGTTAGGGCTTCTCGCTGTATACTCCCCTTGAGGCAGCAAACTCGGGGTCCCTCCCTCATACCTATTGCTGAGAGAAACCTCCTCCTGAGGTGCTTCCGGAAAGTTGGCATACGTCTTGATCCTAAGCCAGGGAATCAGCTCTCATCTCGAGACGATTTGGGGTACACGGAGCATTCCTCGAGTTGCTGTGCTGAAGTTGGTGTTCCTCTAGACTTGGGACAGTGTTCTCGGGGCATCTCTGGAGTTGGCTGAAGGAAGTCGAGCCACCGGTCGTGTTGAATGGGGAACTTGGAATGGCTCTGGAGTCAATGCAGGGGAATCGGGCCTCATCTCGAGGTGATTTGGGGCACATGGAGCTGCTTTGTGTTGCTGGGGGTACCTCAGGGTCGGTCTAGACTGGTGAGAGTGTTCTTGGGGACTGTCTCGAGATCCATTATGCAAGTCGAAGCTCCTGACTTGTTTGAATGGGATCACGGAATAGCTATGCATGCACTGCAGGGGAATGGGGTCTCATCTCGCCTCTAGGGGGAAGTCTCATGGTTTTTCTCGAGTTGCGGCGGGGACCTGGGGTATGTTCTCGACTTACGGCCGGGATGGCCCTTCAAAACACGAGTTTCTTCAGTGAAGTCAGGACTCCTGTCTAGTAACGAGGGACACCTCAGCAATCTCTTCGAGGCTTGGCAGGGCAAAAGGGACGCTTCTCGAGGTGAGGCAGGGCATCCAAGGACCCTTTCCAGTAGCCACAGGGATTTTGGATTCCTATCAGTATTCAAGAGGAGTCAGGCATCGTCACCTTTTGAAGCAATGAACTCCGCGTGCCTCTCGAGGTGTCAGCGGGATGTGAGGCATTCCGTCAAAATGAGGCAGGGACCTAGGGCTTTCTCTAAGGTCTCCACAGGGGATTCAGACATCCCTTCATGTTGTGAGATGAAAGACGAGCCTGTATTCAAGCCACTACAAGGAAATCCGGCCTCCTTTCAAGTTAGGGCTTCTCGCTGTATATTCCCTTTGAGGCAGCAAACTCGGGGTCCCTCCCACATACCTATTGCTGAGAGAAGCCTCCTCCTGTGGTGCTTCTGGAATGTTGGCATACGTCTTGAGCCTAAGCCAGGGAATCAGCTCTCATCTCGAGACGATTTGGGGTACACGGAGCATTCCTCGAGTTGCTGTGCTGAAGTTGGTGTTCCTCTAGTCTTGGGACATTGTTCTCGGGGCATCTCTGGAGTTGGCTAAAGGAAGTCGAGCCACCGGTCGTGTTGAATGGGGAACGGGGAATGGCTCTGGAGTCAATGCAGGGGAATCGGGCCTCATCTCGAGTTGATTTGGGGCACATGGAGCTGCTTTGCATTGATGGGGTGACCTCAGTGTCCGTCTAGACTGGTGACAGTGTTCTTGGGGACTGTCTCGAGATCCATTAAGCAAGTCGAAGCTCCTGACTTGTTTGAATGGGATCACGGAATAGCTCTGCATGCACTGCAGGGGAATGGGGCCTCATGTCACCTCTAGGGGAAAGTCTCATGGTTTTTCTCGAGTTGCGGCGGGGACCTGGGTTATGTTCTCGACTTACGGAGGGGATGGCCCTTCAAAACACGAGTTTCTTCAGTGACGTCAGGACTCCTCTCTAGTAACGAGGGACACCACAGGAATCTCTTCGAGGCTTGGCAGGGCAAAAGGGACGCTTCTCGAGGTGAGGCAGGGCATCCAAGGACCCTTTCCAGTAGCCACAGGGATTTTGGGATTCCTATCAGTATTCAAGAGGAGTCAGGCCTCATCACCTTTTGAAGAAATGAACTCCGCCTACCTCTCGAGGAGTCAGCGGGATGTGAAGCATTCCGTCAAAATGAGGCAGGGACCTAGGGCTTTCTCTAAGGTCTCCACAGGGGATTCAGACATCCCTTCATGTTGTGAGATGAAAGACGAGCCTGTATTCAAGCCACTGCAAGGAAATCCGGCCTCCTTTCAAGTTAGGGCTTCTCGCTGTATATTCCCCTTGAGGCAGCAAACTCGGGGTCCCTCCCTCATACATATTGCTGAGAGAATCCTCCTCCTGAGGTGCTTCCGGAAAGTTGGCATACGTCTTGATCCGAAGCCAGGGAATCAGCTCTCATCTCGAGATGATATGTGGTACACGGAGCATTCCTCGAGTTGCTGTGCTGAAGTTGGTGTTCCTCTAGACTTGGGACAGTGTTCTCGGGGCATCTCTGGAGTTGCCTGAAGGAAGTCGAGCCACCGGTCGTGTTGAATGGGGAACGGATAATGGCTCTGGATTAAATGCAGGGGAATCCGGCCTCATCTCGAGGTGATTTGGGGCACATGGAGCTGCTTTGCGTTGCTGGGGTGACCTCAGGGTCCGTCTAGACTTGTGACAGTGTTCTTGGGGACTGTCTCCAGATCCATTAAGCAAGTCGAAGCTCCTGACTTGTTTGAATGGGATCACGGAATAGCTCTGCATGCACTGCAGGGGAATGGGGCCTCATGTCGCCTCTAGGGGGAAGTCTCATGGTTTTTCTCGAGTTGCGGCGGGGACCTGGGGTATGTTCTCGACTTACGGCGGGGATGGCCCTTCAAAACATGAGTTTCTTCAGTGACGTCAGGACTCCTGTCTAGTAACGAGGGACACCTCAGGAATCTCTTCGAGGCTTGGCAGGCCAAAACGGACGCTTCTCGAGGTGAGGCAGGGCACCCAAGGACCCTTTCCAGTAGCCACAGGGATTTTGGATTCCTATCAGTATTCAAGAGGAGTCAGGCATCGTCACCTTTTGAAGCAATGAACTCCGCGAGCCTCTCGAGGTGTCAGTGGGATGTGAGGTATTCCGTCAAAATGAGGCAGGGACCTAGGGCTTTCTCTAAGGTCTCCACAGGGGATTCAGACAACCCTTCATGTTGTGAGATGAAAGACGAGTCTGTGTTCAAGCCACTGCAAGGAAATCTGGCCTCCTTTCAAGTTAGGGCTTCTCGCTGTATATTCCCCTTGAGGCAGCAAACTCGGGGTCTCTCCCTCATACCTATTGCTGAGAGAAGCCTCCTCCTGAGGTGCTTCTGGAAAGTTGGCATACGTCTTGAGCCTAAGCCAGGGAATCAGCTCTCATTTCGAGACTATTTGGGGTACACGGAGCATTCCTCTAGTTGCTGTACTGAAGTTGGTGTTCCTCTAGTCTTGGGACAGTGTTCTCGGGGCATCTCTGGAGTTGCCTGAAGGAAGTCGAGCCACCGGTCGTGTTGAATGGGGAACGGGGAATGTCTCTGGAGTCAATGCAGGGGAATCGGGCCTCATCTCGAGTTGATTTGTGGCACATGGAGCTGCTTTGCATTGCTGAGGTGACCTCAGGGTCCGTATAGACTGGTGACAGTGTTCTTGGGGACTGCCTCGAGATCCATTAAGCAAGTCGAAGCCCCTGACTAGTTTGAATGGGATCACGGAATAGCTCTGCATGCACTGCAGGGGAATGATGCCTCATCTCGCCTCTAGGGGGAATTCTCATGGTTTTTCTCGAGTTACGGCGGGGACCTGGGATATGTTCTCGACTTACGGCCGGGATGGCCCTTCAAAACACGAGTTTCTTCAGTGACGTCAGGACTCCTGTCTAGTAACGAGGGACACCTCAGGAATCTCTTCGAGGCTTGGCAGGGCAAAAGGGACGCTTCTCGAGGTGAGACAGGGCACCTAAGGACCCTTTCCAGTAGCCACAGGGATTTTGGGATTCCTATCAGTATTCAAGAGGAGTCAGGCGTCATCACCTTTTGAAGAAATGAACTCCGCCTAACTCTCGAGGAGTCAGCGGGATGTGAAGCATTCCGTCAAAATGAGGCAGGGACCTAGGGCTTTCTCTAAGGTCTCCACAGGGGATTCAGACATCCCTTCATGTTGTGAGATGAAAGACGAGCCTGTATTCAAGCCACTGCAAGGAAATCCGGCCTCCTTTCAAGTTAGGGCTTCTCGCTGTATGTTCCCCTTGAGGCAGCAAATTCGGGGTCGCTCCCTCATACCTATTGCTGAGAGAAGCCTCCTCCTGAGGTGCTTCCAGAAAGTTGGCATACGTCTTGATCCTAAGCCAGGGAATCAGCTCTCATCTCGAGACGATTTGGGGTACACGGAGCATCCCTCGAGTTGCTGTGCTGAAGTTGGTGTTCCTCTAGTCTTGGGAGAGTGTTCTCGGGGCATCTCTAGAGTTGCCTGAAGGAAGTCGAGCCACCGGTCGTGTTGAATAGGGAACGGGGAATGGCTCTGGAGTCAATGCAGGGGAATAGGGCCTCATCTCGAGTTGATTTGGGGCACATGGAGCTGCTTTTCGTTGCTGGGGTGACCTCAGGGTCCGTCTAGACTGGTGACAGTATTCTTGGGGACTGTCTCGAGATCCATTAAGCAAGTCGAAGCTCCTGACTTGTTTGAATGGGATCACGGAATAGCTCTGCATGCACTGCAGGGGAATGGGGCCTCATGTCGCCTCTAGGGGGAAGTCTCATGGTTTTTCTCGAGTTGCGGCGGGGACCTGGGGTATGTTCTCGACTTACGGCGGGGATGGCCCTTCAAAACACGAGTTTCTTCAGTGACGTCAGGACTCCTGTCTAGTAACGAAGGACACCTCAGGAATCTCTTCGAGGCTTGGCAGGGCAAAAGGGACGCTTCTCGAGGTGAGGCAGGGCACCCAAGGACCCTTTCCAGTAGCCACAGGGATTTTGGATTCCTATCAGTATTCAAGAAGAGTCAGGCATCGTCACCTTTTGAAGCAATGAACTCCGAGTGCCTCTCGATGTGTCAGCGGGATGTGAGGCATTCCGTCAAAATGAGGCAGGGACCTAGGTCTTTCTCTAAGATCTCCACAGGGGATTCAGACATCCCTTCATGTTGTGAGATGAAATCCGAGCCTGTATTCAAGCAACTGCAAGGAAATCCGGCCTCCTTTCAAGTTAGGGCTTCTCGCTGTATATTCCCCTTGAGGCAGCAAACTCGGGTTCCCTCCCTCATACATAATGCTGAGAGAAGCCTCCACCTGAGGTGCTTCCGGAAAGTTGGCATACGTCTTGATCCGAAGCCAGGGAATCAGCTCTCATCTCGAGATGATATGGGGTACACGGAGCATTCCTCGAGTTGCTGTGCTGAAGTTGGTGTTCCTCTAGACTTGGGACAGTGTTCTCGGGGCATCTCTGGAGTTGCCTGAAGGAAGTCGAGCCACCGGTCGTGTTGAATGGGGAACAGATAATGGCTCTGGATTCAATGCAGGGGAATCCGGCCTCATTTCGAGGTGATTTGGGGCACATGGAGCTGCTTTGCGTTGCTGGGGTGACCTCAGGGTCCGCCTAGACTTGTGACAGTGTTCTTGGGGACTGTCTCGAGATCCATTAAGTAAGTCGAAGCCCCTGACTTGTTTGAATGGGATCACGGAATAGCTCTGCATGCACTGCAGGGGAATGGGGCCTCATCTCGCCTCTAGGGGGAAGTCTCATCGTTTTTCTCGAGTTACGGTGGGGACCTGGGGTATGTTCTCGACTTACGGCCGGGATGGCCCTTCAAAACACGAGTTTCTTCAGTGACGTCAGGACTCCTGTCTAGTAACGATGGACACCTCAGGAATCTCTTCGAGGCTTGGCAGGGCAAAAGGGACGCTTCTCTAGGTGAGGCAGGGCACCCAAGGACCCTTTCCAGTAGCCACAGGGATTCAGGATTCCTATCAGTATTCAAGAGGAGTCAGGCATCGTCACCTTTTGAAGCAATGAACTCCACGTGCCTCTCGAGGTGTCAGCGGGATGTGAGGCATTCCGTCAAAATGAGGCAGGAACCTAGGGCTTTCTCGAAGGTCTCCACAGGGGATTCAGACATCCCTTCATGCTGTGAGATGAAAGACGAGCCTGTATTCAAGCCACTACAAGGAAATCCGGCCTCCTTTCAAGTTAGGGCTTCTCGCTGTATATTCCCCTTGAGGCAGCAAACTCACGGTCCCTCCCACATACCTATTGCTGAGAGAAGCCTCCTCCTGAGGTGCTTCTGGAAAGTTGGCATACGTCTTGAGCCTAAGCCAGGGAATCAGCTCTCATCTCGAGACGATTTGGGGTACACGGAGCATTCCTCGAGTTGCTGTGCTGAAGTTGGTGTTCCTCTAGTCTTGGGACATTGTTCTCAGGGCATCTCTGGAGTTGGCTGAAGGGAGTCGAGCCACCGGTCGTGTTGAATGGGGAACGGGGAATGGCTCTGGAGTCAATGCAAGGGAATCGGGCCTCATCTCGAGTTGATTTGGGGCACATGGAGCTGCTTTGCATTGATGGGGTGACCTCAGGGTCCGTCTAGACTGGTGACAGTGTTCTTGGGGACTGTCTCGTGATCCATTAAGCAAGTCGAAGCTCCTGACTTGTTTGAATGGGATCACGGAATAGCTCTGCATGCACTGCAGGGGAATGGGGCCTCATGTCGCCTCTAGGGGGAAGTCTCATGGTTTTTCTCGAGTTGCGGCGGGGACCTGGGGTATGTTCTCGACTTACGGCGGGGATGGCCCTTCAAAACACGAGTTTCTTCAGTGACGTCAGGACTCCTGTCTAGTAACGAGGGACACCTCAGGAATCTCTTCGAGGCTTGGCAGGGCAAAAGGGACGCTTCTCGAGGTGAGGCAGGGCACCCAAGGACCCTTTCCAGTAGCCACAGTGATTTTGGATTCCTATCAGTATTCAATAAGAGTCAGGCATCGTCACCTTTTGAAGCAATGAACTCCGAGTGCCTCTCGATGTGTCAGCGGCATGTGAGGCATTCCGTCAAAATGAGACAGGGACCTAGGGCTTTCTCTAAGATCTCCACAGGGGATTCAGACATCCCTTCATGTTGTGAGATGAAATCCGAGCCTGTATTCAAGCAACTGCAAGGAAATCCGGCCTCCTTTCAAGTTAGGGCTTCTCGCTGTATATTCCCCTTGAGGCAGCAAACTCGGGGTCCCTCCCTCATACATAATGCTGAGAGAAGCCTCCACCTGAGGTGCTTCCGGAAAGTTGGCATATGTCTTGATCCGAAGCCAGGGAATCAGCTCTCATCTCGAGATGATATGGGGTACACGGAGCATTCCTCGAGTTGCTGTGCTGAAGTTGGTGTTCCTCTAGACTTGGGACAGTGTTCTCGGGGCATCTCTGGAGTTGCCTGAAGGAAGGCGAGCCTCCGTGCATGTTGAACGGGGAACGGGGAATGGCCCTGGAGTCAATGCAGGGGAATCGGGCCTCATCTCGAGTTGATTTGGGGCACATGGTCCTGCTTTGCATTGTTGGGTTGACCTCAGGGTCCGTCTAGACTGGTGACAGTGTTCTTGGGGACTGTCTCGAGATCCATTAAGCAAGTCGAAGCTCCTGACTTGTTTGAATGGGATCACGGAATAGCTCTGCATGCACTGCAGGGGAATGGGGCCTCATCTCGAATCTAGGGAGAAGTCTCATGGTTTTTCACGAGTTGCGGCGGGGACCTGGGGTATGTTCCCGACTTACGGCTGGGATGGCCCTTCAAAACATGAGTTTCTTCACTGAAGTCAGGACTCCTGTCTAGTAACGAGTGACACCTCAGGAATCTCTTCGAGGCTTGGCAGGGCAAAAGGGACGCTTCTCGAGGTGAGGCAGGGCACCCAAGGACCCTTTCCAGTAGCCACAGGGATTTTGGATTCCTATCAGTATTCAAGAGGAGTCAGGCATCGTCACCTTTTGAAGCAATGAACTCCGCGAGCCTCTCGAGGTGTCAGTGGGATGCGAGGTATTCCGTCAAAATGAGGCAGGGACCTAGGGCTTTCTCTAAGGTCTCCACAGGGGATTCAGACATCACTTCATGTTGTGAGATGAAAGACGAGCCTGTGTTCAAGCCACTGCTAGGAAATCTGGCCTCCTTTCAAGTTAGGGCTTCTCGCTGTATATTCCCCATGAGGCAGCAAACTCGGGGTCCCTCCCTCATACCTATTGCTGAGAGAAGCCTCCTCCTGAGGTGCTTCTGGAAAGTTGGCATACGTCTTGAGCCTACGCCAGGGAATCAGCTCTCATTTCGAGACGATTTGGGGTACACGGAGCATTCCTCGAGGTGCTGTGCTGAAGTTGGTGTTCCTCTAGTCTTGGGACAGTGTTCTCGGGGCATCTCTGGAGTTGCCTGAAGGAAGTCGAGCCAACGGTCGTGTTGAATGGGGAACGGGGAATGGCTCTGGAGTCAATGCAGGGGAATCGGGCCTCATCTCGAGTTGATTTGGGGCACATGGAGCTGCTTTGCATTGCTGAGGTGACCTCAGTGTCCGTATAGACTGGTGACAGTGTTCTTGGGGACTGCCTCGAGATCCATTAAGGAAGTCGAAGCCCCTGACTTGTTTGAATGGGATCACGGAATAGCTCTGCATGCACTGCAGGGGAATGGGGTCTCATCTCGCCTCTAGGGGGAAGTCTCATGGTTTTTCTCGAGTTGCGGCGGGGACCTGGGGTATGTTCTCGACTTACGGCGGGGATGGCCCTTCAAAACACGAGTTTCTTCAGTGACGTCAGGACTCCTGTCTAGTAAAGCGGGACACCTCAGGAATCTCTTCGAGGCTTGTCAGGGCAAAAGGGATGCTTCTCGAGGTGAGGCAGGGCACCCAAGGACCCTTTCCAGTAGCCACAGGGATTTTGGGTTTCCTATCAGTATTCAAGAGGAGTCAGGCATCGTCACCTTTTGAAGCAATGAACTCCGCGTGCCTCTCGAGGTGTCAACGGGATGTGAGGCATTCCATCCAAATGAGGCAGGGACCTAGGGCTTTCTCTAAGGTCTCCACAGGGGATGCAGACATCCCTTCATGTTGTGAGATGAAGGACGAGCCTGTATTCAAGCCACTGCAAGGAAAGCCGGCCTCCTTTCAAGTTAGGGCTTCTCGCTGTATATTCCCCTTGAGGCAGCAAACTCGGGGTCTCTCCCACATACATATTGCTGAGAGAAGCCTCCTCCTGAGGTGCTTCTGGAAAGTTGGCATACGTCTTGAGCCTAAGCCAGGGAATCCGCTCTCATCTCGAGACGATTTGGGGTACACGGAGCATTCCTCGAGTTGCTGTGCTGAAGTTGGTGTTCCTCTAGACTTGGGACAGTGTTCTCGGGGCATCTCTGGAGATGCCTAAAGGAAGTCGTGCCACCGGTCGTGTTGAATGGGGAACGGGGAATGGCTCTGGAGTCAAAGCAGGGGAATCGGGCCTCTTCTCGAGTTGATTTGGGGCACATGGAGCTGCTTTGCGTTGCTGGGGTGACCTCAGGGTCCCTCTAGACTGGTGACAGTGTTCTTGGGGACTGTCTCGAGATCCATTCAGCAAGTCGAAGCTCCTGACTTGTTTGAGTGGGATCACGGAATAGCTCTGCATGCACTGCAGGGGGATGGGGCCTCATCTCGCCTCTAGGGGGAAGTCTCATGGTTTTTCCCGAGTTGCGGCGGGGACCTGGGGTATGTTCTCGACTTACGGTGGGGATGGCCTTTCAAAACACGAGTTTCTTCAGTGACGTCAGGACTCCTGTCTAGTAACGAGGGACACCTCAGGAATCTCTTCGAGGCTTGGCAGGGCAAAAGGGACGCTTCTCGAGGTGAGGCTGGGCACCCAAGGACCCTTTCCAGTAGCCACAGTGATTTTGGGTTTCCTATCAGTATTCAAGAGGAGTCAGGCATCGTCACCTTTTGAAGCAGTGAACTCCGCGTGCCTCTCGAGGTGTCAGCGGGATGTGAGGCATTCCGTCAAAATGAGGTAGGGACCTAGGGCTTTCTGTAAGGCCTCCACAGGGGATTCAGACATCCCTTCATGTTGTGAGTTGAAAGACCAGCCTGTATTCAAGCCACTGCAAGGAAATCCGGCCTCCTTTCAAGTTAGGGCTTCTCGCTCTATATTCCCCTTGAGGCAGAACTCGGGGTCTCTCCCACATACCTATTGCTGAGAGAAGCCTCCTCCTGAGGTGCTTCTGGAAAGTTGGCATGCATCTTGAGCCTAAGCCAGGGAATCAGCTCTTATCTCGAGACGATTTGGGGTACACGGAGCATTCCTCGAGTTGCTGTGCTGAAGTTGGTGTTCCTCTAGACTTGGGACAGTGTTCTCGGGGCATCTCTGGAGATGCCTAAAGGAAGTCGTGCCACCGGTCGTGTTGAATGGGGAACGGGGAATGGCTCTGGAGTCAATGCAGGGGAATCGGGCCTCATCTCGAGTTGATTTGGGGCACATGGAGCTGCTTTGCGTTGCTGGGGTGACCTCAGGGTCCCTCTAGACTGGTGACAGTGTTCTTGGGGACTGTCTCGAGATCCATTAAGCAAGTCGAAGCTCCTGACTTGTTTGAGTGGGATCACGGAATAGCTCTGCATGCACTGCAGGGGGATGGGGCCTCATCTCGCCGCTAGGGGGAAATCTCATGGTTTTTCTCGAGTTGCGGCGGGGACCTGGGGTACGTTCTCGACTTACGGTGGGGATGGCCTTTCAAAACACGAGTTTCTTCAGTGACGTCAGGACTGCTGTCTAGTAACGAGGGACACCTCAGGAATCTCTTCGAGGCTTGGCAGGGCAAAAGGGACGCTTCTCGAGGTGAGGCAGGGCACCCAAGGACCCTTTCCAGTAGCCACAGGGATTTTGGGTTTCCTATCAGTATTCAAGAGGAGTCAGGCATCGTCACCTTTTGAAGCAATGAACTCCGCGTGCCTCTCGAGGTGTCAGCGGGATGTGAGGCCTTCCGTCAAAATGAGGCAGGGAACTAGGGCTTTCTCTAAGGTCTCCACAGGGGATTCAGACATCCCTTCATGTTGTGAGATGAAGGACGAGCCTGTATTCAAGCCACTGCAAGGAAATCCGGCCTCCTTTCAAGTTAGGGCTTCTCGCTGTATATTCCCCTTGAGGCAGCAAAGTCGGGGTCCCTGCCACATACCTATTGCTGAGAGAAGCCTCCTCCTGAGGTGCTTCTGGAAAGTTGGCATACGTCTTGAGCCTCAGCCAGGGAATCAGCTCTCATCTCCAGGCGATTTGGGGTACACGGAGCATTCCTCGAGTTGCTGTGCTGAAGTTGGTGTTCCTCTAGACTTGGGACAGTGTTCTCGGGGCATCTCTGGAGATGCCTGAAGGAAGTCGAGCCACCGGTCGTGTTGAATGTGGAACGCGGAATGGCTCTGGAGTCAATGCAGGGGAATCGGGCCTCATCTCGAGTTGATTTGGGGCAAAGGGAGCTGCTTTGCGTTGCTGGGGTGACCTCAGGGTCCGTCTAGACTGGTGACAGTGTTCTTGGGGACTGTCTCGAGATCCATTAAGCAAGTCAAAGCTCATGACTTGTTTGGGTGGTATCACGGAATAGCTCTGCGTGCACTGCAGGGGAATGGGGCCTCATGTCGCCTCTAGGGGGAAGTCTCATGGTTTTTCTCAAGTTGCGGCGGGGACCTGGGGTATGTTCTCGACTTACGGCGGGGATGGCCCTTCAAAACACGAGTTTCTTCAGTGACGTCAGCACTCCAGTCTAGTAACGAGGGACACCTCAGGAATCTCTTCGAGGCTTGGCAGGGCAAAAGGGACGCTTCTCGAGGTGAGGAGGTCACCCAAGGACCCTTTCCAGTAGCCACACGGATTTTGGGATTCCTATGAGTATCCAGGAGGAGTCAGGCATCGTCACCTTTTGGAGCAATGAACTCCGTGTAACTCTCGAGATGTCAGCGGGATGTGAGGCATTCCGTCAAAATGAGGCAGGGACCTAGGTCTTTCTCTAAGGTCTCCACAGGGTATTCAGACATCCCTTCATGTTGTGAGATGAAAGACGAGCCTGTATTCAAGCCACTGCAAGGAAATCCGGCCTCCTTTCAAGTTAGAGCTTCTCGCTGTATATTCCCCTTGAGGCAGCAAACTCGGGGACCCTCCCACATACCTATTGCTGAGAGAAGCCTCCTCCTGAGGTGCTTCTGGAAAGTTGGCATATGTCTTGAGCCTCAGCCAGGGAATCAGCTCTCATCTCGAGACGATTTGGGGTGCACGCAGCATTCCTCGTGTTCCTGTGCTGAAGTTGGTGTTCCTCTAGACTTGGGACAGTGTTCTCGGGGCATCTCTGGAGATGCCTGAAAGAAGTCGAGCCACCGGTCGTGTTGAATGTGGAACGCGGAATTGCTCTGGAATCAATGCTGGGGAATCGGGCCTCATCTTGAGTTGATTTGGGGCAAAGGGAGCTGCTTTGCGATGCTGGTGTGACCTCAGGGTCCGTCTAGACTGGTGACAGTGTTCTTGGGGACTGTCTCGAGATCCATTAAGAAAGTCAAAGCTCCTGACTTGTTTGAGTGGTATCACGGAATAGCTCTGCGTGCACTGCAGGGGAATACGGCCTCATCTCGCCTCTAGGGGGAAGTCTCGTGGTTTTTCTCGAGTTGAGGCGGGGACCTAGGGTATGTTCTCGACTTACGGCGGGGATGGCCCTTCAAAATACGAGTTTCTTCAGTGACGTCAGCATTCCTGTCTAGTAACGACAGACACCTCAGGAATCTCTTCGAGGCTTGGCAGGGCAAAAGTGACGCTTCTCGAGGTGAGGCAGGGCACCCAAGGACCCTTTCCAGTAGCGACACGGATTTTGGAATTCCTATGAGTATCCAGGAGGAGTCAGGCATCGTCACCTTCTGGGGCAATGAACTCCGTGTAACTCTCGAGATGTCAGCGGGATGTGAGGCATTCCGTCAAAATGAGGCAGGGACCTAGAGCTTTCTCTAAGGTGTCCACAGCGTATTCAGACATCCCTTCATGTCGTGAGATGAAAGACGAGCCTGTATTCAAGCCACTGCAAGGAAATCCGGCCTCCTTTCAAGTTAGAGCTTCTCGCTGTATATTCCCCTTGAGGCAGCAAACTCGGGGTCCCTCCCACATACCTATTGCTGAGAGAAGCCTCCTCCTGAGGTGCTTCTGGAAAGTTGGCATACGTCTTGAGCCTAAGCCAGGGAATCAGCTCTCATCTCGAGACGATTTGGGGTACACGGAGCATTCCTCGTGTTGCTGTGCTGAAGTTGGTGTTCCTCTAGACTTGGGACAGTGTTCTCGGGGCATCTCTGGAGTTACCTGAAGGATGTCGAGCCACCGGTCGTGTTGAATGGGGAAAGGGGAATGGCTCTGGTGTCAATGCAGGGGAATGGGGCCTCATCTCGCCTCTAGGGGGAAGTCTCATGGATTTTCTCGAGTTGCGGCGGGGACCTGGGGTATGTTCTCGACATACTGCCGGGATGGCCCATCAAAACACGAGTTTCTTCAGTGACGTCAGGACTCCTGTCTAGTAACGAGGGACACCTCAGGCATCTCTTCGAGGCTTGGCAGGGCAAAAGGGACGCTTCTCGAGGTGAGGCAGGGCACCCAAGGACCCTTTCCAGTAGCCACAGGGATTTTGGGATTCCAATCAGTATTCAAGAGGAGTCAGGCATCGTCACCGTTTGAAGCAATGAACTCCGCGTGCCTCTCGAGGTGTCAGCGGGATGTGAGGTATTCCGTCAAAATGAGGCAGGGACCTAGGGCTTTCTCTAAGGTCTCCACAGGGGATTCAGACATCCCTTCATGTTGTGAGATGAAAGACGAGCCTGTGTTCAAGCCACTGCAAGGAAATCCGGCCTCCTTTCAAGTTAGGACTTCTCGCTGTATATTCCCCTTGAGGCAGCAAACTCGGGGTCCCTCCCTCATACCTATTGCTGAGAGAAGCCTCCTCCTGAGGTGCTTCTGGAAAGTAGGCATATGTCTTGAGCCTAAGCCAGGGAATCAGCTCTCATCTCGAGACGATTTGGGGTACACGGAGCATTCCTCGAGTTGCTGTGCTGAAGTTGGTGTTCCTCTAGTCTTGGGACAGTGTTCTCGGGGCATCTCTGGAGTTGCCTGAAGGAAGTCGAGCCACCGGTCGTGTTGAATGGGGAACGGGGAATGGCTCTGGAGTCAATGCAGGGGAATCGGGCCTCATCTCGAGTTGATTTGGGGCACATGGAGCTGCTTTGCGTTGCTGGGATGACCTCAGGGTTCGTCAAGACTGGTGACAGTGTTCTTGGGGACTGTCTCGAGATCCATTAAGGAAGTCGAATCTCCTGACTTGTTTGAATGGGATCACGGAATAGCTCTGCATGCACTGCAGGGGAATGGGGCCTCATGTGGCCTCTAGGGGGAAGTCTCATGGTTTTTCTCGAGTTGCGACGGGGACCTGGGGTATGTTCTCGACTTACGGCGGGGATGGCCCTTCAAAACACGAGTTTCTTCAGTGACGTCAGGACTCCTGTCTAGTAACGAGGGACACCTCAGGAATCTCTTCGAGGTTTGGCAGGGCAAAATGGACGCTTCCTGAGGTGAGGCAGGGCAGCCAAGGACCCTTTCCAGTAGCCACAGGGATTTTGGATTCCTATCAGTATTCAAGAGGAGTCAGGCATCGTCAACTTTTGAAGCAATGAACTCCGCGTGCCTCTCGAGGTGTCAGCGGGATGTGAAGCATTCCGTCAAAATAAAGCAGTGACCTAGGGCTTTCTCTAAGGTCTCCACAGGGGATTCAGACATCCCTTCATGTTGTTAGATGAATGACGAGCCTGTATTCAAGCCACTACAAGGAAATCCGGCCTCCTTTCAAGTTAGGGCTTCTCGCTGTATATTCCCCTTGAGGCAGCAAACTCGGGGTCCCTCCCACATACCTATTGCTGAGAGAAGCCTCCTCCTGAGGTGCTTCTGGAATGTTGGCATACGTCTTGAGCCTAAGCCAGGGAATCAGCTCTCATCTCGAGACGATTTCGGGTACACGGAGCATTCCTCGATATCTGTGCTTAAGTTGGTGTTCCTCTAGTCTTGGGACAGTGTTCTCGGGGCATCTCTGGAGTTGGCTGAAGGAAGTCGAGCCACCGGTCGTGCTGAATGGGGAACGGGGAATGGCTCTGGAGTCAATGCAGGGGAATCGGGCCTCATCTCGATGTGATTTGGGGCACCTGGAGCTGCTTTGCATTGATGGGGTGACCTCAGGGTCCGTCTAGACTGGTGACAGTGTTCTTGGGGACTGTCTCGTGATCCATTAAGCAAGTCGAAGCTCCTGACTTGTTTGAATGGGATCACGGAATAGCTCTGCATGCACTGCAGGGGAATGGGGCCTCATGTCGCCTCTAGGGGGAAGTCTCATGGTTTTTCTCGAGTTGCGGCGGGGACCTGGCTTATGTTCTCGACTAACGGAGGGGACGGCCCTTCAAAACACGAGTTTCTTCAGTGACGTCAGGACTCCTGTCTAGTAACGAGGGACACCTCAGGAATCTCTTCGAGGCTTGGCAGGGCAAAAGGGACGCTTCTCGAGGTGAGGAAGGGCACCCAAGGACCCTTTCCAGTAGCCACAGGGATTTTGGGATTCCTATCAGTATTCAAGAGGAGTCAGGAGTCATCACCTTTTGAAGTAATGAACACCGCGTGCCTCTCGAGGAGTCAGCGGGATGTTAAGCATTCCGTCAAAATGAGGCAGGGACCTAGGGCTTTCTCTAAGGTCTCCACAGGGGATTCATACATCCCTTCATGTTGTGATATGAAAGACGAGCCTGTACTCAAGCCACTGCAAGGAAATCCGGCCTCCTTTCAAGTTAGGGCTTCTCGCTGTATATTCCCCTTGAGGCAGCAAACTCGGGGTCCCTCCCTCATACCTATTGCTGAGAGAAGCCTCCTCCTGAGGTGCTTCCGGAAAGTTGGCATACGTCTTGATCCTAAGCCAGGGAATCAGCTCTCATCTCGAGACAATTTGGTGTACACGGAGCATTACTCGAGTTGCTGTGCTGAAGTTGGTGTTCCTCTAGACTTGGGACATTGTTCTCGGCGCATCTCTGGAGTTGCCTGAAGGAAGTCGAGCCACCGGTCGTGTTGAATGGGGAACGGATAATGGCTCTGGATTCAATGCAGGGGAATCCGGCCTCATCTCGAGTTGATTTGGGGCACATGGAGCTGCTTTGCGTTGCTGGGGTGACCTCAGGGTCCGTCTAGACTTGTGACAGTGTTCTTGGGGACTGTCTCGAGATCCATTAAGCAAGTCGAAGCTCCTGACTTGTTTGAATGTGATCACGGAATAGCTCTGCATGCACTGCAGGGGAATGGGGCCTCATGTCGCCTCTAGGGGGAAGTCTCATGGTTTTTCTCGAGTTGCGGCGGGGACCTGGGGTATGTTCTCGACTTACGACGGGGATGGCCCTTCAAAACATGAGTTTCTTCAGTGAAGTCAGGACTCCTGTCTAGTAACGAGGGACACCTCAGGAATCTCTTCGAGGCTTGGCAGGCCAAAACGGACGCTTCTCGAGGTGAGGCAGGGCAACCAAGGACCCTTTCCAGTAGCCACAGGGATTTTGGATTCCTATCAGTATTCAAGAGGAGTCAGGCATCGTCACTTTTTCAAGCAATGAACTCCGCGAGCCTCTCGAGGTGTCAGTGGGATGTGAGGTATTCCGTCAAAATGAGGCAGGGACCTAGGGCTTTCTCTAAGGTCTCCACAGGGGATTCAGACAACCCTTCATGTTGTGAGATGAAAGACGAGCCTGTGTTCAAGCCACTGCAAGGAAATCTGGCCTCCTTTCAAGTTAGGGCTTCTCGCTGTATATTCCCCTTGAGGCAGCAAACTCGGGGTCTCTCCCTCATACCTATTGCTGAGAGAAGCCTCCTCCTGAGGTGCTTCTGGAAAGTTGGCATACGTCTTGAGCCTAAGCCAGGGAATCAGCTCTCATTTCGAGACGATTTGGGGTACACGGAGCATTCCTCGAGTTGCTGTACTGAAGTTGGTGTTCCTCTAGTCTTGGGACAGTGTTCTCGGGGCATCTCTGGAGTTGCCTGAAGGAAGTCGAGCCACCGGTCGTGTTGAATGGGGAACGGGGAATGGCTCTGGAGTCAATGCAGGGGAATCGGGCCTCATCTCGAGTTGATTTGGGGCACATGGAGCTGCTTTGCATTGCTGAGGTCACCTCAGGGTCCGTATAGACTGGTGACAGTGTTCTTGGGGACTGCCTCGAGATCCATTAAGCAAGTCGAAGCCCCTGACTAGTTTGAATGGGATCACGGAATAGCTCTGCATGCACTGCAGGGGAATGGGGCCTCATCTCGCCTCTAGGGGGAAGTCTCATGGTTTTTCTCGAGTTACGGCGGGGACCTGGGGTATGTTCTCGACTTACGGCCGGGATGGCCCTTCAAAACACGAGTTTCTTCAGTGACGTCAGGACTCCTGTCTAGTAACGAGGGACACCTCAGGAATCTCTTCGAGGCTTGGCAGGGCAAAAGGGACGCTTCTCGAGGTGAGACAGGGCACCTAAGGACCCTTTCCAGTAGCCACAGGGATTTTGGGATTCCTATCAGTATTCAAGAGGAGTCAGGCGTCATCACCTTTTGAAGAAATGAACTCCGCCTAACTCTCGAGGAGTCAGCGGGATGTGAAGCATTCCGTCAAAATGAGGCAGGGACCTAGGGCTTTCTCTAAGGTCTCCACAGGGGATTCAGACATCCCTTCATGTTGTGAGATGAAAGACGAGCCTGTATTCAAGCCACTGCAAGGAAATCCGGCCTCCTTTCAAGTTAGGGCTTCTCGCTGTATATTCCCCTTGAGGCAGCAAACTCGGGGTCGCTCCCTCATACCTATTGCTGAGAGAAGCCTCCTCCTGAGGTGCTTCCAGAAAGTTGGCATACGTCTTGATCCTAAGCCAGGGAATCAGCTCTCATCTCTAGACGATTTGGGGTACACGGAGAATTCCTCGAGTTGCTGTGATGAAGTTGGTGTTCCTCTAGTCTTGGGACAGTGTTCTCGGGGCATCTCTGGAGTTGCCTGAAGGAAGTCGAGCCACCGGTCGTGTTGAATGGGGAACTTGGAATGGCTCTGGAGTCAATGCAGGGGAATCGGGCCTCATCTCGAGGTGATTTGGGGCACATGGAGCTGCTTTGTGTTGCTGGGGGTACCTCAGGGTCGGTCTAGACTGGTGACAGTGTTCTTGGGGACTGTCTCGAGATCCATTAAGCAAGTCGAACCTCCTGACTTGTTTGAATGGGATCACGGAATAGCTCTGCATGCACTGCAGGGGAATGGGGTCTCATCTCGCCTCTAGGGGGAAGTCTCATTGTTTTTCTCGAGTTGCGGCGGGGACCTGGGGTATGTTCTCGACTTACGGCCGGGATGGCCCTTCAAAACACGAGATTCTTCAGTGAAGTCAGGACTCCTGTCTAGTAACGAGGGACACCTCAGGAATCTCTTCGAGGCTTGGCAGGGCAAAAGGGACGCTTCTCGAGGTGAGGAAGGGCACCCAAGGACCATTTCCAGTAGCCACAGGGATATTGGGATTCCTATCAGTATTCAAGAGGAGTCAGGCGTCATCACCTTTTGAAGTAATGAACTCCGCGTGCCTCTCGAGGAGTCAGCGGGATGTGAAGCATTCCGTCAAAATGAGGCAGGGACCTAGGGCTTTCTCTAAGGTCTCCACAGGGGATTCAGACATCCCTTCATGTTGTGAGATGAAAGACGAGCCTGTATTCAAGCCACTGCAAGGAAATCCGGCCTCCTTTCAAGTTAGGGCTTCTCGCTGTATATTCCCCTTGAGGCAGCAAACTCGGGGTCCCTCCCTCATAATTATTGCTGAGAGAAGCCTCTTCCTGAGGTGCTTCCGGAAAGTTGGCATACGTCTTGATCCTAAGCCAGGGAATCAGCTCTCATCTCGAGACGATTTGGGGTACACGGAGCATTCCTCGAGTTGCTGTGCTGAAGTTGGTGTTCCTCTAGACTTGGGACAGTGTTCTAGGGGCATCTCTGGAGTTGGCTGAAGGAAGTCGAGCCACCGGTCGTGTTGAATGGGGAACGGGGAATGGCTCTGGAGTCAATTCTGGGGAATCGGGCCTCATCTCGAGTTGATTTGGGGCACATGGAGCTGCTTTTCGTTGCTGGGGTGACCTCAGGGTCCGTCTAGACTGGAGACAGTGTTCTTGGGGACTGTCTCGAGATCCATTAAGCAAGTCGAAGCTCCTGACTTGTTTGAATGGGATCACAGAATAGCTCTGCATGCACTGCAGGGGAATGGGGCCTCATGTCGCCTCTAGGGGGAAGTCTCATGGTTTTTCTCGAGTTGCGGCCGGGACCTAGGGTATGTTCTCGACTTACGGCCGGGATGGCCCTTCAAAACACGAGTTTCTTCAGTGACGTCAGGACTCCTGTCTAGTAACGAGGGACACCTCAGGAATCTCTTCGAGGCTTGGCAGGGCAAAAGGGACGCTTCTCTAGGTGAGGCAGGGCACCCAAGGACCCTTTCCAGTAGCCACAGGGATTCAGGATTCCTATCAGTATTCAAGAGGAGTCAGGCATCGTCACCTTTTGAAGCAATGAACTCCGCGTGCCTCTCGAGGTGTCAGCGGGATGTGAGGCATTCCGTCAAAATGAGGCAGGAACCTAGGGCTTTCTCTAAGGTCTCCACAGGGGATTCAGACATCCCTTCATGTTGTGAGATGAAACACAAGCCTGTATTCAAGCCACTACAAGGAAATCCGGCCTCCTTTCAAGTTAGGGCTTCTCGCTGTATATTCCCCTTGAGGCAGCAAACTCGCGGTCCCTCCCACATACCTATTGCTGAGAGAAGCCTCCTCCTGAGGTGCTTCTGGAAAGTTGGCATACGTCTTGAGCCTAAGCCAGGGAATCAGCTCTCATCTCGAGACGATTTGGGGTACACGGAGCATTCCTCGAGTTGCTGTGCTGAAGTTGGTGTTCCTCTAGTCTTGGGACATTGTTCTCAGGGCATCTCTGGAGTTGGCTGAAGGAAGTCGAGCCACCGGTCGTGTTGAATGGGGAACGGGGAATGGCTCTGGAGTCAATGCAGGGGAATCGGGCCTCATCTCGAGTTGATTTGGGGCACATGGAGCTGCTTTGCATTGATGGGGTGACCTCAGGGTCCGTCTAGACTGGTGACAGTGTCCTTGGGGACTGTCTCGTGATCCATTAAGCAAGTCGAAGCTCCTGACTTGTTTGAATGGGATCACGGAATAGCTCTGCATGCACTGCAGGGGAATGGGGCCTCATGTCGCCTCTAGGGGGAAGTCTCATGGTTTTTCTCGAGTTGCGGCGGGGACCTGGGGTATCTTCTCGACTTACGGCCGGGATGGCCCTTCAAAACACGAGTTTCTTCAGTGACGTCAGCACTCATGTCTAGTAACGAGGGACACCTCAGGAATCTCTTCGAGGCTTGTCAGTGCAAAAGGGACGCTTCTCGAGGTGAGGCAGGGCACCCAAGGACCCTTTCAAGTAGCCACAGGGATTTTGGATTCCTATCAGTATTCAAGAGGAGTCAGGCATCGTCACCTTTTGAAGCAATGAACTCCGCGAGCCTCTCGAGGTGTCAGTGGGATGTGAGGTATTCCGTCAAAATGAGGCAGGGACCTAGGGCTTTCTCTAAGGTCTCCACAGGGGATTCAGACATCACTTCATGTTGTGAGATGAAAGACGAGCCTGTGTTCAAGCCACTGCTAGGAAATCTGGCCTCCTTTCAAGTTAGGGCTTCTCGCTGTATATTCCCCATGAGGCAGCAAACTCGGGGTCCCTCCCTCATATCTATTGCTGACAGAAGCCTCCTCCTGAGGTGCTTCTGGAAAGTTGGCATATGTCTTGAGCCTACGCCAGGGAATCAGCTCTCATTTCGAGACGATTTGGGTACACAGAGCATTCCTCGAGGTGCTGTGCTGAAGTTGGTGTTCCTCTAGTCTTGGGACAGTGTTCTCGGGGCATCTCTGGAGTTGCCTGAAGGAAGTCGAGCCAACGGTCATGTTGAATGGGGAACGGGGAATGGCTCTGGAGTCAATGCAGGGGAATCGGGCCTCATCTCGAGTTGATTTGGGGCACATGGAGCTGCTTTGCATTGCTGAGGTGACCTCAGTGTCCGTATAGACTGGTGACAGTGTTCTTGGGGACTGCCTCGAGATCCATTAAGCAAGTCGAAGCCCCTGACTTGTTTGAATGGGATCACGGAATAGCTCTGCATGCACTGCAGGGGAATGGGGCCTCATCTCGCCTCTAGGGGGAAGTCTCATCGTTTTTCTCGAGTTACGGTGGGGACCTGGGGTATGTTCTCGACTTACGGCCGGGATGGCCCTTCAAAACACGAGTTTCTTCAGTGACGTCAGGACTCCTGTCTAGTAACGATGGACACCTCAGGAATCTCTTCGAGGCTTGGCAGGGCAAAAGGGACGCTTCTCTAGGTGAGGCAGGGCACCCAAGGACCCTTTCCAGTAGCCACAGGGATTCAGGATTCCTATCAGTATTCAAGAGGAGTCAGGCATCGTCACCTTTTGAAGCAATGAACTCCGCGTGCCTCTCGAGGTGTCAGCGGGATGTGAGGCATTCCGTCAAAATGAGGCAGGGACCTAGGGCTTTCTCTAAGGTCTCCACAGGATATTCAGACATCCCTTCATGTTGTGAGATGAAAGACGAACCTGTATTCAAGCCACTGCAAGGAAATCCGGCCTCCTTTCAAGTTAGGGCTTCTCGCTGTATATTCCCCTTGAGGCAACAAACTCGGGGTCCCTCCCACATACTTATTGCTGAGAGAAGCCTCCTCCTGAGGTGCTTCTGGAAAGTTGGCATAGGTCTTGAACCTAAGCCAGGGAATCAGCTCTCATCTCGAGACGATTTGGGGTACACGGAGCATCCCTCGAGTTGCTGTGCTGAAGTTGGTGTTCCTCTAGTCTTGGGAGAGTGTTCTCGGGGCATCTCTAGAGTTGCCTGAAGGAAGTCGAGCCACCGGTCGTGTTGAATAGGGAACGGGGAATGGCTCTGGAGTCAATGCAGGGGAATAGGGCCTCATCTCGAGTTGATTTGGGGCACATGGAGCTGCTTTTCGTTGCTGGGGTGACCTCAGGGTCCGTCTAGACTGGTGACAGTGTTCTTGGGGACTGTCTCGAGATCCATTAAGCAAGTCGAAGCTCCTGACTTGTTTGAATGGGATCACGGAATAGCTCTGCATGCACTGCAGGGGAATGGGGCCTCATGTCGCCTCTAGGGGGAAGTCTCATGGTTTTTCTCGAGTTGAGGCGGGGACCTGGGGTATGTTCTCGACTTACGGCGGGGATGGCCCTTCAAAACACGAGTTTCTTCAGTGACGTCAGGACTCCTGTCTAGTAACGAGGGACACCTCAGGAATCTCTTCGAGGCTTGGCAGGGCAAAAGGGACGCTTCTCGAGGTGAGGCAGGGCACCCAAGGACCCTTTCCAGTAGCCACAGGGATTTTGGATTCCTATCAGTATTCAAGAAGAGTCAGGCATCGTCACCTTTTGAAGCAATGAACTCCGAGTGCCTCTCGATGTGTCAGCGGGATGTGAGGCATTCCGTCAAAATGAGGCAGGGACCTAGGGCTTTCTCTAAGATCTCCACAGGGGATTCAGACATACCTTCATGTTGTGAGATGAAATCCGAGCCTGTATTCAAGCAACTGCAAGGAAATCCGGCCTCCTTTCAAGTTAGGGCTTCTTGCTGTATATTCCCCTTGAGGCAGCAAACTCGGGGTCCCTCCCTCATACCTATTGCTGAGAGAAGCCTCTTCCTGAGGTGCTTCCGGAAAGTTGGCATACGTCTTGATCCTAAGCCAGGGAATCAGCTCTCATCTCGAGACGATTTGGGGTACACGGAGCATTCCTCGAGTTGCTGTGCTGAAGTTGGTGTTCCTCTAGACTTGGGACAGTGTTCTAGGGGCATCTCTGGAGTTGGCTGAAGGAAGTCGAGCCACCGGTCGTGTTGAATGGGGAACGGGGAATGGCTCTGGAGTCAATGCTGGGGAATCGGGCCTCATCTCGAGGTGATTTCGGGCACATGGTGCTGCTTTGCCTTGCTGGGATGACCTCAGGGTCCGTCTAGACTGGAGACAGTGTTCTTGGGGACTGTCTCGAGATCCATTAAGCAAGTCGAAGCTCCTGACTTGTTTGAATGGGATCACGGAATAGCTCTGCATGCACTGCAGGGGAATGGGGCCTCATGTCGCCTCTAGGGGGAAGTCTCATGGTTTTTCTCGAGTTGCGGCGGGGACCTGGGGTATGTTCTCGACTTACGGCCGGGATGGCCCTTCAAAACACGAGTTTCTTCAGTGACGTCAGGACTCCTGTCTAGTAACGAGGGACACCTCAGGAATCTCTTCGAGGCTTGGCAGGGCAAAAGGGACGCTTCTCTAGGTGAGGCAGGGCACCCAAGGACCCTTTCCAGTAGCCACAGGGATTCAGGATTCCTATCAGTATTCAAGAGGAGTCAGGCATCGTCACCTTTTGAAGCAATGAACTCCGCATGCCTCTCGAGGTGTCAGCGGGATGTGAGGCATTCCGTCAAAATGAGGCAGGAACCTAGGGCTTTCTCTAATGTCTCCACAGGGGATTCAGACATCCCTTCATGTTGTGAGATGAAACACAAGCCTGTATTCAAGCCACTACAAGGAAATCCGGCCTCCTTTCAAGTTAGGGCTTCTCGCTGTATATTCCCCTTGAGGCAGCAAACTCGCGGTCCCTCCCACATACCTATTGCTGAGAGAAGCCTCCTCCTGAGGTGCTTCTGGAAAGTTGGCATACGTCTTGAGCCTAAGCCAGGGAATCAGCTCTCATCTCGAGACGATTTGGGGTACACGGAGCATTCCTTGAGTTGCTGTGCTGAAGTTGGTGTTCCTCTAGTCTTGGGACATTGTTCTCAGGGCATCTCTGGAGTTGGCTGAAGGAAGTCGAGCCACCGGTCGTGTTGAATGGGGAACGGGGAATGGCTCTGGAGTCAATGCAGGGGAATCGGGCCTCATCTCGAGTTGATTTGGGGCACATGGAGCTGCTTTGCATTGATGGGGTGACCTCAGGGTCCGTCTAGACTGGTGACAGTGTCCTTGGGGACTGTCTCGTGATCCATTAAGCAAGTCGAAGCTCCTGACTTGTTTGAATGGGATCACGGAATAGCTCTGCATGCACTGCAGGGGAATGGGGCCTCATGTCGCCTCTAGGGGGAAGTCTCATGGTTTTTCTCGAGTTGCGGCGGGGACCTGGGGTATCTTCTCGACTTACGGCCGGGATGGCCCTTCAAAACACGAGTTTCTTCAGTGACGTCAGCACTCATGTCTAGTAACGAGGGACACCTCAGGAATCTCTTCGAGGCTTGTCAGTGCAAAAGGGACGCTTCTCGAGGTGAGGCAGGGCACCCAAGGACCCTATCCAGTAGCCACAGGGATTTTGGATCCCTATCAGTATTCAAGAGGAGTAGGCATCGTCACCTTTTGAAGCAATGAACTCCGCGTGCCTCTCGAGGTGTCAGCGGGATGTGAGGCATTCCGTCAAAATGAGGCAGGGACCTAGGGCTTTCTCTAAGGTCTCCACAGGATATTCAGACATCCCTTCATGTTGTGAGATGAAAGACGAACCTGTATTCAAGCCACTGCAAGGAAATCCGGCCTCCTTTCAAGTTAGGGCTTCTCGCTGTATATTCCCCTTGAGGCAACAAACTCGGGGTCCCTCCCACATACTTATTGCTGAGAGAATCCTCCTCCTGAGGTGCTTCTGGAAAGTTGGCATAGGTCTTGAACCTAAGCCAGGGAATCAGCTCTCATCTCGAGACGATTTGGGGTACACGGAGCATCCCTCGAGTTGCTGTGCTGAAGTTGGTGTTCCTCTAGTCTTGGGAGAGTGTTCTCGGGGCATCTCTAGAGTTGCCTGAAGGAAGTCGAGCCACCGGTCGTGTTGAATAGGGAACGGGGAATGGCTCTGGAGTCAATGCAGGGGAATAGGGCCTCATCTCGAGTTGATTTGGGGCACATGGAGCTGCTTTTCGTTGCTGGGGTGACCTCAGGGTCCGTCTAGACTGGTGACAGTGTTCTTGGGGACTGTCTCGAGATCCATTAAGCAAGTCGAAGCTCCTGACTTGATTGAATGGGATCACGGAATAGCTCTGCATGAACTGCAGGGGAATGGGGCCTCATGTCGCCTCTAGGGGGAAGTCTCATGGTTTTTCTCGAGTTGCGGCGGGGACCTGGGGTATGTTCTCGACTTACGGCTGGGATGGCCCTTCAAAACATGAGTTTCTTCAGTGAAGTCAGGACTCCTGTCTAGTAACGAGGGACACCTCAGGAATCTCTTCGAGGCTTGGCAGGGCAAAAGGGACGCTTCTCGAGGTGAGGCACGGCACCCAAGGACCCTTTCCAGTAGCCACAGGGATTTTGGATTCCTATCAGTATTCAAGAGGAGTCAGGCATCGTCACCTTTTGAAGCAATGAACTCCGCGAGCCTCTCGAGGTGTCAGTGGCATGTGAGGTATTCCGTCAAAATGAGGCAGGGACCTAGGGCTTTCTCTAAGGTCTCCACAGGGGATTCAGACATCACTTCATGTTGTGAGATGAAAGACGAGCCTGTGTTCAAGCCACTGCTAGGAAATCTGGCCTCCTTTCAAGTTAGGGCTTCTCGCTGTATATTCCCCATGAGGCAGCAAACTCGGGGTCCCTCCCTCATATCTATTGCTGACAGAAGCCTCCTCCTGAGGTGCTTCTGGAAAGTTGGCATATGTCTTGAGCCTACGCCAGGGAATCAGCTCTCATTTCGAGACGATTTGGGGTACACAGAGCATTCCTCGAGGTGCTGTGCTGAAGTTGGTGTTCCTCTAGTCTTGGGACAGTGTTCTCGGGGCATCTCTGGAGTTGCCTGAAGGAAGTCGAGCCAACGGTCATGTTGAATGGGGAACGGGGAATGGCTCTGGAGTCAATGCAGGGGAATCGGGCCTCATCTCGAGTTGATTTGGGGCACATGGAGCTGCTTTGCATTGCTGAGGTGACCTCAGTGTCCGTATAGACTGGTGACAGTGTTCTTGGGGACTGCCTCGAGATCCATTAAGGAAGTCGAAGCCCCTGACTTGTTTGAATGGGATCACGGAATAGCTCTGCATGCACTGCAGGGGAATGGGGCCTCATCTCGCCTCTAGGGGGAAGTCTCATCGTTTTTCTCGAGTTACGGTGGGGACCTGGGGTATGTTCTCGACTTACGGCCGGGATGGCCCTTCAAAACACGAGTTTCTTCAGTGACGTCAGGACTCCTGTCTAGTAACGATGGACACCTCAGGAATCTCTTCGAGGCTTGGCAGGGCAAAAGGGACGCTTCTCTAGGTGAGGCAGGGCACCCAAGGACCCTTTCCAGTAGCCACAGGGATTCAGGATTCCTATCAGTATTCAAGAGGAGTCAGGCATCGTCACCTTTTGAAGCAATGAACTCCGCGTGCCTCTCGAGGTGTCAGCGGGATGTGAGGCATTCCGTCAAAATGAGGCAGGGACCTAGGGCTTTCTCTAAGGTCTCCACAGGATATTCAGACATCCCTTCATGTTGTGAGATGAAAGACGAACCTGTATTCAAGCCACTGCAAGGAAATCCGGCCTCCTTTCAAGTTAGGGCTTCTCGCTGTATATTCCCCTTGAGGCAACAAACTCGGGGTCCCTCCCACATACTTATTGCTGAGAGAAGCCTCCTCCTGAGGTGCTTCTGGAAAGTTGGCATAGGTCTTGAACCTAAGCCAGGGAATCAGCTCTCATCTCGAGACGATTTGGGGTACACGGAGCATCCCTCGAGTTGCTGTGCTGAAGTTGGTGTTCCTCTAGTCTTGGGAGAGTGTTCTCGGGGCATCTCTAGAGTTTCCTGAAGGAAGTCGAGCCACCGGTCGTGTTGAATAGGGAACGGGGAATGGCTCTGGAGTCAATGCAGGGGAATAGGGCCTCATCTCGAGTTGATTTGGGGCACATGGAGCTGCTTTTCGTTGCTGGGGTGACCTCAGGGTCCGTCTAGACTGGTGACAGTGTTCTTGGGGACTGTCTCGAGATCCATTAAGCAAGTCGAAGCTCCTGACTTGTTTGAATGGGATCACGGAATAGCTCTGCATGCACTGCAGGGGAATGGGGCCTCATGTCGCCTCTAGGGGGAAGTCTCATGGTTTTTCTCGAGTTGCGGCGGGGACCTGGGGTATGTTCTCGACTTACGGCGGGGATGGCCCTTCAAAACACGAGTTTCTTCAGTGACGTCAGAACTCCTGTCTAGTAACGAGGGACACCTCAGGAATCTCTTCGAGGCTTGGCAGGGCAAAAGGGACGCTTCTCGAGGTGAGGCAGGGCACCCAAGTACCCTTTCCAGTAGCCACAGGGATTTTGGATTCCTATCAGTATTCAAGAAGAGTCAGGCATCGTCACCTTTTGAAGCAATGAACTCCGAGTGCCTCTCGATGTGTCAGCGGGATGTGAGGCATTCCGTCAAAATGAGACAGGAACCTAGGGCTTTCTCTAAGATCTCCACAGGGGATTCAGACATCCCTTCATGTTGTGAGATGAAATCCGAGCCTGTATTCAAGCAACTGCAAGGAAATCCGGCCTCCTTTCAAGTTAGGGCTTCTCGCTGTATATTCCCCTTGAGGCAGCAAACTCGGGGTCCCTCCCTCATACGTAATGCTGAGAGAAGCCTCCACCTGAGGTGCTTCCGGAAAGTTGGCATACGTCTTGATCCGAAGCCAGGGAATCAGCTCTCATCTCGAGATGATATGGGGTACACGGAGCATTCCTCGAGTTGCTGTGCTGAAGGTGGTGTTCCTCTAGACTTGGGACAGTGTTCTCGGGGCATCTCTGGAGTTGCCTGAAGGAAGTCGAGCCACCGGTCGTGTTGAATGGGGAACAGATAATGGCTCTGGATTCAATGCAGGGGAATCCGGCCTCATATCGAGGTGATTTGGGGCACATGGAGCTGCTTTGCGTTGCTGGGGTGACCTCAGGGTCCGCCTAGACTTGTGACAGTGTTCTTGGGGACTGTCTCGAGATCCATTAAGTAAGTCGAAGCTCCTGACTTGTTTGAATGGGATCACGGAATAGCTCTGCATGCACTGCAGGGGAATGGGGTCTCATCTCGCCTCTAGGGGGAAGTCTCATGGTTTTTCTCGAGTTGCGGCGGGGACCTGGGGTATGTTCTCGACTTACGGCGGGGATGGCCCTTCAAAACACGAGTTTCTTCAGTGACGTCAGGACTCCTGTCTAGTAAAGCGGGACACCTCAGGAATCTCTTCGAGGCTTGTCAGGGCAAAAGGGATGCTTCTCGAGGTGAGGCAGGGCACCCAAGGACCCTTTCCAGTAGCCACAGGGATTTTGGGTTTCCTATCAGTATTCAAGAGGAGTCAGGCCTCGTCACCTTTTGAAGCAATGAACTCCGCGTGCCTCTCGAGGTGTCAGCGGGATGTGAGGCATTCCATCAAAATGAGGCAGGGAACTAGGGCTTTCTCTAAGGTCTCCACAGGGGATGCAGACATCCCTTCATGTTGTGAGATGAAGGACGAGCCTGTATTCAAGCCACTGCAAGGAAAGCCGGCCTCCTTTCAAGTTAGGGCTTCTCGCTGTATATTCCCCTTGAGGCAGCAAACTCGGGGTCCCTGTCACATACCTATTGCTGAGAGAAGCCTCCTCCTGAGGTGCTTCTGGAAAGTTGGCATACGTCTTGAGCCTCAGCCAGGGAATCAGCTCTCATCTCGAGACGATTTGCGGTACACGGAGCATTCCTCGAGTTCCTGTGCTGAAGTTGGTGTTCCTCTAGCCTTCGGACAGTGTTCTCGGGGCATCTCTGGAGTTGCCTGAAGGAAGTCGAGCCACCGGTCGTGTTGAATGTGGATCGGGGAATGGCTCTGGAGTCAATGCAGGGGAATCAGGCCTCATCTCGAGTTGATTTGGGGCACATGGAGCTGCTTTGTGTTGCTGGGGTGATCTCAGGGTCCGTCTAGACTGGTGACTGTGTTCTTGGGGACTGTCTCGAGATCCATTAAGCAAGTCGAAGCTCCTGAGTTGTTTGAATGGGATCACGGAATAGCTCTGCATGCACTGCAGGGGAATGGGGCCTCATCTCGCCTATAGGGGGAAGTCTCATGGTTTTTCTCGAGTTGCGGCGGGTACCTGGGCTATGTTCTCGACTTACGGCGGGGATGGCCCTTCAAAACACGAGTTTCTTCCGTGACGTCAGGACTCCTGTCTAGTAACGAGGGACACCTCAGGAATCTCTTCGAGGCTTGGCAGGGCCAAAGGGATGCTTCTCGAGGTGAGGCAGGGCACCCAAGGACCCTTTCCAGTAGCTAGAGGGATTTTGGGATTCCTATCAGTATTCAAGAGGAGTCAGGCATCGTCACCTTTTGAAGCAGTGAACTCCACGTGCCTCTCGAGGTGTCAGCGGGATGTGAGGCATTCCGTCAAAATGAGGCAGGGCCCTAGGGCTTTCTGTAAGGTCTCCACAGGGGATTCAGACATCCCTTCATGTTGTGAGTTGAAAGACCAGCCTGTATTCAAGCCACTGCAAGGAAATCCGGCCTCCTTTCAAGTTAGGGCTTCTCGCTCTATATTCCCCTTGAGGCAGCAAAATCGGGGTCTCTCCCACATACCTATTGCTGAGAGAAGCCTCCTCCTGAGGTGCTTCTGGAAAGTTGGCATACGTCTTGAGCCTAAGCCAGGGAATCCGCTCTCATCTCGAAACGATTTGGGGTACACGGAGCATTCCTCGAGTTGCTGTGCTGAAGTTGGTGTTCCTCTAGACTTGGGACAGTGTTCTCGGGGCATCTCTGGAGATGCCTAAAGGAAGTCGTGCCACCGGTCGTGTTGAATGGGGAACGGGGAATGGCTCTGGAGTCAAAGCAGGGGAATCGGGCCTCATCTCGAGTTGATTTGGGGCACATGGAGCTGCTTTGCGTTGCTGGGGTGACCTCAGGGTCCCTCTAGACTGGTGACAGTGTTCTTGGGGACTGTCTCGAGATCCATTCAGCAAGTCGAAGCTCCTGACTTGTTTGAGTGGGATCACGGAATAGCTCTGCATGCACTGCAGGGGGATGGGGCCTCATCTCGCCTCTAGGGGGAAGTCTCATGGTTTTTCCCGAGTTGCGGCGGGTACCTGGGGTATGTTCTCGACTTACGGTGGGGATGGCCTTTCAAAACACGAGTTTCTTCAGTGACGTCAGGACTCCTGTCTAGTAACGAGGGAAACCTCAGGAATCTCTTCGAGGCTTGGCAGGGCAAAAGGGACGCTTCTCGAGGTGAGGCTGGGCACCCAAGGACCCTTTCCAGTAGCCACAGGGATTTTGGGTTTCCTATCAGTATTCAAGAGGAGTCAGGCATCGTCACCTTTTGAAGCAATGAACTCCGCGTGCCTCTCGAGGTGTCAGCGGGATGTGAGGCATTCCGTCAAAATGAGGCAGGGACCTAGGGCTTTCTCTAAGGTCTCCACAGGGGATTCAGACATCCCTTCATGTTGTGAGATGAAGGACGAGCCTGTATTCAAGCCACTGCAAAGAAATCCGGCCTCCTTTCAAGTTAGGGCTTCTCGCTGTATATTCCCCTTGAGGCAGCAAACTCGGGGTCCCTGCCACATACCTATTGCTGAGAGAAGCCTCCTCCTGAGGTGCTTCTGGAAAGTTGGCATACGTCTTGAGCCTCAGCCAGGGAATCAGCTCTCATCTCGAGACGATTTGGGGTACACGGAGCATTCCTCGAGTTGCTGTGCTGAAGTTGGTGTTCCTCTAGACTTGGGACAGTGTTCTCGGGGCATCTCTGGAGATGCCTGAAGGAAGTCGAGCCACCGGTCGTGTTGAATGTGGAACGCGGAATGGCTCTGGAGTCAATGCAGGGGAATCGGGCCTCATCTCGAGTTGATTTGGGGCAAAGGGAGCTGCTTTGCGTTGCTGGGGTGACCTCAGGGTCCGTCTAGACTGGTGACAGTGTTCTTGGGGACTGTCTCGAGATCCGTTAAGCAAGTCAAAGCTCCTGACTTGTTTGAGTGGTATCACGGAATAGCTCTGCGTGCACTGCAGGGCAATGCGGCCTCATCTCGCCTCTAGGGGGAAGTCTCATGGTTTTTCTCGAGTTGCGGTGGGGACCTGGGGTATGTTCTCGACTTACGGCGGGGATGGCCCTTCAAAACACGAGTTTCTTCAGTGACGTCAGCACTCCTGTCTAGTAACGAGGGACACCTCAGGAATCTCTTCGAGGCTTGGCAGGGCAAAAGGGACGCTTCTCGATGTGAGGCAGGGCACCGAAAGGACCCTTTCCGGTAGCCACACGGATTTTGGGATTCCTATGAGTATCCAGGAGGAGTCAGGCATCGTCACCTTTTGGAGCAATGAACTCCGTGTAACTCTCGAGATGTCAGCGGGATGTGAGGCATTCCGTCAAAATGAGGCAGGGACCTAGGGCTTTCTCTAAGGTCTCCACAGGGTATTCACACATCCCTTCATGTTGTGAGATGAAAGACGAGCCTGTATTCAAGCCACTGCAAGGAAATCTGGCCTCCTTTCAAGTTAGAGCTTCTCGCTGTATATTCCCCTTGAGGCAGCAAACTCGGGGTCCCTCCCACATACCTATTGCTGAGAGAAGCCTCCTCCTGAGGTGCTTCTGGAAAGTTGGCATACGTCTTGAGCCTAAGCCAGGGAATCAGATCTCTTCTCGGGACGATATGGGGTACACGGAGCATTCCTCGTGTTGCTGTGCTGAAGTTGGTGTTCCTCTAGACTTGGGACAGTGTTCTCGGGGCATCTCTGGAGTTGCCTGAAGGAAGTCGAGCCACCGGTCGTGTTGAATGGGGAACGGGGAATAGCTCTGGAGTCAATGCAGGGGAATCAGGCCTCATCTCGAGTTGATTTGGGGCACATGGAGCTGCTTTGTGTTGCTGGGGTGATCTCAGGGTCCGTCTAGACTGGTGACAGTGTTCTTGGGGACTGTCTCGAGATCCATTAAGCAAGTCGAAGCTCCTGACTTGTTTGAATGGGATCACGGAATAGCTCTGCATGCACTGCAGGGGAATGGGGCCTCATCTCTCCTCTAGGGGGAAGTCTCATGGTTTTTCTCGAGTTGCGGCGGGGACCTGGGCTATGTTCTCGACTTACGGCGGGGATGGCCCTTCAAAACACGAGTTTCTTCCATGACGTCAGGACTCCTGTCTAGTAACGAGGGACACCTCAGGAATCTCTTCGAGGCTTGGCAGGGCAAAAGGGACGCTTCTCGAGGTGAGGCAGGGCACCCAAGGACCCTTTCCAGTAGCCAAAGGGATTTTGGGATTCCTATCAGTATTCAAGAGGAGTCAGGCATCGTCACCGTTTGAAGCAATGAACTCCACGTGCCTCTCGAGGTGTCAGCGTGATGTGAGGTATTTCGTCAAAATGAGGCAGGGACCTAGGGCTTTCTCTAAGGTCTCCACAGGGGATTCAGACATCCCTTCATGTTGTGAGATGAAAGACGAGCCTGTATTCAAGCCACTGCAAGGAAATCCGGCCTCCTTTCAAGTTAGGGTTTCTCGCTGTATATTCCCCTTGAGGCAGCAAACTCGGGGTCCCTCCCACATACCTATTGCTGAGAGAAGCCTCCTCCTGAGGTGCTTCTGGAAAGATGGCATGCATCTTGAGCCTAAGCCAGGGAATCAGCTCTCATCTCGAGACGATTTGGGGTACACAGAGCATTCCTCGAGTTGCTGTGCTGAAGTTCGTGTTCCTCTAGACTTGGGACAGTGTTCTCGGGGCATCTCTGGAGTTGGCTGAAGGAAGTCGAGCCACCGGTCGTGTTGAATGGGGAACGGGGAATGGCTCTGGAGTCAATGCAGGGGAATCGGGCCTCATCTCGAGTTGATTTGGGGCACATGGAGCTGCTTTGCGTTGCTGGGGTGACCTCAGGGTCCGTATAGACTGGTGACAGTGTTCTTGGGGACTGCTTCGAGATCCATTAAGGAAGTCTAAGCCCCTGACTTGTTTGAATGGGATCACGGAATAGCTCTGCATGCACTGCAGGGGGATGGGGTCTCATCTCGCCTCTAGGGGGAAGTCTCATGGTTTTTCTCGAGTTGCGGCGGGGACCTGGGTTATGTTCTCGACTTACGGAGGGGATGGCCCTTCAAAACACGAGTTTCTTCAGTGACGTCAGGACTCCTGTCTAGTAACGAGGGACACCTCAGGAATCTCTTCGAGGCTTGGCAGGGCAAAAGGGACGCTTCTCGAGGTGAGGCAGGGCACCCAAGGACCCTTTCCAGTAGCCACAGGGATTTTGGGATTCCTATCAGTATTCAAGAGGAGTCAGGCGTCATCACCTTTTGAAGAAATGAACTCCGCCTACCTCTCGAGGAGTCAGCGGGATGTGAAGCATTCCGTCAAAATGAGGCAGGGACCTAGGGCTTTCTCTAAGGTCTCCACAGGGGATTCAGACATCCCTTCATGTTGTGAGATGAAAGACGAGCCTGTATTCAAGCCACTGCAAGGAAATCCGGCCTCCTTTCCAGTTAGGGCTTCTCGCTGTATATTCCCCTTGAGGCAGCAAACTCGGGGTCCCTCCCTCATACCTATTGCTGAGAGAAGCCTCCTCCTGAGGTGCATCCGGAAAGTTGGCATACGTCTTGATCCTAAGCCAGGGAAGCATCTCTCATCTCGAGACGATATGGGGTACACGGAACATTCCTCGAGTTGCTGTGCTGAAGTTGGTGTTCCTCTAGACTTGGGACAGTGTTCTCGGGGCATCTCTGGAGTTGCCTGAAGGAAGTCGAGCCACCGGTCGTGTTGAATGGGGAACGGGGAATGGCTCTGGAGTCAATGCAGGGGAATCGGGCCTCATCTCGAGTTGATTTGGGGCACACGGAGCTACTTTTCGTTCCTGGGGTGACCTCAGGGTCCGTCTAGACTGGTGACAGTGTTCTTGGAGACTGTTTCGAGATCCATTAAGCAAGTCGAATCTCCTGACTTGTTTGAATGGGATCACGGAATAGCTCTGCATGCACTGCAGGGGAATGGGGCCTCATGTCGCCTCTAGGGGGAAGTCTCATGGTTTTCCTCGAGTTGCGGCGGGGACCTGTTGTATGTTCTCGACTAACGGCGGGGATGGCCCTTGAAAACACGAGTTTCTTCAGTGAAGTCAGGACTCCTGTCTAGTAACGAGGGACACCTCAGGAATCTCTTCGAGGATTGGCAGGGCAAAAGGGACGCTTCTCGAAGTGAGGCAGGGCACCCAAGGACCCTTTCCAGTAGCCACAGGGATTTTGGATTCCTATCAGTATTCAAGAGGAGTCAGGCATCGTCACCTTTTGAAGCAATGAACTCCGCGTGACTCTCGACGTGTCAGCGGGATGTGAGGTATTCCGTCAAAATGAGGCAGTGACCTAGGGCTTTCTCTAAGTTCTCCACAGGGGATTCAGACATCCCTTCATGTTGTGAGATGAAAGACGAGCCTGTATTCAAGCCACTGCAAGAAAATCTGGCCTCCTTTCAAGTTAGGGCTTCTCGCTGTATATTCCCCTTGAGGCAGCAAACTCGGGGTCCCTCCCTCATACCTATTGCTGAGAGAAGCCTCCCCCTGAGGTGCTTCTGGAAAGTTGGCATACGTCTTGAGCCTAAGCCAGGGAATCAGCTCTCATCTCGAGACGATTTGGGGTACACGGAGCATTCCTCGAGTTGCTGTGCTGAAGTTGGTGTTCCTCTAGTTTTGGGACAGTGTTCTCGGGGCATCTCTGGAGTTGCCTGAAGGAAGTCGAGCCACCGGTCGTGTTGAATGGGGAACGGGGAATGGCTCTGGAGTCAATGCAGGGGAATCGGGCCTCATCTCGAGTTGATTTGGGGCACATGGAGCTGCTTTGCATTCCTGGGGTGACGTCAGGGTCCGTATAGAGTGGTGACAGTGTTCTTGGGGACTGCCTCGAGATCCATTAAGGAAGTCTAAGCCCCTGACTTGTTTGAATGGGATCACGGAATAGCTCTCCATGCACTGCAGGGGAATGGGACCTCATGTCGCCTCTAGGGGAAGTCTCATGGTTTTTCTCGAGTTGCCGGGGGACCTGGGGTATGTTCTCGACTTACGGCGAGGATGGCCCTTAAAAACATGAGTTTCTTCAGTGAAGTCAGGACTCCTGTCTACTAACGAAGGACACCTCAGGAATCTCTTCGAGGCTTGGCAGGGCAAAAGGGACGCTTGTCGAGGTGAGGCAGGTCACCCAAGGACCCTTTCCAGTAGCCACAGGGATTTTGGATTCCTATCAGTATTCAAGAGGAGTCAGGCATCGTCACCTTTTGAAGCAATGAACTCCGCGTGCCTCTCGAGGTATCAGCGGGATGTGAGGCATTCCGTCAAAATGAGGCAGGAACCTAGGGCTTTCTCTAAGGTCTCCACAGGGGATTCAGACATCCCTTCATGTTGTGAGATGAAACACGAGCCTGTATTCAAGCCACTACAAGGAAATCCGGCCTCCTTTCAAGTTAGGGCTTCTCGCTGTATATTCCCCTTGAGGCAGCAAACTCGCGGTCTCCCCCTCATACCTATTGCTGAGAGAAGCCTCCTCCAGAGGTGCTTCCGGAAAGTTGGCATAAGTCTTGAGCCTAAGCCAGGGAATCAGCTCTCGTCTCGAGACGATTTGGGGTACACGGAGCATTCCTCGAGTTGCTGTGCTGAAGTTGGTGTTCCTCTAGTCTTGGGACAGTGTTCTCGGGGAATCTCTGGAGTTGCCTGAAGGAAGTCGAGCCACCGGTCGGGTTGGATGGAGAATGGGGAATGGCTCCGGAGTCAATGTAGGGGAATCGGGCCTCATCTCGAGTTGATTTGGGGCACATGAAGCTGCTTTGCGTTGCTGTGGTGACCTCAGGGTCCGTCTAGACTGGTGACAGTGTTCTTGGGGACTGTTTCGAGATCCATTAAGCAAGTCGAAGCTCCTGACTTGTTTGAATGGGATCACGGAATAGCTCTGCATGCACTGCAGGGGAATGGGGCCTCATGTCGCCTCTAGGGGGAAGTCTCATGGTTTTCCTCGAGTTGCGGCGGGGACCCGGGGTTTGTTCTCGACTAACGGCGGGGATGGCCCTTCAAAACACGAGTTTCTTCAGTGAAGTCAGGACTCCTGTCTAGTAACGAGGGACACCTCAGGAATCTCTTCGAGGCTTGGCAGGGCAAAAGGGACGCTTCTCGAGGTGAGGCAGGGCACCCAAGGACCCTTTCCAGTAGCCACAGGGATTTTGGATTCCTATCAGTATTCAAGAGGAGTCAGGCATCGTCACCTTTTGAAGCAATGAACTCCGCGTGCCTCTCGAGGTGTCAGCGGGATGTGAGGTATTCCGTCAAAATGAGGCAGGGACCCAGGGCTTTCTCTAAGGTCTCCACAGGGGATTCAGACATCCTTTCATGTTGTGAGATGAAAGACGAGCCTGTGTTCAAGCCACTGCAAGGAAATTTGGCCTCCTTTCAAGTTAGGGCTTCTGGCTGTATATTCCCCTTGAGGCAGCAAACTCGGGGTCCCTCCTTCATACCTATTGCTGAGAGAAGCCTCCTCCTGAGGTGCTTCTGGAAAGTTGGCATACGTCTTGAGCCTAAGCCAGGGAATCAGCTCTCATCTCGAGACGATTTGGGGTACACGTAGCATTCCTCGAGTTGCTGTGCTGAAGTTGGTGTTCCTCTAGTCTTGGGACAGTGTTCTCGGGGCATCTCTGGAGTTGCCTGAAGGAATTCGAGCCACCGGTCCTGTTGAATGGGGAACGGGGAATGGCTCTGGAGTCAATGCAGGGGAATCGGGCCTCATCATGAGGTGATTTGGGGCACATGGAGCTGCTTTGCGTTGCTTGGGGTACCTCAGGGTCGGTCTAGACTGGTGACAGTGTTCTTGGGGACTGTCTCGAGATCCATTAAGCAAGTCGAAGCTCCTGACTTGTTTGAATGGGATCACGGAATAGCTCTGCATGCACTGCAGGGGAATTTTGCTTCTTCTCGCCTCTAGGGGGAAGTCACATGGTTTTTCTCCAGTTGGGGCGGGGACCTGGGGTATGTTCTCGACTTAGGGAGGGGATGGCCCTTCAAAACACGAGTTTCTTCAGTGACGTCAGGACTCCTGTCTAGTAACGAGGGACACCTCAGGAATCTCTTCGAGGCTTGGCAGGGCAAAAGGGACGCTTCTCGAGGTGAGGCAGGGCACCCAAGGACCCTTTCCAGTAGCCACAGGGATTTTGGATTCCTATCAGTATTCAAGAGGAGTCAGGCATCGTCACCTTTTGAAGCAATGAACTCCGCGTGCCTCTCGAGGTATCAGCGGGATGTGAGGCATTCCGTCAAAATGAGGCAGGAACCTAGGGCTTTCTCTAAGGTCTCCACAGGGGATTCAGACATCCCTTCATGTTGTGAGATGAAAGACGAGCCTGTGTTCAAGCCACTGCAAGGAAATCTGGCCTCCTTTCAAGTTAGGGCTTCTCGCTGTATATTCCCCTTGGGGCAGTAAACTCGGGGTCCCTCCCTCATACCTATTGCTGAGAGAAGCCTCCTCTTGAGGTGCTTCTGGAAAGTTGGCATACGTCTTGAGCCTAAGCCAGGGAATCAGCTCTCATCTCGAGGCAATTTGAGGTACACGGAGCATTCCTCGAGTTGCTGTGCTGAAGTTGGTGTTCCTCTAGTCTTGGGACAGTGTTCTCGGGGCATCTCTGGAGTTGCCTGAAGGAACTCGAGCCACCGGTCGTGTTGAATGGGGAACTTGGAATGGCTCTGGAGTCAATGCAGGGGAATCGGGCCTCATCTCGAGGTGATTTTGGGCACATGGAGCTGCTTTGCGTTGCTGGGGGTACCTCAGGGTCGGTCTAGACTGGTGACAGTGTTCCTGGGGACTGCCTCGAGATCCATTAAGGAAGTTGAAGCCCCTGACTTGTTTGAATGGGATCACGGAATAGCTCTGCATGCACTGAAGGGGAATGGGGCCTCATCTCGCCTATAGGGGGAAGTCTCATGGTTTTTCTCCAGTTGAGGCGGGGACCTGGGGTATGTTCTCGACTTACGGCCGGGATGGCCCTTCAAAACACGAGTTTCTTCAGTGACGTCTGGACTCCTGTCTAGTAACGAGGGACACCTCAGGAATCTCTTCAAGGCTTGGCAGGGCAAAAGGGACGCTTCTCGAGGTGAGGCAGGGCACCCAAGGACCCTTTCCAGTAGCCACAGGGATTTTGGGATTCGTATCAGTATTCAAGAGGAGTAAGGCGTCATCACCTTTTGAAGAAATGAACTCCGCGTACCTCTCAAGGAGTCAGCGGGATGTGAAGCATTCCGTCAAAATGAGGCAGGGACCTAGGGCTTTCTCTAAGGTCTCCACAGGGATTCAGACATCCCTTCATGTTGTGAGATGAAAGACGAGCCTGTATTCAAGCCACTGCAAGGAAATCCGGGCTCCTTTCAAGTTAGGGCTTCTCGCTGTATATTCCCCTTGAGGCAGCAAACTCGGGGTCCCTCCCTCATACCTATTGCTGAGAGAAGCCTCCTCCTGAGGTGCTTCCAGAAAGTTGGCATACGTCTTGATCCTAAGCCAGGGAATCAGCTCTCATCTCGAGACGATTTGGGGTACACGGAGCATTCCTCGAGTTGCTGTGCTGAAGTTCGTGTTCCTCTAGTCTTGGGACAGTGTTCTCGGGGCATCTCTGGAGTTGCCTGAAAGAACTCGAGCCACCGGTCGTGTTGAATGGGGAACGGGGAATGGTCTGGATTCAATGCAGGGAAATCGGGCCTCATCTCGAGGTGATTTGGGGCACATGGAGCTGCTTTGCGTTGCTGGGGGTACCTCAGGGTCGGTCTAGACTGGTGACAGTGTTCTTGGGGACTGTCTCGAGATCCATTAAGCAAGTCGAAGCTCCTGACTTGTTTGAATGGCATCACGGAATAGCTCTGCATGCACTGCAGGGGAATGGGGCCTCATCTCGCCTCTAGGGGGAACTCTCATGGTTTTTCTCGAGTTGCGGCGGGGACCTGGGGTATGTTCTCGACTTACGGCGGGGATGGCCCATCAAAACACGAGTTTCTTCAGTGACGTCAGGACTCCTGTCTAGTAACGAGGGACACCTCAGGAATCTCTTCGAGGCTTGGCAGGGCAAAAGGGACGCTTCTCGAGGTGAGGCAGGGCACCCAAGGACCCTTTCCAGTAGCCACAGGGATTTTGGATTCCTATCAGTATTCAAGAGGAGTCAGGCATCATCACCTTTTGAAGCAATGAACTCCGCGTGCCTCTCGATGTGTCAGCAGGATATGAGGCATTCCGTCAAAAGGAGGCAGGGACCTAGGGCTTTCTCTAAGGTCTCCACAGGGGATTCAGACATCCCTTCATGTTGTGAGATGAAACACAAGCCTGTATTCAAGCCACTACAAGGAAATCCGGCCTCCTTTCAAGTTAGGGCTTCTCGCTGTATATTCCCCTTGAGGCAGCAAACTCGGGGTCCCTCCCTCATACCTATTGCTGAGAGAAGCCTCCTCCTGAGGTGCATCCGGAAAGTTGGCATACGTCTTGAGCCTAAGCCAGGGAATCAGCTCTCATCTCGAGACGATATGGGGTACACGGAACATTCCTCGAGTTGCTGTGCTGAAGTTGGTGTTCCTCTAGACTTGGGACAGTGTTTTCGGGGCTTCTCTGGAGTTGCCTGAAGGAAGTCGAGCCACCGGTCGTGTTGAATGGGGAACGGGGAATGGCTCTGGAGTCAATGCAGGGGAATCGGGCCTCATCTCGAGTTGATTTGGGGCACACGGAGCTGCTTTTCGTTGCTGGGGTGACCTCAGGGTCCGTCTAGACTGGTGACAGTGTTCTTGGGGACTGTCTCGAGATCCATTAAGCAAGTCGAAGCTCCTGACTTGTTTGAATGGGATCACGGAATACCTCTGCATGCACTGCAGGGGAATGGGTCCTCATGTCGCCTCTAGAGGGAAGTCTCATGGTTTTCCTCGAGTTGCGGCGAGGACCTGTTGTATGTTCTCGACTAACGGCGGGGATGGCCCTTCAAAACACGAGTTTCTTCAGTGAAGTCAGGACTCCTGTCTAGTAACGAGGGATACCTCAGGAATCTCTTCGAGGATTGGCAGGGCAAAAGGGACGCTTCTCGAGGTGAGGCAGGGCACCCAAGGACCCTTTCCAGTAGCCACAGGGATTTTGGATTCCTATCAGTATTCAAGAGGAGTCAGGCATCGTCACCTTTTGAAGCAATGAGCTCCGCGTGCCTCTCGAGGTGTCAGCGGGATGTGAGGTATTCCGTCAAAATGAGGCAGGGACCCAGGGCTTTCTCTAAGGTCTCCACAGGGGATTCAGACATCCCTTCATGTTGTGAGATGAAAGACGAGCCTGTGTTCAAGCCACTGCAAGGAAATTTGGCCTCCTTTCAAGTTAGGGCTTCTGGCTGTATATTCCCCTTGAGGCAGCAAACTCGGGGTCCCTCCCTCATACCTATTGCTGAGAGAAGCCTCCTCCTGAGGTGCTTCTGGAAAGGTGGCATACGTCTTGAGCCTAAGCCAGGGAATCAGCTCTCATCTCGAGACGATTTGGGGTACACGGAGCATTCCTCGAGTTGCTGTGCTGAAGTTGGTGTTCCTCTAGTCTTGGGACAGTGTTCTCGGGGCATCTCTGGAGTTGCCTGAAGGAAGTCGAGCCACCGGTCCTGTTGAATGGGGAACGGGGAATGGCTCTGGAGTCAATGCAGGGGAATCGGGCCTCATCATGAGGTGATTTGGGGCACATGGAGCTGCTTTGCGTTGCTTGGGGTACCTCAGGGTCGGTCTAGACTGGTGACAGTGTTCTTGGGGACTGTCTCGAGATCCATTAAGCAAGTCGAAGCTCCTGACTTGTTTGAATGGGATCACGGAATAGCTCTGCATGCACTGCAGGGGAATGGGGTCTCATCTCGCCTCTAGGGGGAAGTCTCATGGTTTTTCTCGAGTTGCGGCGGGGACCTGGGTTATGTTCTCGACTTACGGAGGGGATGGCCCTTCAAAACACGAGTTTCTTCAGTGACGTCAGGACTCCTGTCTAGTAACGAGGGACACCTCAGGAATCTCTTCGAGGCTTGGCAGGGCAAAAGGGACGCTTCTCGAGGTGAGGCAGGGCACCCAAGGACCCTTTCCAGTAGCCACAGGGATTTTGGGATTCCTATCAGTATTCAAGAGGAGTCAGGCGTCATCACCTTTTGAAGAAATGAACTCCGCGTACCCCTCGAGGAGTCAGCGGGATGTGAAGCATTCCGTCAAAATGAGGCAGGGACCTAGGGCTTTCTCTAAGGTCTCCACAGGGGATTCAGACATCCCTTCATATTGTGAGATGAAAGACGAGCCTGTATTCAAGCCACTGCAAGGAAATCCGGCCTCCTTTCCAGTTAGGGCTTCTCGCTGTATATTCCCCTTGAGGCAGCAAACTCGGGGTCCCTCCCTCATACCTATTGCTGAGAGAAGCCTCCTCCTGAGGTGCATCCGGAAAGTTGGCATACGTCTTGATCCTAAGCCAGGGAAGCATCTCTCATCTCGAGACGATATGGGGTACACGGAACATTCCTCGAGTTGCTGTGCTGAAGTTGGTGTTCCTCTAGACTTGGGACAGTGTTCTCGGGGCATCTCTGGAGTTGCCTGAAGGAAGTCGAGCCACCGGTCGTGTTGAATGGGGAACGGGGAATGGCTCTGGAGTCAATGCAGGGGAATCGGGCCTCATCTCGAGTTGATTTCGGGCACACGGAGCTACTTTTCGTTGCTGGGGTGACCTCAGGGTCCGTCTAGACTGGTGACAGTGTTCTTGGGGACTGTTTCGAGATCCATTAAGCAAGTCGAATCTCCTGACTTGTTTGAATGGGATCACGGAATAGCTCTGCATGCACTGCAGGGGAATGGGGCCTCATGTCGCCTCTAGGGGGAAGTCTCATGGTTTTCCTCCAGTTGCGGCGGGGACCTGTTGTATGTTCTCGACTAACGGCGGGGATGGCCCTTGAAAACACGAGTTTCTTCAGTGAAGTCAGGACTCCTGTCTAGTAACGAGGGACACCTCAGGAATCTCTTCGAGGATTGGCAGGGCAAAAGGGACGCTTCTCGAGGTGAGGCAGGGTACCCAAGGACACTTTCCAGTAGCCACAGGGATTTTGGATTCCTATCAGTATTCAAGAGGAGTCAGGCATCGTCACCTTTTGAAGCAATGAACTCCGCGTGCCTCTCGAGGTGTCAGCGGGATGTGAGGTATTCCGTCAAAATGAGGCAGTGACCTAGGGCTTTCTCTAAGTTCTCCACAGGGGATTCAGACATCCCTTCATGTTGTGAGATGAAAGACGAGCCTGTGTTCAAGCCACTGCAAGAAAATCTGGCCTCCTTTCAAGTTAGGGCTTCTCGCTGTATATTCCCCTTGAGGCAGCAAACTCGGGGTCCCTCCCTCATACCTATTGCTGAGAGAAGCCTCCCCCTGAGGTGCTTCTGGAAAGTTGGCATACGTCTTGAGCCTAAGCCAGGGAATCAGCTCTCATCTCGAGACGATTTGGGGTACACGGAGCATTCCTCGAGTTGCTGTGCTGAAGTTGGTGTTCCTCTAGTTTTGGGACAGTGTTCTCGGGGCATCTCTGGAGTTGCCTGAAGGAAGTCGAGCCACCGGTCGTGTTGAATGGGGAACGGGGAATGGCTCTGGAGTCAATGCAGGGGAATCGGGCCTCATCTCGAGTTGATTTGGGGCACATGGAGCTGCTTTGCATTGCTGGGGTGACGTCAGGGTCCGTATAGAGTGGTGACAGTGTTCTTGGGGACTGCCTCGAGATCCATTAAGGAAGTCTAAGCCCCTGACTTGTTTGAATGGGATCACGGAATAGCTCTCCATGCACTGCAGGGGAATGGGACCTCATGTCGCCTCTAGGGGGAAGTCTCATGGTTTTTCTCGAGTTGCCGGGGGACCTGGGGTATGTTCTCGACTTACGGCGAGGATGGCCCTTAAAAACATGAGTTTCTTCAGTGAAGTCAGGACTCCTGTCTACTAACGAAGGACACCTCAGGAATCTCTTCGAGGCTTGGCAGGGCAAAAGGGACGCTTGTCGAGGTGAGGCAGGTCACCCAAGGACCCTTTCCAGTAGCCACAGGGATTTTGGATTCCTATCAGTATTCAAGAGGAGTCAGGCATCGTCACCTTTTGAAGCAATGAACTCCGCGTGCCTCTCGAGGTATCAGCGGGATGTGAGGCATTCCGTCAAAATGAGGCAGGAACCTAGGGCTTTCTCTAAGGTCTCCACAGGGGATTCAGACATCCCTTCATGTTGTGAGATGAAACACGAGCCTGTATTCAAGCCACTACAAGGAAATCCGGCCTCCTTTCAAGTTAGGGCTTCTCGCTGTATATTCCCCTTGAGGCAGCAAACTCGCGGTCTCTCCCTCATACCTATTGCTGAGAGAAGCCTCCTCCAGAGGTGCTTCCGGAAAGTTGGCATAAGTCTTGAGCCTAAGCCAGGGAATCAGCTCTCGTCTCGAGACGATTTGGGGTACACGGAGCATTCCTCGAGTTGCTGTGCTGAAGTTGGTGTTCCTCTAGTCTTGGGACAGTGTTCTCGGGGCATCTCTGGAGTTGCCTGAAGGAAGTCGAGCCACCGGTCGTGTTGGATGGAGAACGGGGAATGGCTCCGGAGTCAATGCAGGGGAATCGGGCCTCATCTCGAGTTGATTTGGGGCACATGGAGCTGCTTTGCGTTGCTGTGGTGACCTCAGGGTCCGTCTAGACTGGTGACAGTGTTCTTGGGGACTGTTTCGAGATCCATTAAGCAAGTCGAAGCTCCTGACTTGTTTGAATGGGATCACGGAATAGCTCTGCATGCACTGCAGGGGAATGGGGCCTCATGTCGCCTCTAGGGGGAAGTCTCATGGTTTTCCTCGAGTTGCGGCGGGGACCCGGGGTTTGTTCTCGACTAACGGCGGGGATGGCCCTTCAAAACACGAGTTTCTTCAGTGAAGTCAGGACTCCTGTCTAGTAACGAGGGACACCTCAGGAATCTCTTCGAGGTTTGGCAGGGCAAAAGGGACGCTTCTCGAGGTGAGGCAGGGCACCCAAGGACCCTTTCCAGTAGCCACAGGGATTTTGGATTCCTATCAGTATTCAAGAGGAGTCAGGCATCGTCACCTTTTGAAGCAATGAACTCCGCGTGCCTCTCGAGGTGTCAGCGGGATGTGAGGTATTCCGTCAAAATGAGGCAGGGACCCAGGGCTTTCTCTAAGGTCTCCACAGGGGATTCAGACATCCCTTCATGTTGTGAGATGAAAGACGAGCCTGTGTTCAAGCCACTGCAAGGAAATTTGGCCTCCTTTCAAGTTAGGGCTTCTGGCTGTATATTCCCCTTGAGGCAGCAAACTCGGGGTCCCTCCCTCATACCTATTGCTGAGAGAAGCCTCCTCCTGAGGTGCTTCTGGAAAGTTGGCATACGTCTTGAGCCTAAGCCAGGGAATCAGCTCTCATCTCGAGACGATTTGGGGTACACGGAGCATTCCTCGAGTTGCTGTGCTGAAGTTGGTGTTCCTCTAGTCTTGGGACAGTGTTCTCGGGGCATCTCTGGAGTTGCCTGAAGGAAGTCGAGCCACCGGTCCTGTTGAATGGGGAACGGGGAATGGCTCTGGAGTCAATGGAGGGGAATCGGGCCTCATCATGAGGTGATTTGGGGCACATGGAGCTGCTTTGCGTTGCTTGGGGTACCTCAGGGTCGGTCTAGACTGGTGACAGTGTTCTTGGGGACTGTCTCGAGATCCATTAAGCAAGTCGAAGCTCCTGACTTGTTTGAATGGGATCACGGAATAGCTCTGCATGCACTGCAGGGGAATTTTGCTTCATCTCGCCTCTAGGGGGAAGTCACATGGTTTTTCTCCAGTTGGGGCGGGGACCTGGGGTATGTTCTCGACTTAGGGAGGGGATGGCCCTTCAAAACACGAGTTTCTTCAGTGACGTCAGGACTCCTGTCTAGTAACGAGGGACACCTCAGGAATCTCTTCGAGGCTTGGCAGGGCAAAAGGGACGCTTCTCGAGGTGAGGCAGGGCACCCAAGGACCCTTTCCAGTAGCCACAGGGATTTTGGATTCCTATCAGTATTCAAGAGGAGTCAGGCATCGTCACCTTTTGAAGCAATGAACTCCGCGTGCCTCTCGAGGTATCAGCGGGATGTGAGGCATTCCGTCAAAATGAGGCAGGAACCTAGGGCTTTCTCTAAGGTCTCCACAGGGGATTCAGACATCCCTTCATGTTGTGAGATGAAAGACGAGCCTGTGTTCAAGCCACTGCAAGGAAATCTGGCCTCCTTTCAAGTTAGGGCTTCTCGCTGTATATTCCCCTTGGGGCAGTAATCTCAGGGTCCCTCCCTCATACCTTTTGCTGAGAGAAGCCTCCTCTTGAGGTGCTTCTGGAAAGTTGGCATACGTCTTGAGCCTAAGCCAGGGAATCAGCTCTCATCTCGAGGCAATTTGAGGTACACGGAGCATTCCTCGAGTTGCTGTGCTGAAGTTGGTGTTCCTCTAGTCTTGGGACAGTGTTCTCGGGGCATCTCTGGAGTTGCCTGAAGGAACTCGAGCCACCGGTCGTGTTGAATGGGGAACTTGGAATGGCTCTGGAGTCAATGCAGGGGAATCGGGCCTCATCTCGAGGTGATTTTGGGCACATGGAGCTGCTTTGCGTTGCTGGGGGTACCTCAGGGTCGGTCTAGACTGGTGACAGTGTTCCTGGGGACTGCCTCGAGATCCATTAAGGAAGTTGAAGCCCCTGACTTGTTTCAATGGGATCACGGAATAGCTCTGCATGCACTGAAGGGGAATGGGGCCTCATCTCGCCTATAGGGGGAAGTCTCATGGTTTTTCTCCAGTTGAGGCGGGGACCTGGGGTATGTTCTCGACTTACGGCCGGGATGGCCCTTCAAAACACGAGTTTCTTCAGTGACGTCTGGACTCCTGTCTAGTAACGAGGGACACCTCAGGAATCTCTTCAAGGCTTGGCAGGGCAAAAGGGACGCTTCTCGAGGTGAGGCAGGGCACCCAAGGACCCTTTCCAGTAGCCACAGGGATTTTGGGATTCGTATCAGTATTCAAGAGGAGTAAGGCGTCATCACCTTTTGAAGAAATGAACTCCGCGTACCTCTCGAGGAGTCAGCGGGATGTGAAGCATTCCGTCAAAATGAGGCAGGGACCTAGGGCTTTCTCTAAGGTCTCCACAGGGGATTCAGACATCCCTTCATGTTGTGAGATGAAAGACGAGCCTGTATTCAAGCCACTGCAAGGAAATCCGGGCTCCTTTCAAGTTAGGGCTTCTCGCTGTATATTCCCCTTGAGGCAGCAAACTCGGGGTCCCTCCCTCATACCTATTGCTGAGAGAAGCCTCCTCCTGAGGTGCTTCCAGAAAGTTGGCATACGTCTTGATCCTAAGCCAGGGAATCAGCTCTCATCTCGAGACGATTTGGGGTACACGGAGCATTCCTCGAGTTGCTGTGCTGAAGTTGGTGTTCCTCTAGTCTTGGGACAGTGTTCTCGGGGCATCTCTGGAGTTGCCTGAAAGAACTCGAGCCACCGGTCGTGTTGAATGGGGAACGGGGAATGGCTCTGGATTCAATGCAGGGAAATCGGGCCTCATCTCGAGGTGATTTGGGGCACATGGAGCTGCTTTGCGTTGCTGGGGGTACCTCAGGGTCGGTCTAGACTGGTGACAGTGTTCTTGGGGACTGTCTCGAGATCCATTAAGCAAGTCGAAGCTCCTGACTTGTTTGAATGGCATCACGGAATAGCTCTGCATGCACTGCAGGGGAATGGGGCCTCATCTCGCCTCTAGGGGGAACTCTCATGGTTTTTCTCGAGTTGCGGCGGGGACCTGGGGTATGTTCTCGACTTACGGCGGGGATGGCCCATCAAAACACGAGTTTCTTCAGTGACGTCAGGACTCCTGTCTAGTAACGAGGGACACCTCAGGAATCTCTTCGAGGCTTGGCAGGGCAAAAGGGACGCTTCTCGAGGTGAGGCAGGGCACCCAAGGACCCTTTCCAGTAGCCACAGGGATTTTGGATTCCTATCATTATTCAAGAGGACTCAGGCATCATCACTTTTTGAAGCAATGAACTCCGCGTGCCTCTCGAGGTGTCAGCAGGATATGAGGCATTCCGTCAAAAGGAGGCAGGGACCTAGGGCTTTCTCTAAGGTCTCCACAGGGGATTCAGACATCCCTTCATGTTGTGAGATGAAACACAAGCCTGTATTCAAGCCACTACAAGGAAATCCGGCCTCCTTTCAAGTTAGGGCTTCTCGCTGTATATTCCCCTTGAGGCAGCAAACTCGGGGTCCCTCCCTCATACCTATTGCTGAGAGAAGCCTCCTCCTGAGGTGCTTTTGGAAAGTTGGCATACGTCTTGATTCGAAGCCAGGGAAGCATCTCTCATCTCGAGACGATATGGGGTACACGGAACATTCCTCGAGTTGCTGTGCTGAAGTTGGTGTTCCTCTAGACTTGGGACAGTGTTTTCGGGGCTTCTCTGGAGTTGCCTGAAGGAAGTCGAGCCACCGGTCGTGTTGAATGGGGAACGGGGAATGGCTCTGGAGTCAATGCAGGGGAATCGGGCCTCATCTCGAGTTGATTTGGGGCACACGGAGCTGCTTTTCGTTGCTGGGGTGACCTCAGGGTCCGTCTAGACTGGTGACAGTGTTCTTGGGGACTGTCTCGAGATCCATTAAGCAAGTCGAAGCTCCTGACTTGTTTGAATGGGATCACGGAATACCTCTGCATGCACTGCAGGGGAATGGGTCCTCATGTCGCCTCTAGAGGGAAGTCTCATGGTTTTCCTCGAGTTGCGGCGGGGACCTGTTGTATGTTCTCGACTAACGGCGGGGATGGCCCTTCAAAACACGAGTTTCTTCAGTGAAGTCAGGACTCCTGTCTAGTAACGAGGGATACCTCAGGAATCTCTTCGAGGATTGGCAGGGCAAAAGGGACGCTTCTCGAGGTGAGGCAGGGCACCCAAGGACGCTTTCCAGTAGCCACAGGGATTTTGGATTCCTATCAGTATTCAAGAGGAGTCAGGCATCGTCACCTTTTGAAGCAATGAACTCCGCGTGCCTCTCGAGGTGTCAGCGGGATGTGAGGTATTCCGTCAAAATGAGGCAGGGACCCAGGGCTTTCTCTAAGGTCTCCACAGGGGATTCAGACATCCCTTCATGTTGTGAGATGAAAGACGAGCCTGTGTTCAAGCCACTGCAAGGAAATTTGGCCTCCTTTCAAGTTAGGGCTTCTGGCTGTATATTCCCCTTGAGGCAGCAAACTCGGGGTCCCTCCCTCATACCTATTGCTGAGAGAAGCCTCCTCCTGAGGTGCTTCTGGAAAGTTGGCATACGTCTTGAGCCTAAGCCAGGGAATCAGCTCTCATCTCGAGACGATTTGGGGTACACGGAGCATTCCTCGAGTTGCTGTGCTGAAGTTGGTGTTCCTCTAGTCTTGGGACAGTGTTCTCGGGGCATCTCTGGAGTTGCCTGAAGGAAGTCGAGCCACCGGTCCTGTTGAATGGGGAACGGGGAATGGCTCTGGAGTCAATGCAGGGGAATCGGGCCTCATCGTGAGGTGATTTGGGGCACATGGAGCTGCTTTGCGTTGCTTGGCGTACCTCAGGGTCGGTCTAGACTGGTGACAGTGTTCTTGGGGACTGTCTCGAGATCCATTAAGCAAGTCGAAGCTCCTGACTTGTTTGAATGGGATCACGGAATAGCTCTGCATGCACTGCAGGGGAATTTTGCTTCATCTCGCCTCTAGGGGGAAGTCACATGGTTTTTCTCCAGTTGGGGCGGGGACCTGGGGTATGTTCTCGACTTAGGGAGGGGATGGCCCTTCAAAACACGAGTTTCTTCAGTGACGTCAGGACTCCTGTCTAGTAACGAGGGACACCTCAGGAATCTCTTCGAGGCTTGGCAGGGCAAAAGGGACGCTTCTCGAGGTGAGGCAGGGCACCCAAGGACCCTTTCCAGTAGCCACAGGGATTTTGGATTCCTATCAGTATTCAAGAGGAGTCAGGCATCGTCACCTTTTGAAGCAATGAACTCCGCGTGCCTCTCGAGGTGTCAGCGGGATGTGAGGCATTCCGTCAAAATGTGGCAGGGACCTAGGGCTTTCTCTAAGGTCTCCACAGGGGATTCAGACATCCCTTCATGTTGTGAGATGAATGACGAGCCTGTATTCAAGCCACTACAAGGAAATGCGGCCTCCTTTCAAGTTAGGGCTTCTCGCTCTATATTCCCCTTGAGGCAGCAAACTCGGGGTCCCTCCCACATACCTATTGCTGAGAGAAGCCTCCTCCTGAGGTGCTTCTGGAAAGTTGGAATACGTTTTGAGCCTAAGCCAGAGAATCAACTCTCATCTCGAGACGATTTGGGGTACACGGAGCATTCCTCGAGTTGCTGTGCTGAAGTTGGTGTTCCTCTAGACTTGGGACAGTGTTCTCGGGGCATCTCTGGAGTTGGCTGAAGGAAGTCGAGCCACCGGTCGTGTTGAATGGGGAACGCGGAATGGCTCTGGAGTCAATGCAGGGGAATCGGGCCTCATCTCGAGTTGATTTGGGGCACATGGAACTGCTTTGCATTGATGGGGTGACCTCAGGGTCCGTCTAGACTGGTGACACTGTTCTTGGGGACTCTCTTGAGATCCATTAAGTAAGTCGAAGCTCCTGACTTGTTTGAATGGGATCACGGAATAGCTCTGCATGCACTGCAGGGGAATCGGGTCTCATCTCGCCTCTAGGGGGAAGTCTCATGATTTTTCTCGAGTTGCGGCGGGGACCTGGGTTATGTTCTCGACTTACCTAGGGGATGGCCCTTCAAAACACGAGTTTCTTCAGTGAAGTCAGGACTCCTGTCTAGTAACGAGGGACAACTCAGGAATCTCTTCGAGGCTTGGCAGGGCAAAAGGGACGCTTCTCGAGGTGAGGCAGGGCACCCAAGGACCCTTTCCAGTAGCCACAGGGATTTTGGATTCCTATCAGTATTCAAGAGGAGTCAGGCATCGTCACCTTTTGAAGCAATGAACTCCGCGTGCCTCTCGAGGTATCAGCGGGATGTGAGGCATTCCGTCAAAATGAGGCAGGAACCTAGGGCTTTCTCTAAGGTCTCCACAGGGGATTCAGACATCCCTTCATGTTGTGAGATGAAAGACGAGCCTGTGTTCAAGCCACTGCAAGGAAATCTGGCCTCCTTTCAAGTTAGGGCTTCTCGCTGTATATTCCCCTTGGGGCAGTAAACTCGGGGTCCCTCCCTCATACCTATTGCTGAGAGAAGCCTCCTCTTGAGGTGCTTCTGGAAAGTTGGCATACGTCTTGAGCCTAAGCCAGGGAATCAGCTCTCATCTCGAGGCGATTTGAGGTACACGGAGCATTCCTCGAGTTGCTGTGCTGAAGTTGGTGTTCCTCTAGTCTTGGGACAGTGTTCTCGGGGCATCTCTGGAGTTGCCTGAAGGAACTCGAGCCACCGGTCGTGTTGAATGGGGAACTTGGAATGGCTCTGGAGTCAATGCAGGGGAATCGGGCCTCATCTCGAGGTGATTTTGGGCACATGGAGCTGCTTTGCGTTGCTGGGGGTACCTCAGGGTCGGTCTAGACTGGTGACAGTGTTCCTGGGGACTGCCTCGAGATCCATTAAGCAAGTCGAAGCTCCTGACTTGTTTGAATGGCATCACGGAATAGCTCTGCATGCACTGCAGGGGAATGGGGCCTCATCTCGCCTCTAGGGGGAACTCTCATGGTTTTTCTCGAGTTGCGGCGGGGACCTGGGGTATGTTCTCGACTTACGGCGGGGATGGCCCATCAAAACACGAGTTTCTTCAGTGACGTCAGGACTCCTGTCTAGTAACGAGGGACACCTCAGGAATCTCTTCGAGGCTTGGCAGGGCAAAAGGGACGCTTCTCGAGGTGAGGCAGGGCACCCAAGGACCCTTTCCAGTAGCCACAGGGATTTTGGATTCCTATCAGTATTCAAGAGGAGTCAGGCATCATCACCTTTTGAAGCAATGAACTCCGCGTGCCTCTCGAGGTGTCAGCAGGATATGAGGCATTCCGTCAAAAGGAGGCAGGGACCTAGGGCTTTCTCTAAGGTCTCCACAGGGGATTCAGACATCCCTTCATGTTGTGAGATGAAACACAAGCCTGTATTCAAGCCACTACAAGGAAATCCGGCCTCCTTTCAAGTTAGGGCTTCTCGCTGTATATTCCCCTTGAGGCAGCAAACTCGGGGTCCCTCCCTCATACCTATTGCTGAGAGAAGCCTCCTCCTGAGGTGCATCCGGAAAGTTGGCATAGGTCTTGATTCGAAGCCAGGGAAGCATCTCTCATCTCGAGACGATATGGGGTACACGGAACATTCCTCGAGTTGCTGTGCTGAAGTTGGTGTTCCTCTAGACTTGGGACAGTGTTCTCGGGGCATCTCTGGAGTTGCCTGAAGGAAGTCGAGCCACCGGTCGTGTTGAATGGGGAACGGGGAATGGCTCTGGAGTCAATGCAGGGGAATCGGGCCTCATCTCGAGTTGATTTGGGGCACACGGAGCTGCTTTTCGTTGCTGGGGTGACCTCAGGGTCCGTCTAGACTGGTGACAGTGTTCTTGGGGACTGTCTCGAGATCCATTAAGCAAGTCGAAGCTCCTGACTTGTTTGAATGTGATCACGGAATACCTCTGCATGCACTGCAGGGGAATGGGTCCTCATGTCGCCTCTAGGGGGAAGTCTCATGGTTTTCCTCGAGTTGCGGCGGGGACCTGTTGTATGTTCTCGACTAACGGCGGGGATGGCCCTTCAAAACACGAGTTTCTTCAGTGAAGTCAGGACTCCTGTCTAGTAACGAGGGACACCTCAGGAATCTCTTCGAGGATTGGCAGGGCAAAAGGGACGCTTCTCGAGGTGAGGCAGGGCACCCAAGGACCCTTTCCAGTAGCCACAGGGATTTTGGATTCCTATCAGTATTCAAGAGGAGTCAGGCATCGTCACCTTTTGAAGCAATGAACTCCGCGTGCCTCTCGAGGTGTCAGCGGGATGTGAGGTATTCCGTCAAAATGAGGCAGGGACCCAGGGTTTTCTCTAAGGTCTCCACAGGGGATTCAGACATCCCTTCATGTTGTGAGATGAAAGACGAGCCTGTGTTCAAGCCACTGCAAGGAAATTTGGCCTCCTTTCAAGTTAGGGCTTCTGGCTGTATATTCCCCTTGAGGCAGCAAACTCGGGGTCCCTCCCTCATACCTATTGCTAAGAGAAGCCTCCTCCTGAGGTGCTTCTGGAAAGTTGGCATACGTCTTGAGCCTAAGCCAGGGAATCAGCTCTCATCTCGAGACGATTTGGGGTACACGGAGCATTCCTCGAGTTGCTGTGCTAAAGTTGGTGTTCCTCTAGTCTTGGGACAGTGTTCTCGGGGCATCTCTGGAGTTGCCTGAAGGAAGTCGAGCCACCGGTCCTGTTGAATGGGGAACGGGGAATGGCTCTGGAGTCAATGCAGGGGAATCGGGCCTCATCATGAGGTGATTTGGGGCACATGGAGCTGCTTTGCGTTGCTTGGCGTACCTCAGGGTCGGTCTAGACTGGTGACAGTGTTCTTGGGGACTGTCTCGAGATCCATTAAGCAAGTCGAAGCTCCTGACTTGTTTGAATGGGATCACGGAATAGCTCTGCATGCACTGCAGGGGAATCGGGTCTCATCTCGCCTCTAGGGGGAAGTCTCATGGTTTTTCTCGAGTTGCGGCGGGGACCTGGGTTATGTTCTCGACTTACCTAGGGGATGGGCCTTCAAAACACGAGTTTCTTCAGTGAAGTCAGGACTCCTGTCTAGTAACGAGGGACACCTCAGGAATCTCTTCGAGGCTTGGCAGGGCAAAAGGGACGCTTCTCGAGGTGAGGCAGGGCACACAAGGACCCTTTCCAGTAGCCACAGGGATTTTGGATTCCTATCAGTATTCAAGAGGAGTCAGGCATCGTCACCTTTTGAAGCAATGAACTCCGCGTGCCTCTCGAGGTATCAGCGGGATGTGAGGCATTCCGTCAAAATGAGGCAGGAACCTAGGGCTTTCTCTAAGGTCTCCACAGGGGATTCAGACATCCCTTCATGTTGTGAGATGAAAGACGAGCCTGTGTTCAAGCCACTGCAAGGAAATCTGGCCTCCTTTCAAGTTAGGGCTTCTCGCTGTATATTCCCCTTGGGGCAGTAAACTCGGGGTCCCTCCCTCATACCTATTGCTGAGAGAAGCCTCCTCTTGAGGTGCTTCTGGAAAGTTGGCATACGTCTTGAGCCTAAGCCAGGGAATCAGCTCTCATCTCGAGGCGATTTGAGGTACACGGAGCATTCCTCGAGTTGCTGTGCTGAAGTTGGTGTTCCTCTAGTCTTGGGACAGTGTTCTCGGGGCATCTCTGGAGTTGCCTGAAGGAACTCGAGCCACCGGTCGTGTTGAATGGGGAACTTGGAATGGCTCTGGAGTCAATGCAGGGGAATCGGGCCTCATCTCGAGGTGATTTTGGGCACATGGAGCTGCTTTGCGTTGCTGGGGGTACCTCAGGGTCGGTCTAGACTGGTGACAGTGTTCCTGGGGACTGCCTCGAGATCCATTAAGCAAGTCGAAGCTCCTGACTTGTTTGAATGCCATCACGGAATAGCTCTGCATGCACTGCAGGGGAATGGGGCCTCATCTCGCCTCTAGGGGGAAGTCTCATGGTTTTTCTCGAGTTGCGGCGGGGACCTGGGGTATGTTCTCGACTTACGGCGGGGATGGCCCATCAAAACACGAGTTTCTTCAGTGACGTCAGGACTCCTGTCTAGTAACGAGGGACACCTCAGGAATCTCTTCGAGGCTTGGCAGGGCAAAAGGGACGCTTCTCGAGGTGAGGCAGGGCACCCAAGGACCCTTTCCAGTAGCCACAGGGATTTTGGATTCCTATCAGTATTCAAGAGGAGTCAGGCATCATCACCTTTTGAAGCAATGAACTCCGCGTGCCTCTCGAGGTGTCAGCAGGATATGAGGCATTCCGTCAAAAGGAGGCAGGGACCTAGGGCTTTCTCTAAGGTCTCCACAGGGGATTCAGACATCCCTTCATGTTGTGAGATGAAACACAAGCCTGTATTCAAGCCACTACAAGGAAATCCGGCCTCCTTTCAAGTTAGGGCTTCTCGCTGTATATTCCCCTTGAGGCAGCAAACTCGGGGTCCCTCCCTCATACCTATTGCTGAGAGAAGCCTCCTCCTGAGGTGCATCCGGAAAGTTGGCATACGTCTTGATTCGAAGCCAGGGAAGCATCTCTCATCTCGAGACGATATGGGGTACACGGAACATTCCTCGAGTTGCTGTGCTGAAGTTGGTGTTCCTCTAGACTTGGGACAGTGTTCTCGGGGCATCTCTGGAGTTGCCTGAAGGAAGTCGAGCCACCGGTCGTGTTGAATGGGGAACGGGGAATGGCTCTGGAGTCAATGCAGGGGAATCGGGCCTCATCTCGAGTTGATTTGGGGCACACGGAGCTGCTTTTCGTTGCTGGGGTGACCTCAGGGTCCGTCTAGACTGGTGACAGTGTTCTTGGGGACTGTCTCGAGATCCATTAAGCAAGTCGAAGCTCCTGACTTGTTTGAATGTGATCACGGAATACCTCTGCATGCACTGCAGGGGAATGGGTCCTCATGTCGCCTCTAGGGGGAAGTCTCATGGTTTTCCTCGAGTTGCGGCGGGGACCTGTTGTATGTTCTCGACTAACGGCGGGGATGGCCCTTCAAAACACGAGTTTCTTCAGTGAAGTCAGGACTCCTGTCTAGTAACGAGGGTCACCTCAGGAATCTCTTCGAGGATTGGCAGGGCAAAAGGGACGCTTCTGGAGGTGAGGCAGGGCACCCAAGGACCCTTTCCAGTAGCCACAGGGATTTTGGATTCCTATCAGTATTCAAGAGGAGTCAGGCATCGTCACCTTTTGAAGCAATGAACTCCGCGTGCCTCTCGAGGTGTCAGCGGGATGTGAGGTATTCCGTCAAAATGAGGCAGGGACCCAGGGCTTTCTCTAAGGTCTCCACAGGGGATTCAGACATCCCTTCATGTTGTGAGATGAAAGACGAGCCTGTGTTCAAGCCACTGCAAGGAAATTTGGCCTCCTTTCAAGTTAGGGCTTCTGGCTGTATATTCCCCTTGAGGCAGCAAACTCGGGGTCCCTCCCTCATACCTATTGCTAAGAGAAGCCTCCTCCTGAGGTGCTTCTGGAAAGTTGGCATACGTCTTGAGCCTAAGCCAGGGAATCAGCTCTCATCTCGAGACGATTTGGGGTACACGGAGCATTCCTCGAGTTGCTGTGCTAAAGTTGGTGTTCCTCTAGTCTTGGGACAGTGTTCTCGGGGCATCTCTGGAGTTGCCTGAAGGAAGTCGAGCCACCGGTCCTGTTGAATGTGGAACGGGGAATGGCTCTGGAGTCAATGCAGGGGAATCGGGCCTCATCATGAGGTGATTTGGGGCACATGGAGCTGCTTTGCGTTGCTTGGCGTACCTCAGGGTCGGTCTAGACTGGTGACAGTGTTCTTGGGGACTGTCTCGAGATCCATTAAGCAAGTCGAAGCTCCTGACTTGTTTGAATGGGATCACGGAATAGCTCTGCATGCACTGCAGGGGAATCGGGTCTCATCTCGCCTCTAGGGGGAAGTCTCATGGTTTTTCTCGAGTTGCGGCGGGGACCTGGGTTATGTTCTCGACTTACCTAGGGGATGGGCCTTCAAAACACGAGTTTCTTCAGTGAAGTCAGGACTCCTGTCTAGTAACGAGGGACACCTCAGGAATCTCTTCGAGGCTTGGCAGGGCAAAAGGGACGCTTCTCGAGGTGAGGCAGGGCACACAAGGACCCTTTCCAGTAGCCACAGGGATTTTGGATTCCTATCAGTATTCAAGAGGAGTCAGGCATCGTCACCTTTTGAAGCAATGAACTCCGTGTGCCTCTCGAGGTGTCAGCGGGATGTGAGGCATTCCGTCAAAATGAGGCAGGGACCTAGGGCTTTCTCTAAGGTCTCCACAGGGGATTCAGACATCCCTTCATGTTGTGAGATGAAAGACGAGCCTGTATTCAAGCCACTGCAAGGAAATCTGGCCTCCTTTCAAGTTAGAGCTTCTCGCTGTATATTCCCCTTGGGGCAGCAAACTCGGGGTCCCTCCCACATACCTATTGCTGAGAGAAGCCTCCTCCTGAGGTGCTTCTGGAAAGTTGGCATACGTCTTGAGCCTAAGCCAGGGAATCAGATCTCTTCTCGGGACGATTTGGGGTACACGGAGCATTCCTCGTGTTGCTGTGCTGAAGTTGGTGTTCCTCTAGACTTGGGACAGTGTTCTCGGGGCATCTCTGGAGTTGCCTGAAGGAAGTCGAGCCACCGGTCGTGTTGAATGGGGAACGGGGAATGGCTCTGGAGTCAATGCAGGGGAATCAGGCCTCATCTCGAGTTGATTTGGGGCACATGGAGCTGCTTTGTGTTGCTGGGGTGATCTCAGGGTCCGTCTAGACTGGTGACAGTGTTCTTGGGGACTGTCTCGAGATCCATTAAGCAAGTCGAAGCTCCTGACTTGTTTGAATGGGATCACGGAATAGCTCTGCATGCAGTGCAGGGGAATGGGGCCTCATCTCTCCTCTAGTGGGAAGTCTCATGGTCTTTCTCGAGTTGCGGTGGGGACCTGGGCTATGTTCTCGACTTACGGCGGGGATGGCCCTTCAAAACACGAGTTTCTTCCGTGACGTCAGGGCTCCTGTCTAGTAACGAGGGACACTCAGGAATCTCTTCGAGGCTTGGCAGGGCCAAAGGGACGCTTCTCGAGGTGAGGCAGGGCACCCAAGGACCCTTTCCAGTAGCCACAGGGATTTTGGGATTCCTATCAGTATTCAAGAGGAGTCAGGCATCGTCACCGTTTGAAGCAGTGAACTCCACGTTCCTCTCGATGTGTCAGCGGGATGTGAGGCATTCCGTCAAAATGAGGCAGGGCCCGAGGGCTTTCTGTAAGGTCTCCACAGGGGATTCAGACATCCCTTCATGTTGTGAGTTGAAAGACCAGCCTGTATTCAAGACACTGCAAGGAAATCCGGCCTCCTTTCAAGTTAGGGCTTCTCGCTCTATATTCCCCTTGAGGCAGCAAAATCGGGGTCTCTCCCACATACCTATTGCTGAGAGAAGCCTCCTCCTGAGGTGCTTCTGGAAAGTTGGCATGCATCTTGAGCCTAAGCCAGGGAATCAGCTCTCATCTCGAGACGATTTGGGGTACACGGAGCATTCCTCGAGTTGCTGTGCTGAAGTTGGTGTTCCTCTAGACTTGGGACAGTGTTCTCGGGGCATCTCTGGAGATGCCTAAAGGAATTCGTGCAACCGGTCGTGTTGAATGGGGAACGGGGAATGGCTCTGGAGTCAATGCATGGGAATCGGGCCTCATCTCGAGTTGATTTGTGGCACATGGAGCTGTTTTGCGTTGCTGGGGTGACCTCAGGGTCCCCCTAGACAGGTGACAGTGTTCTTGGGGACTGTCTCGAGATCCATTCAGCAAGTCGAAGCTCCTGACTTGTTTGAGTGGGATCACGGAATAGCTCTGCATGCACTGCAGGGGGATGGGGCCTCATCTCGCCTCTAGGGGGAAGTCTCATGGTTTTTCCCGAGTTGCGGCGGGGACCTGGGGTATGTTCTCGACTTACGGTGGGGATGGCCTTTCAAAACACGAGTTTCTTCAGTGACGTCAGGACTCCTGTCTAGTAACGAGGGACACCTCAGGAAACTCTTCGAGGCTTGGCAGGGCAAAAGGGACGCTTCTAGAGGTGAGGCAGGGCACCCAAGGACCCTTTCCAGTAGCCACAGGGATTTTGGGTTTCCTATCAGTATTCAAGAGGAGTCAGGCATCGTCACCTTTTGAAGCAATGAACTCCGCGTGCCTCTCGAGGTGTCAGCGGGATGTGAGGCATTCCGTCAAAATGAGGCAGGGACCTAGGGCTTTCTCTAAGGTCTCCACAGGGGATTCAGACATCCCTTCATGTTGTGAGATGAAGGACGAGCCTGTATTCAAGCCACGGCAAAGAAATCCGGCCTCCTTTCAAGTTAGGGCTTCTCGCTGTATATTCCCCTTGAGGCAGCAAACTCGGGGTCCCTGCCACATACCTATTGCTGAGAGAAGCCTCCTCCTGAGGTGCTTCTGGAAAGTTGGCATACGTCTTGAGCCTCAGCCAGGGAATCAGCTCTCATCTCGAGACGATGTGGGGTACACGGAGCATTCCTCGAGTTGCTGTGCTGAAGTTGGTGTTCCTCTAGACTTGGGACAGTGTTCTCGGGGCCTCTCTGGAGATGCCTGAAGGTAGTCGAGCCACCGGTCGTGTTGAATGTGGAACGCGGAATGGCTCTGGAGTCAATGCAGGGGAATCGGGCCTCATCTCGAGTTGATTTGGGGCAAAGGGAGCTGCTTTGCGTTGCTGGGGTGACCTCAGGGTCCGTCTAGACTGGTGACAGTGTTCTTGGGGACTGTCTCGAGATCCATTAAGCAAGTCAAAGCTCCTGACTTGTTTGAGTGGTATCACGGAATAGCTCTGCGTGCACTGCAGGGGAATGCGGCCTCATCTCGCCTCTAGGGGGAAGTCTCATGGTTTTTCTCGAGTTGCGGTGGGGACCTGGGGTATGTTCTCGACTTATGGCGGGGTTGGCCCTTCAAAACACGAGTTTCTTCAGTGACGTCAGCACTCCTGTCTAGTAACGAGGGACACCTCAGGAATCTCTTCGAGGCTTGGCAGGGCAAAAGGGACGATTCTCGATGTGAGGCAGGGCACCGAAAGGACCCTTTCCGGTAGCCACACGGATTTTGGGATTCCTATGAGTATCCAGGAGGAGTCAGGCATCGTCACCTTTTGGAGCAATGAACTCCGTGTAACTCTCGAGATGTCAGCGGGATGTGAGGCATTCCGTCAAAATGAGGCAGGGACCTAGGGCTTTCTCTAAGGTCTCCACAGGGTATTCAGACATCCCTTCATGTTGTGAGCTGAAAGACGAGCCTGTATTCAAGCCACTGCAAGGAAATCTGGCCTCCTTTCAAGTTAGAGCTTCTCGCTGTATATTCCCCTTGAGGCAGCAAACTCGGGGTCCCTCCCACATACCTATTGCTGAGAGAAGCCTCCTCCTTAGGTGCTTCTGGAAGGTTGGCATACGTCTTGAGCCTAAGCCAGGGAATCAGATCTCTTCTCGGGACGATTTGGGGTACACGGGGCATTCCTCGTGTTGCTGTGCTGAAGTTGGTGTTCCTCTAGACTTGGGACAGTGTTCTCGGGGCATCTCTGGAGTTGCCTGAAGGAAGTCGAGCCACCGGTCGTGTTGAATGGGGAACGGGGAATGGCTCTGGAGTCAATGCAGGGGAATCAGGCCTCATCTCGAGTTGATTTGGGGCACATGAAGCTGCTTTGTGTTGCTGGGGTGATCTCAGGGTCCGTCTAGACTGGTGACAGTGTTCTTGGGGACTGTCTCGAGATCCATTAAGCAAGTCGAAGCTCCTGACTTGTTTGAATGGGATCACGGAATAGCTCTGCATGCACTGCAGGGGAATGGGGCCTGATCTCTCCTCTAGGGGGAAGTCTCATGGTTTTTCTCGAGTTGCGGCGGGGACCTGGGGTATGTTCTCGACTTACGGCGGGGATGGCCCTTCAAAACACGAGTTTCTTCCGTGACGTCAGGACTCCTGTCTAGTAACGAGAGACACCTCAGGAATCTCTTCGAGGCTTGGCAGGGCCAAAGGGACGCTTCTCGAGGTGAGGAAGGGCACCCAAGGAACCTTTCCAGTAGCCACAGGGATTTTGGGATTCCTATCAGTATTCAAGAGGAGTCAGGCGTCGTCACCGTTTGAAGCAATGAACTCCACGTGCCTCTCGAGGTGTCAGCGGGATGTGAGGCATTCCGTCAAAATGAGGCAGGGACCTAGGGCTTTCTGTAAGGCCTCCACAGGGGATTCAGACATCCCTTCATGTTGTGAGTTGAAAGACCAGCCTGTATTCAAGCCACTGCAAGGAAATCCGGCCTCCTTTCAAGTTAGGGCTTCTCGCTATATATTCCCCTTGAGGCAGCAAACTCGGGGTCTCTCCCACATACCTATTGCTGAGAGAAGCCTCCTCCTGAGGTGCTTCTGGAAAGTTGGCATGCATCTTGAGCCTAAGCCAGGGAATCAGCTCTAATCTCGAGACGATTTGGGGTACACGGAGCATTCCTCGAGTTGCTGTGCTGAAGTTGGTGTTCCTCTAGACTTGGGACAGTGTTCTCGGGGCATCTCTGGAGAGGCCTAAAGGAAGTCGTGCCACTGGTCGTGTTGAATGGGGAACGGGGAATGGCTCTGGAGTCAATGCAGGGGAATCGGGCCTCATCTCGAGTTGATTTGGGGCACATGGAGCTGCTTTGCGTTGCTGGGGTGACCTCAGGTTCCCTCTAGACTGGTGACAGTGTTCTTGGGGACTGTCTCGAGATCCATTCAGCAAGTCGAAGCTCCTGACTTGTTTGAGTGGGATCACGGAATAGCTCTGCATGCACTGCAGGGGGATGGGGCCTCATCTCGCCTCTAGGGGGAAGTCTCTTGGTTTTTCTCGAGTTGCGGCGGGGACCTGGGGTATGTTCTCGACTTACGGTGGGGATGGCCTTTCAAAACACGAGTTTCTTCAGTGACGTCAGGACTCCTGTCTAGTAACGAGGGACACCTCAGGAATCTCTTCGAGGCTTGGCAGGACAAAAGGGACGCTTCTCGAGGTGAGGCAGGGCACCCAAGGACCCGTTCCAGTAGCCACAGGGATTTTGGGTTTCCTATCAGTATTCAAGAGGAGTCAGGCATCGTCACCTTTTGAAGCAATGAACTCCGCGTGCCTCTCGAGGTGTCAGCGGGATGTGAGACATTCCATCAAAATGAGGCAGGGACCTAGGGCTTTCTCTAAGGTCTCCACAGGGGATTCAGACATCCCTTCATGTTGTGAGATGAAGGACGAGCCTGTATTCAAGCCACTGCAAGGAAATCCGGCCTCCTTTCAAGTTAGGGCTTCTCGCTCTATATTCCCCTTGAGGCAGCAAACTCGGGGTCCCTGCCACATACCTATTGCTGAGAGAATCCTCCTCCTGAGGTGCTTCTGGAAAGTTGGCATACGTCTTGAGCCTCAGCCAGGGAATCAGCTCTCATCTCGAGGCGATTTGGGGTACACGGAGCATTCCTCGAGTTGCTGTGCTGAAGTTGGTGTTCCTCTAGACTTGGGACAGTGTTCTCGGGGCATCTCTGGAGATGCCTGAAGGAAGTCGAGCCACCGGTCGTGTTGAATGTGGAACGCGGAATGGCTCTGGATTCAATGCCGGGGAATCGGGCCTTATCTCGAGTTGATTTGGGGCAAAGGGAGCTGCTTTGCGTTGCTGGGGTGACCTCAGGGTCCATCTAGACTGGTGACAGTGTTCTTGGGGACTGTCTCGAGATCCATTAAGCAAGTCAAAGCTCATGACTTGTTTGAGTGGTATCACGGAATAGCTCTGCGTGCACTGCAGGGGAATGCGGCCTCATCTCGCCTCTAGGGGGAAGTCTCATGGTTTTTCTCGAGTTGCGGCGGGGACCTGGGGTATGTTCTCGTCTTACGGCGGGGATGGCCCTTCAAAACACGAGTTTCTTCAGTGACGTCAGCACTCCAGTCTAGTAACGAGGGACACCTCAGGAATCTCTTCGAGGCTTGGCAGGGCAAAAGGGACGCTTCTCGAGGTGAGGAGGGCACCCAAGGACCCTTTCCAGTAGCCACACGGATTTTGGGATTCCTATGAGTATCCAGGAGGAGTCAGGCATCGTCACCTTTTGGAGCAATGAACTCCGTGTAACTCTCGAGATGTCAGCGGGATGTGAGGCATTCCGTCAAAATGAGGCAGGGACCTAGGGCTTTCTCTAAGGTCTCCACACGGTATTCAGACATCCCTTCATGTTGTGAGATGAAAGACGAGCCTGTATTCAAGCCACTGCAAGGAAATCCGGCCTCCTTTCAAGTTAGAGCTTCTCGCTGTATATTCCACTTGAGGCAGCAAACTCGGGGACCCTCCCACATACCTATTGCTGAGAGAAGCCTCCACCTGAGGTGCTTCTGGAAAGTTGGCATACGTCTTGAGCCTCAGCCAGGGAATCAGCTCTCATTTCGAGACGATTTGGGGTGCACGGAGCATTCCTCGAGTTCCTGTGCTGAAGTTGGTGTTCCTCTAGACTTGGGACAGTGTTCTCGGGGCATCTCTGGAGATGCCTGAAAGAAGTCGAGCCACCGGTCGTGTTGAATGTGGAACGCGGAATTGCTCTGGAATCAATGCTGGGGAATCGGGCCTCATCTCGAGTTGATTTGGGGCAAAGGGAGCTGCTTTGCGATGCTGGGGTGACCTCAGGGTCCGTCTAGACTGGTGACAGTGTTCTTGGGGACTGTCTCGAGATCCATTAAGAAAGTCAAAGCTCCTGACTTGTTTGAGTGGTATCACGGAATAGCTCTGCGTGCACTGCAGGGGAATGCGGCCTCATCTCGCCTCTAGGGGGAAGTCTCGTGGTTTTTCTCGAGTTGAGGCGGGGACCTGGGGTATGTTCTCGACTTACGGCGGGGATGGCTCTTCAAAACACGAGTTTCTTCAGTGACGTCAGCACTCCTGTCTAGTAACGACAGACACCTCAGGAATCTCTTCGAGGCTTGGCAGGGCAAAAGTGACGCTTCTCGAGGTGAGGCAGGGCACCCAAGGACCCTTTCCAGTAGCCACACGGATTTTGGGATTCCTATGAGTATCCAGGAGGAGTCAGGCATCGTCACCTTCTGGGGCAATGAACTCCGTGTAACTCTCGAGATGTCAGCGGGATGTGAGGCATTCCGTCAAAATGAGGCAGGGAACTAGGGCTTTCTCTAATGTCTCCACAGCGTATTCAGACATCCCTTCATGTCGTGAGATGAAAGACGAGCCTGTATTCAAGCCAATGCAAGGAAATCCGGCCTCCTTTCAAGTTAGAGCTTCTCGCTGTATATTCCCCTTGAGGCAGCAAACTCGGGGTCCCTCCCACATACCTATTGCTGAGAGAAGCCTCCTCCTGAGGTGCTTCTGGAAAGTTGGCATAGGTCTTGAGCCTAAGCCAGGGAATCAGCTCTCATCTCGAGACGATTTGGCGTACACGGAGCATTCCTCGTGTTGCTGTGCTGAAGTTGGTGTTCCTCTAGACTTGGGACAGTGTTCTCGGGGCATCTCTGGAGTTGCCTGAAGGAAGTCGAGCCACCGGTCGATTTAAATGGGGAACGGGGAATGGCTCTGGAGTCAATGCAGGGGAATCAGGGCTCATCTCGAGTTGATTTGGGGCACATGGAGCTGCTTTGTGTTGCTGGGGTGATCTCAGTGTCCGTCTAGACTGGTGACAGTGTTCTTGGGGACTGTCTCGAGATCCATTAAGTAAGTCGAAGCTCCTGACTTGTTTGAATGGGATCATGGAATCGCTCTGCATGCACTGCAGGGGAATGGGGCCTCATCTCGCCTCTAGGGGGAAGTCTCATGGTTTTTCTCGAGTTGCGGCGGGGACCTGGGCTATGTTCTCGACTTTACGGCGGGGATGGCCCTTCAAAACACGAGTTTCTTCAGTGACGTCAGGATTCCTGTCTAGTAACGAGGGACACCTCAGGAATCTCTTCGAGGCTTGGCAGGGCAAAAGGGACGCTTCTCGAGGTGAGGCAGGGCACCCAAGGACCCTTTCCAGTAGCCACAGGGATTTTGGGATTCCTATCAGTATTCAAGAGGAGTCAGGCATCGTCACCTTTTGAAGCAATGAACTCCGCGTGCCTCTCGAGGTGTCAGCGGGATGTGAGGCATTCCGTCAAAATGAGGCAGGGACCTAGGGCTTTCTCTAAGGTCTCCACAGGGGATTCAGACATCCCTTCATGTTGTGAGATGAAAGACGAGCCTGTATTCAAGCCACTGCAAGGAAATCCTGCCTCCTTTCAAGTTAGGGCTTCTCGCTGTATATTCCCCTTGAGGCAGCAAACTCGGGGTCCCTCCCACATACCTATTGCTGAGAGAAGCCTCCTCCTGAGGTGCTTCTGGTAAGTTGGCATACGTCTTGAGCCTAAGCCAGGGAATCAGCTCTCATCTCGAGACGATTTGGGGTACACGGAGCATTCCTCGAGTTGCTGTGCTGAAGTTGGTGTTCCTCTATACTTGGGACAGTGTTCTCGGGGCATCTCTGGAGTTGCCTGAAGGAAGTCGAGCCACCGGTCCTGTTGAATGGGGAATGGGGAATGGCTCTCGAGTCAATGCAGGGGAATCGGGTCTAATCTCGAGTTGATTTGGGGCACATGGAGCTGCTTTGCGTTGCTGGGGTGACCTCAGGGTCCGTCTAGACTGGTGACAGTGTTCTTGGGGACTGTCTCGAGATCCATTAAGCAAGTCGAAGCTCCTGACTTCTTTGAACGGGATCACAGAATAGCTCTGAATGCACTGCAGGGGAATGGGGCCTCATCTCGCTTCTATGGGGAAGTCTCATGGTTTTTCTCGAGTTGCGGCGTGGACATGGGGTATGTTCTCGACTTACGGCGGGGATGGCCCTTCAAAACACGAGTTTCTTCAGTGACGTCAGGACTCCTGTCTAGTAACGCGGGACACCTCAGGAATCCCTTCGAGGCTTGGCAGGGCAAAAGGGACGCTTCTCGAGGTGAGGCAGGGCACCCAAGGACCCTTTCCAATAGCCACAGGGATTTTGGGATTCCTATCAGTATTCAAGAGGAGTCAGGCATCGTCACCTTTTGAAGCAATGAACTCCGCGTGCCTCTCGAGGTGTCAGCGGGATGTGAGGCATTCCGTCAAAATGAGGCAGGGACCTAGGGATTTCTCTAAGTTCTCCACAGGGGATTCAGACATCCCTTCATGTTGTGAGATGAAAGACGAGCCTGTATTCAAGCCACTGCAAGGAAATCCGGCCTCCATTCAAGTTAGGGCTTCTCGCTGTATATTCCCCTTGAGGCAGCAAACTCGGGGTCCCTCCCACATACCTATTTCTGAGAGAAGCCTCCTCCTGAGGTGCTTCTGGAAAGTTGGCATACGTATTGACCCTAAGCCAGGGAATCAGCTCTCATCTCGAGACGATTTGGGGTACACGGACCATTCCTCGAGTTGCTGTGCTGAAGTTTGTGTTCCTCTAGACTTGGGACAGTGTTCTCGGGGCATCTCTGGAGTTGCCTGAAGGAAGTCGAGCCACCGGTCGTGTTGAATGGGGAACGGGGAATGGCTCTCGAGTCAATGCAGGGGAATCGGGCCTCATCTTAAGTTGATTTGGGGCACATGGAGCTGCTTGGCGTTGCTGGGGTGACCTCAGGGTCCGTCTAGACTGGTGACAGTGTTCTTGGGGACTGTCTCGAGATCCATTAAGCAAGTCGAAGCTCCTGACTTGTTTGAACGGGATCACAGAATAGCTCTGAATGCACTGCAGGGGAATGGGGCCTCATCTCGCTTCTATGGGGAAGTCTCATGGTTTTTCTCGAGTTGCGGCGTGGACATGGGGTATGTTCTCGACTTACGGCGGGGATGGCCCTTCAAAACACGAGTTTCTTCAGTGATGTCAGGACTCCTGTCTAGTAACGAGGGACACCTCAGGAATCCCTTCGAGGCTTGGCAGGGCAAAAGGGACGCTTCTCGAGGTGAGGCAAGGCACCCAAGGACCCTTTCCATGAGCCACAGGGATTTTGGGATTCCTATCAGTATTCAAGAGTAGTCAGGCATCGTCACCTTTTGAAGCAATGAACTCTGCGAGCCTCTCGATGTGTCAGCGGGATGTGAGGCATTCCGTCAAAATGAGGCAGGGACCTAGGGCTTTCTCTTAGGTCTCCACAGGGGATTCAGACATCCCTTCATGTTGTGAGATGAAAGACGAGCCTGTATTCAAGCCACTGCAAGGAAATCCGGCCTCCATTCAAGTTAGGGCTTCTCGCTGTATAGTCCCCTTGAGGCAGCAAACTCGGGGTCCCTCCCACATACCTATTGCTGAGAGAAGCCTCCTCCTGAGGTGCTTCTGGAAAGTTGGCCTACGTCTTGAGCCTAAGCCAGGGAATCAGCTCTCATCTCGAGACGATTTGGGGTACACGGAGCATTCCTCAAGTTGCTCTGCTGAAGTTGGTATTCCTCTAGACTTGTGACCGTGTTCTCGGGGCATCTCTGGATTTGGGTGAAGGAAGTCGAGCCACCGGTCGTGTTGAATGGGGAACGGTGAATGGCTCTGGAGTCAATGCAGGGGAATCGGGCCTCATCTCGAGTTGATTTGGGGCACATGGAGCTGTTTGCGTTGCTGGGGTGACCTCAGGGTCCGTCTAGACTGGTGACAGTGTTCTTGGGGACTGTCTCGAGATCCATTAAGCAAGTCGAAGCTCCTGACTTGTTTGAATGGGATCACAGAATAGCTCTGCATGCACTGCAGGGGGATGGGGCCTCATCTCGCCTCTAGGGGGAGGTCTCATGCTTTTTCTCGAGTTGCGGCGGGGACCTGGGGTATGTTCTCGACTTACGGCGGGGATGGCCCTGCAAAACAAGAGTTTCTTCAGTGACGTCAGGACTCCTGTCTAGTAACGAGGGACACTTCACGAATCTCTTCGAGGCTTGGCAGGGCAAAAGGGACGCTTCTCGAGGTGAGGCAGGGCACCCAAGGACCCTTTCCAGTAGCCACAGGGGTTTTGGGATTCCTATCAGTATTCAAGAGGAGTCAGGCATCGTCACCTTTTGAAGCAATGAACTCCGCGTGCCTCTCGAGGTGTCAGCGGGATGTGAGGCATTCCGTCAAAATGAGGCAGGGACCTAGGGCTTTCTCTAAGGTCTCCACAGGGGATTCAGACATCCCTTCATGTTGTGAGATGAAAGACGAGCCAGTATTCAAGCCACTGCACGGAAATCCGGCCTCCATTCAAGTTAGGGCTTCTCGCTGTATATTCCCCTTGAGGCAGCAAGCTCGGGGTCCCTCCCACATACCTATTGCTGAGAGAAGCCTCCTACTGAGGTGCTTCTGGAAAGTTGTCCTACGTCTTGAGCCTAAGCCAGGGAATCAGCTCTCATCTCGAGACGATTTGGGGTACAAGTAGCATTCCTCGAGTTGCTGTGCTGAAGTTGGTGTTCCTCTAGACTTGGGACAGTGTTCTCGGGGCATCTCTGTAGTTGCCTGAAGGAAGTCGAGCCACCGGTCGTGTTGAATGGGGAACGGGGAATGGCTCTGGAGTCAATTCAGGGGAATCGGGAATCATCTCGAGTTGATTTGGGGCACATGGAGCTGCTTTGCGTTGCTGGGGTGACCTCAGGGTCCGTCTAGACTGGTGACAGTGTTCTTGGGGACTGTCTCGAGATCCATTAAGCAAGTCGAAGCTCCTGACTTGTTTCAAAGGGATCACGGAATAGCTCTGCATGCACTGCAGGGGGATGGGGCCTCATCTCCCCTCTAGGGGGAAGTCTCATGGTTTTTCTCGAGTTGCGGCGGGGACCTGGGGTATGTTCTCGACTTACGGCGGGGATGGCCCTTCAAAACACGAGTCTCTTCAGTGACGACAGGACTCCTGTCTAGTAACGAGGGACACATCAGGAATCTCTTCGAAGCTTGGAAGGGCAAAAGGGACGCTTCTCGAGGTGAGGCAGGACACCCAAGGACCCTTTCCAGTAGCCACAGGGATTTTGGGATTCCTATCAGTATTCAAGAGGAGTCAGGCATCGTCACCTTTTGAAGCAATGAACTCCGCGTGCCTCTCGAGGTGTCAGCGGGATGTGAGGCATTCCGTCAAAATGAGGCAGGGACCTAGGGCTTTCTCTAAGGTCTCCACAGGGGATTCAGACATCCCTTCATGTTGTGAGATGAAAGACGGGCCTGTATTTAAGCCACTGCGAGGAAATCCGGCCTCCTTTCAAGTTAGGGCTTCTCGCTGTATATTCCCCTTGAGGCAGCAAACTCGGGGTCCCTCCCACATACCTATTGTTGAGAGAAGCCTCCTCCTGAGGTGCTTCTGGAAAGTTGGCATACGTCTTGAGCCTAAGCCAGGGAATCAGCTCTCATCTCGAGACGATTTGGGGTACACGGAGCATTCCTCGAGTTGCTGTGCTGATGGTGGTGTTCCTCTAGACTTGGGACAGTGTTCTCGGGGCATCTCTGGAGTTGCCTGAAGGAAGTCGAGCCACCGGTCGTGTTGAATGGGGAACGGGGAATGGCTGTGGAGTCAATGCAGGGAATCGGGCCTCATCTCGAGTTGATTTGGGGCACATGGAGCTGCTTTGCTTTGCTGGGGTGACCTCAGGGTCCGTCTAGACTGGTGACAGTGTTCTTGGGGACTATCTCGAGAACGATTAAGCAAGCCGAAGCTCCTGACTTGTTTGAACGGGATCACAGAGTAGCTCTGCATACACTGCAGGGGAATGGGGCCTCATCATGCTTCTATGGGGAAGTCTCATGGTTTTTCTCGAGTTGCGGCGGGGACATGGGGTATGTTCTCGACTTACGGCGGGCATGGCCCTTCAAAACACGAGTTTCTTCAGTGACGTCAGGACTCGTGTCTAGTAAAGAGGGACACCTCAGGAATCTCTTTGAGGCTTGGCAGGGCAAAAGGGACGCTTCTCGAGGTGAGGCAGGGCACCCAAGGACCCTTTCCAGTAGCCACAGGGATTTTGGGATTCCTATCAGTATTCAAGAGGAGTCAGGCATCGTCACCTTTTGAAGCAATGAACTCCGCGTGCCTCTCGAGGTGTCAGCGCGATGTGAGGCATTCCGTCAAAATGAGGCAGGGACCTAGGGCTTTCTCTAAGTTCTCCACAGGGGATTCAGACATCCCTTCATGTTGTGAGATGAAAGACGAGCCTGTATTCAAGCCACTGCACGGAAATCCGGCCTCCATTCAAGTTAGGGCTTCTCGCTGTATATTCCCCTTGAGGCAGCAAACTCGGGGTCCCTCCCACATACCTATTGCTGAGAGAATCCTCCTCCTGAGGTGCTTCTGGAAAGTTGGCCTACGTCTTGAGCCTAAGCCACGGAATCAGCTCTCATCTCGAGACGATTTCGGGTACACGGAGCATTCCTCAAGTTGCTGTGCTGAAGTTGGTGTTCCTCTAGACTTGGGACAGTGTTCTCGGGGCATCTCTGGATTTGCCTGAAGGAAGTCGAGCCACCGGTCGTGTTGAATGGGGAACGGTGAATGGCTCTGGAGTCAATGCAGGGGAATCGGGCCTCATCTCGAGTTGATTTGGGGCACATGGAGCTGCTTTGCGTTGCTGGGGTGACCTCAGGGTCCGTCTAGACTGGTGACAGTGTTCTTGGGGACTGTCTCGAGATCCATTAAGCAGGTCGAAGCTCCTGACTTGTTTGAACAGGATCACAGAATAGCTCTGCATGCACTGCAGGGGGATGGGGCCTCATCTCGCCTCTAGGGGGAAGTCTCATGGTTTTTCTCGAGTTGCGGCGGGGACCTGGGGTATGTTCTCGACTTACGGCGGGGATGGCCCTGCAAAACATGAGTTTCTTCAGTGACGTCAGGACTCCTGTCTAGTAACAAGGAACAACTCAGGAATCTCTTCGAGGATTGGCAGGGCAAAAGGGACGCTTCTCGAATTGGGGCAAGGCACCCAAGGACCATTTCCAGTAGCCACAGGGATTTTGGGATTCCTATCAGTATTCAAGAGGAGTCAGGCATCGTCACCTTTTGAAGCAATGAACTCCGCGTGCCTCTCGAGGTGTCAGCGGGATGTGAGGCATTCCGTCAAAATGAGGCAGGGACCTAGGGCTTTCTCTAAGGTCTCCACAGGGGATTCAGACATCCCTTCATGTTGTGAGATGAAAGACGAGCCTGTATTCAAGCCACTGCAAGGGAATCCGGCCTCCTTTCAAGTTAGGGCTTCTCGCTGTATATTCCCCTTGAGGCAGCAAACTCGGGGTCCCTCCCACATACCTATTGCTGAGAGAAGCCTCCTCCTGAGTGCTTCTGGAAAGTTGTCCTACGTCTTGAGCCTAAGCCAGGGAATCAGCTCTCATCTCGAGACGATTTGGGGTACACGTAGCATACCTCGAGTTGCTGTGCTGAAGTTGGTGTTCCTCTAGACTTGGGACAGTGTTCTCGGGGCATCTCTGTAATTGCCTGAAGGAAGTCGAGCCACCGGTAGTGTTGAATGGGGAACGGGGAATGGCTCTGGAGTCAATGCAGGGGAATCAGGCCTCATCTCGAGTTGATTTGGGGCACATGGAGCTGCTTTGTGTTGCTGGGGTGATCTCAGGGTCCGTCTATACTGGTGACAGTGTTCTTGGGGACTGTCTCGAGATCCATTAAGCAAGTCGAAGCTCCTGAGTTGTTTGAATGTGATCACGGAATAGTACTGCGTGCACTGCAGGGGAATGCGGCCTCATCTCGCCTCTAGGGGGAAGTCTCATGGTTTTTCTCGAGGTGCGGCGGGGACCTGGGGTATGTTCTCGACTTACGGCGGGGATGGCCCTTCAAAACACGAGTTTCTTCAGTGACGTCAGCACTCCTGTCTAGTAACGAGGGACACCTCAGGAATCTCTTCGAGGCTTGGCAGGGCAAAAGGGACGCTTCTCGAGGTGAGGCAGGGCACCAAAGGACCCTTTCCAGTAGCCACACTGATTTTGGGATTCCTATGAGTATTCAGGAGGAGTCAGGCATCGACACCTTTTGGAAGAATGAACTCCGTGTGCCTCTCGAGGTGTCAGCGTGATGTGAGGCATTCCGTCAAAATGAGGCAGGGACCTAGGGCTTTCTCCAAGGTCTCCACAGGGGATTCAGACATCCCTTCATGTTGTGAGATGAAAGACGAGCCTGTATTCAAGCCACTGCAAGGAAATCCGGCCTCCTTTCAAGTTAGGGCTTCTCGCTCTATATTCCCCTTGAGGCAGCAAACTCGGGGTCCCTCCCACATACCTATACTGAGAGAAGCCTCCTCCTGAGGTGCTTCTGGAAAGTTGGCATGCATCTTGAGCCTAAGCCAGGGAATCAGCTCTCATCTCGAGACGATTTGGGGTACACGGAGCATTCCTCATGTTGCTGTGCTGAAGTTGGTGTTCCTCTAGACTTGGGACAGTGTTCTCGGGGCATCTCTGGAGTTGCCTGAAGGAAGTCGATGCACCGGTCGTGTTGAATGGGGAACGGGGAATGGCACTGGAGTCAAGGCAGGGGAATCGGGCCTCATCTCGAGTTAATTTGGGGCACATGGAGCTGCTTTGCGTTGCAGGGGTGACCTCAGGGTCCGTCTAGACTGGTGACAGTGTTCTTGGGGACTGTCTCGAGATCCATTAAGCAAGTCGAAGCTCCTGACTTGTTTGAGTGGAATCACGGAATAGCTCTGCATGCACTGCAGGGGAATGCGGCCTCATCTCGCCTCTAGGGGGAAGTCTCATGGTTTTTCTCGAGTTGCGGCGGGGACCTGGGGTATGTTCTCGACTTACGGCGGGGATGGCCCTTCAAAACACGAGTTTCTTCAGTGACGTCAGGACTCCTGTCTAGTAACGAGGGACACCTCAGGAATCTCTTCGAGGCTTGGCAGGGCAAAACGGACGCTTCTCGAGGTGAGGCAGGGCATCCAAGGACCCTTTCCTGTAGCCACAGGGATTTTGGGATTCCTATCAGTATTCAAGAGGAGTCAGGCATCGTCACCTTTTGAAGCAATGAACTCCGCGTGCCTCTCGATGTGTCAGCGGGATGTGAGGCATTCCGTCAAAATGAGGCAGGGACCTAGGGCTTTCTCTAAGTTCTCCACAGGGGATTCAGACATCCCTTCATGTTGTGAGATGAAAGACGAGCCTGTATTCAAGCCACTGCAAGGAAATCCGGCCTCCATTAAAGTTAGGGCTTCTCGCTGTATATTCCCCTTGAGGCAGCAAACTCGGGGTCCCTCCCACATACCTATTGCTGAGAGAAGCCTCCTCCTGAGGTGCTTCTGGAAAGTTGGCCTACGTCTTGAGCCTAAGCCAGGGAATCAGCTCTCATCTCGAGACGATTTGGCGTACACGGAGCATTCCTCAAGTTGCTGTGCTGAAGTTGGTGGTCCTCTAGACTTGGGACAGTGTTCTCGGGGCATCTCTGGATTTGCCTGAAGGAAGTCGAGCCACCGGTCATGTTGAATGGGGAACGGTGAATGGCTCGGGAGTCAATGCAGGGGAATCGGGCCTCATCTCGAGTTGATTTGGGGCACTTGGAGCTGCTTTGCGTTGCAGGGGTGACCTCAGGGTCCGTCTAGACTGGTGACAGTGTTCTTGGGGACTGTCTCGAGATCCATTAAGCAGGTCGAAGCTCCTGACTTGTTTGAACGGGATCACAGAATAGCTCTGCATGCACTGCAGGGGAATGGGGCCTTATCTCGCCTCTAGGGGGAAGTCTCATGGTTTTTCTCGAGTTGCGGCAGGGACCTGGGTTATGTTCTCGACTTACGGCGGGGATGGCCCTTCAAAACACGAGTTTCTTCAGTGACGTCAGGACTCCTGTCTAGTAACGCGGGACACCTCAGGAATCCCTTCGAGGCTTGGCAGGGCAAAAGGGACGCTTCTCGAGGTGAGGCAGGGCACCCAAGGACCCTTTCCAATAGCCACAGGGATTTTGGGATTCCTATCAGTATTCAAGAGGAGTCAGGCATCGTCACCTTTTGAAGCAATGAACTCCGCGTGCCTCTCGAGGTGTCAGCGGGATGTGAGGCATTCCGTCAAAATGAGGCAGGGACCTAGGGATTTCTCTAAGTTCTCCACAGGGGATTCAGACATCCCTTCATGTTGTGAGATGAAAGACGAGCCTGTATTCAAGCCACTGCAAGGAAATCCGGCCTCCATTCAAGTTAGGGCTTCTCGCTGTATATTCCCCTTGAGGCAGCAAACTCGGGGTCCCTCCCACATACCTATTTCTGAGAGAAGCCTCCTCCTGAGGTGCTTCTGGAAAGTTGGCATACGTATTGACCCTAAGCCAGGGAATCAGCTCTCATCTCGAGACGATTTGGGGTACACGGACCATTCCTCGAGTTGCTGTGCTGAAGTTTGTGTTCCTCTAGACT